GTCATTAGCTGGCACGAAGTGTCAATGTTTGCTGTAGAGATTCCTTTGTGAAAGATGGCCCGTTTCTGCCTCATCGATCCCTGATCACCATCCGCTCAAATCCCAATATGGCACCTCAGGGAGCAGTCAAAATCCCTGGAAGGAAAGAACGGAGAAACAGACTGTGCAGAGCGGACGTATAAAAACGGCGTATCGTATTTCTTTTAATATAAAATATAAGCTTCCTCTATTATAAGTCGTCTAATAAAATCCCCTTCCGGTGTAATCAAAGAAATTGAAGCCCCTGTCAAAATCGAATTTAGAATTACAAAATTTTAATATGACTGCTTTTCAAACCTTGCCTTGGTATTATTAAGCATTATAGGCAGCTTTGGTAAAACCCGTACGATTTGGCCAAAACCGATCAATTTTATCTTCTGTTTTCGGCGTTTTGGCTGATCGATAAAAATTATACGCCCCTCGCTTCTTATAAAACCCCCCTCGGAGCCTCGAAAAAAATAGAAGGCCAGAGGATATTAGAGGAAAAACAAATGCTTGATCAGCTTTAATTATGATTTCCTTACGTTAACCATGCAAATTTAGCAATCGGCAAAATTTACCCAACATCTCCCTGATGCTCATTTTAGAATGAGTGTAAGCAGGGGCGTAGCCAGGAAAAAATTTCGGGGGGGGCCCCCAAAAAATTTTTCCAAAAAACTTAAAACATAGCCGAAAAAACAGCGCCGCAGGCAAAAATTTTTTGAAAAAAAGGTTACATAGCTCTACAAATAGCCGTACAAAGGTGAAAAAATAGCGCCGCAGGCAGGAAAATTTTTGAGAAAATGAAAATCATAAGGGTCCCCCCTTATGAAATTTTCGGGCCCGGGCCGATTTCGGGGGGGGGGGGGGCCCCGGGACCCCGGGGCCTGTATTACGCTACGTCCCTGAGTGTAAGCACAAGCTGTCAACAGCAGAACCCCCATCTCAGCTCTCCCTACCTCGTATAACAACACTTACTATGAATCCCATTTATTCCGGATCCAGGCCCTGAATATATTTTAGCCATACTCAACCCATAGGTCCATCCACTTTCCCCTCTACCCCAAAACCGTTTCCACTCAACCCCTTTCATCCCGACCTCTATTGCATTGTCGAGGTTCGGTATCAATATTGATCCCACCTATACCTGAAATGGAGCTCAATGGCTATCCGATGCCCACAACTTGTGCCAGATTTCGATCCTGACTCATATGACTCGCTAATGTGCATAATCGAAAAAAGACGGCTTTCCATGGCTGGCTTTGTTTTCGATGCGTCATCCCTCACGAAATATGTTTTCCGAGCTTCTCCTTTTTTGGTGTTACCGCCAACCGACAGAGCTTCAAGATCGATACTTTCCTCTAGCACCACTTCAAATCCAAGTATTGGTGGTTAGGCAAATTTTGCACACTAGAGACGAAATATCCTATACTTTCCTCTGCAAGTTCTTCTCGGCGGTAATCTAAATTAGCATTCCGTACAGCTGTTCTTTTCGTGACTATCGATGTTATACCGCATCCAAAAAGTTCACAGAGTCCAATACCGCCTGGTTGGGTCCCGGCCAGGCGACGAGTTCGCGGCTTTTCCCACCGGCGTGGCCACTTTCGTTTTATGGGTAGTATGGCATTCAACGCCTGACGGTACGTCAATTGATTGTCGATAGAAAAGGACGGGGAAGAAGGTTATTGGGTCGAGACCCAGTTGTACAACAACCCGTTCAGTTTGTTCAATTAAGTCTGGTCGAGTTGTGCCTCCGGTCAAAGAGAGTTATAACGCTACTTACATCCCTTCAGACTGGGCTTGAACAGTTGTTGAAACCTACATGCGGGTTGTAAGCGGTATTGGAGGGGATGGCTGGTGTGACGGTTCCCATTCTCGGAGCCCCATTTTGAATTCATTACGGTCTGTGGGGCTGTGAACGCGCCGCACTTCGGTGCTGTTTTATGCCCCGAACACCCGGTGCCAGTCGGGTACCGCTTGAATTCGGCGCCACTAGGCTGTGTGTAACTTTTAAAGGGGATAATGTTTTGATAATTTACTCTGCTTGGCTTCAATATTGTGAATAGAGGTATAGAAGAGTATTAAGTTATTCACTAAAACTTTTGCCTTTAACTATTTTTTTCTATCTTTTAGCGTCCGTTCCTTTTTTACGCCATAAACTCTTCACAATCCACAACATCCTCAGCTTCACCCCGCAACAAATCATATCAGCTTCCATCCCCAGTAAACGTTCTCAATTACCCATCCAGTCCCCCCACCAGCGCACCCAAGGGACACAATTTTTCTTCAACACCCCCGCTTCATCCCCCAAACGGCCTTTTTCCATCCAAAACCCACGTTGTCCACCCTGCTTTGCCACAACCACCCGCTGTGAAAGCTTGACGTTCCTGATTCTTCGAAAATTTGAGGAGGGCGAGACTGGCCCGTCTTCTATATAAGCATTATCTCTTGAAGAACCCTTGAGCGGACCCCAGGATGAGTACCCCGACAATGGGTACCCCCACCCATTCTTCCCGCTCACGCTTTCCGCCCAGTTCTGTCCCATTCCATCACCCGTGGTTGCCTATCTGTACTTTACCTGAATTTTGGGATGTTTGGGATAAAGGTTGCTATTAGTAGTAAGACTGCTCACGTATTTTTAGATCCTGGGAATTCTGGCTTATTGTTAGAGTTAAAAAACAAACGATAGTATCTAGGTTTTCCTGTTCAAACCCCGTTAGCCATGAAGCTTCTGAACCACATTTGGACAGGCTGGACCTGTTTTGCATCATTTTTCTATGGAAAATTTTCACCTTACCGAATTACAATTGTACGGCTTACAGCCTTATCAGAAATTCCATTTAATTTTTCCAGTGAGTCGGAGTTACGTGAGTTCAAAACTCGGTAAGATGGTAATTTCGTATGATGAAAATTAGGTAAGATGAAAAGGCGAGATAAGTTGGTAAGATATCCATTTACCACTCAGACCTGTCAAAAAAACGCAGGCTTTAACAAACAGCTTGGCTATGTCAGGGGTCAGCAATGTCCAACGAAGGAGATTTGGTAGGGCTGTAGTTCGAAAAGGGGAGGTGGGGGTGCATTGTGGGACTTGAGAGGGTGCTCCAGGACACTGGCGTTGTCCCTATCTCCCGATCCCTTCACCAACACCACCATCATCACCAGAAGAAAGAGCCTCCTCCCTCCCCCCCCCCCTGGGGGCATAAGCAGGCACACAGTCCCTAACCTGTCTCCACAGTCCCTATCTTGAGTGCCCGCCACAAGGCTCTCCATCTCCTCACCCTCCCTTCACCCCCTATTCACACCTAGGCTTCAACCCCCCCCCGTCTCCTGAGCATCGACGAGCCCTCCAGATCTCCAGGACGCGCGCGCACCACTTTTTAGCCGCTACTCAGTCAGCCGCTAGGCTAGCAATAGATTCGCTACAGTATGATTTTTGGCTTGAGGTCACGGTACATGACAATGAGTGGTTTTTGGGTGATATTGCCGATATGGGATGTGACATAGCTCTTTCGATAAAGCTTGAAATTTTTGATCGACTCTTTCCTACAAAATTTGCTGAACCATAAAGGTTTTCGAAGAAAAAATGCACAGCGTTTACAGCGCGTTAGACGGTTACTAAAATTGGGCCAATAAGGCTTATTGTGAGCAAATTACTCATTTTCTGGAAAATTAATTGCACCTACCCACCCGTACTGTCAAGTTATCAAATTACCAAACTGACCCCCGACCTCGTTCTCCTCTACCACCACCCAGAGGTGTCAATATCATATTGAGTGCCCCAATCGACCGTCTTGCCCATGGCCTCTCTGTTCCTCCACCCTCCTCCTCCTCCTTCGAAAAACCACCGATCTGTAGCTCAAGGCTGAGTGCCGGCAATTTGGGTTTGTGCGTGTCGTGTAAGTAAGGCAATAACTTTGTCCCAACCAGCCTCCTCCCCCCTCGGGGTGGGGAGGTCCCTCGCTGCACCCGGAGCGACCTTCCCTTCCCTCCTCACCCGACTGACGGGTTACGGTAGTCCCTCCACAACTCTTGTGGTACCACCCATTCTCCAGGGTTCACGCCCCCCTCACTGACCCCCAAGGGATATTCACGAATTGGTCCCTAAATTTTTCTGACAATACTTGCCATTTTTTTCTTATTACATACGGGCTCGTATTTTTTCCTTGTTCCGCTGCTGATTCGACAGAAATGTGAGTAACTTCTGTTTTCGAAAACTTCGTACCTTAGAGTATTTCTATTGGCCTCCATCCTTGCTCGGAATCTCTGGGTTCCAGGAGCTTTCTTTCACCAAAACCCTTATCTTTCCTAAAAGAAGCTCCTAAACCGCATTGCGTAACGCGCAGAACCCAGCGCCATATATGCGCCCCTCTTCAGATGGTGAAAGTAGGCTTTGTTTGCAGTGAGATATTCTGCATCTCCAGTTTGTCTGTCTGTAGTGCCTGGAGGGGCCATATTTGTCCCGAATCCATCGAGTTTTCCCCCTCGGGAAAGTCCTGGTTGTGTGGTGGGGAGTGAGGGGGAGAGATGGTCGAAAGGGTTGAGTGTTTGCGGACCTCATTTGGTGCTCCGGTTAGTCTCCCCCCTTCTCCTGAAGCGGTCGCGATTGCGCATCCGGAGCGGCGGACACCCAGCTTCTCGTCGGCGTTGAGGCGGTTTCACCCCCGCCTCTTCACCCTTTTTACGGGAGGGGGATATCCTCAGGGGTACGGTAGTGCGGGTTTTGGACTTTTTGGATTTGGAGATCTCTTAACCCACCTTTCCATTTGTGATGAAGGAGATCTTCCTTTGATCTTTGCACCAGCCACAAGAACGCTTTCTATTTTTATATTATAGGATTTCTTTTGAAATATCTTAAGCTTTATACCTTTATACCTTTACCATCACGAAAAACAGAAATTCCCAACCCTTGCACATTCCCCCTCCATTTCCCCCGAGCGCACACTTGACAGAACATCTAGCTAACATAAAAAGGTAGGTTAGCCATGCAGCCTGTGGGCGGGACAATTGAGATCTGGGCAAGGCTGCTCAACTCCCGACCGTCTCAACTGGTACGAACCGATTCTATGCACAGATAATGGACCTCGTTGCTGTGCGCGCGCGGTAGCTTCCATAGGCTTCTGCTGCCCCCCCCCCCCCCCCCCCAACATCCAGCCAAACCGTCCATTTTAAAACTTTCAGAGTTCCAAGGAGGGTTATTATTATGGAACTTGATCTCAGTTTGTACGGAAGTTCTAACCTGATGGCTATTTTAATGTTTTTAAAAATTATCTTTGCTGTTATTAGCTACCTACTTTATCTCTGCTACTTATCGATCATTATATAATTTGTTATTGCTGATGGCAAGCCTTTCGGTTATCCGAGGCTCATACAATCGACCTAAACCTCCAGATAACCTTCAGCATGCCTCCCTGGAGACCCAGGACAAGTCGACTTGTCACGATTCATGTAAATCGTGTGTTGAGTAGTGTTGAGTACCAGTTGTCTTATTTCGCTCCCAACCGGGCTAGCGGTTTTGACGCCCCGGGGGGAGGGGGAAAGATCGTGAGTCCAGATAAGTGGCCCAGTTCGGGCTTTTCCCTAGCCGTCCCCCTCGCAGACTTCTGACCAACATCCTCGCAACGATAAAACGGTGGAAAAATGGATCTAGTTTTAAAGAGGTTGTAGGTATTAGGAAATTCTCAAATTTAATCACAAGTACCGACAGCGTTTCAAAAGAAACTCCGGATAAAAAACAGCTACGCTAGATAACATACCCCATCTTACAGAACTATTAACAACACAACCCCTTAGCTACCCTAAAACAATATATTCTACACCGCCAAAAATTTTTCCGCTAGAGCCCTCATATCTATCTTTACCACGAACCACATCTCGATGACCCGACGATTTTTGGTAGCTCTCAGTAAAATAAATCAGTATATTACGACCTAACATTCGGGGGGAAAACAGACTCCGAAAATGAAAATTGGCGCGGAATGCGGGATCGCGAGGCGGATGAGCCGTTGCCTCCATCTCTCCACTCGGCACATATTTCTGAAATAAGTTCCCATCTCGCGACAAAACCCCCAATTCTCTCCTCGATTCCCCCCAAGCTGTTAATCTTTAAAAACCCGTCCAACCGGTCGTTTTTAAGTAATGAGGAAAGGCCGAGGGGCAAGAACTCACTCGTTTCATTCTTTTCATAATTCTCACCAAGGGACGCTCGGGCTATTTGTCGCCAAAGTATTTCAATCCAATATTTCAAGCCATGCTGACATTTTAAGTCAGCATGGTCTTCGGCTTTCATCATCTTAGTGGAAAAAAGATATTTTCAAACAAGGCTTTTTAACTAAAAAATGTATCATTGAGGCAGCAACCAAATTTGTCATGCAGCTAGCCATTTTCAATCAGGGGATTTAATTGATTACAGCAATACCATGTTATTTCACATCACTATTCTGTTGAAATAACCCCTCGAAATTACCAACATTATTTTGCCGGCTGGCCCCGGGAGAAAACAGTAATCCAGAGGTTATCCCCGCTAATTTCCCCCGTTGATCCGCTCCGAGCCAATCTCCGAAATGGCCACAAGACCCCCGAAAATTTTGGGGAATTTAGGGTCCCGTGTTTTCGGCTATTTTCGTTCAGAATTCATTTTTGCGCGTTGGCGCAGGGATTTGAGAAGGAATCTGCTAAGGCGCTTTTCTCACAATATTTAAATTGAAAAAAGCAATTTACTCGTATAAGTTTTTGCTGGGTCAGATGTTGGCTATTGCCGGGGCTGATCTTCCGAAGGTTCTGGTGTTGCTGGTTGTAATAGTTTACATCAATGTAGAAATCGTTTTCTCTGGCATCTAGCACTCATCAAGCCGTACAATATCGTACCCAGTTTTGAAAATGCCCTGAGGGCATTATGATAGTCGAGCGCTTCCCAGGGCGTTTTGGATGGGTGCGGGGGGGGTATGAAGGCGGAATATGGGCAGTGTCCAGGAATTATTTGCCCATTTCGATACCTTACGTGGCAGTGTTTGGGTTCGTGCGGGCCGAGGCACACGACATAGGCCCTGAATGGGTGGGCTAGCCCTGCTTTTGGGTGAAGCGGATACAGCCGGCCCGTGAGTAAATAGCCAGCCACAAGCCGGCCAACCATCTCGCTGCCCCCTCTTCAAGCCCTCATCTCCCGACATACCCGGTATGGTCTAAAGGACAAAATCTAGATTCTGAATGGGCAATGTGTAAACTGACCGTTTGGTGAGGCTACTACTGGTTCTGTTGTATTTTTTCGGGCTGGACCGCCCCCGAGATTTGTCGGTCGCTATAATCCTACCTATTTTACCAATCGTTTTTATCCTATATAAACTCCTTTCTTTATATGCTCAAGTGTCGTCTTATCATTTTCATATTTTGCATTCCTCTATTTTTAGAATCAAAGTGATCCGGGCCGTCCGGTCGATCAAATGTCACTGGCAGCGGCGCCAACAGGTCCGCCTGATGCCAAACGCTTTAAGCTAAGCCCCGGCGTACCGGTGAGTCTTTCAAAAATCAAGCCCGAGAACCCACCGCGGCCTTATGTTCTACCGTAGTCCCCTATGACCTAAGAAAGAGGGCTCAAATTACCCCCTCCCACCCCCCTGCCGACCACCCGCCTTCGCGCAGCTCGCCAATTACCTGGGCGGAGTCGTCAGATCCAAAGGGTTACGGTAGAACTAAAAAAACATCTTAAAAAGGCGCAGATTTGCTTGTATATAACTTTCTAGTTCATAAATAAGCTCTGATTCATACTGCCAAACATCCCCTTCGAACCAAATTACCAATCCTGATTTTACCGCACAATGGCTTTTATAGTTTTTCTGCCTACAAAATTCAAATCCTTAGCGTTACGTTTGGGCTATTTGATGTGAATGGGCTGGCAAACTAACAGCTTTTGAATGCTTTTGTCAGGAAGTGGTGGAGGTGCAACCAGGATCCGATGAAGGAGATCAGACGGCTACCGTCGGTGAGGACAGTCCAGGAGCACCATCGTCAGCCGGGAGTGCCAATCTAGATGTACCAGATGAAGAAGATGACGTCGATGAGCCTAACGTGTGTTCTAATCTACTACACTACTCACCGCTTAACACCCTTTCAAGCTGTTTTTATGGAGCTTTTTGTTTAGCTTTGCGTAGCACACGTTTTTGCCGCCGAGCACCGGTTTTAAAATAGCGTTCGAAAGAATCATAAAAAACCTTTGCAGCGCTTATTATTAAAATCCTCAATATTTTAGTCTTCACCATGGCAAGAGGGCGGTGTCGTGCTTCCGCAGAATTTCATGGAGCTGTTCTCCAAAAATTTTCTAGAAGCAAATCTGAAGGTAAGCCTTGTTTTCCTGGAGCTCTAGAAACTTCCAGGCTGCCGAAATGGCGCGAGATTCCCGAGATTCTCGTGCGGAATCAGTGGGAAATTTATCACCAATGGGTATGGATGGGATGTCATCACCAAGACGGTAGGCATTAAAAATACCGCTGGTCTTCTTTTGTTCCTACGATAAAAATAACTTTGCCATTTCAGTTCACCACAATTGCCCGTGCTACCCGGTGCCCAGGTCGTCGCCCAATTGCCTCATTCCCAAATCTTCCGTCCAGGTACACAATCTGAAACTATAATTTACTGATGGAGAGACAAAAATTCTAGTTGCGTTTGCGTCCTAGGCTAATCCATGTGATCGCGCCTAGATCTGAGGATAAACTAGATCTTTTCACCACCCCCGTTACGACCCTTTTCGATTTATTGCTTTTCCGTAGCCCCCTAAACAACCCTTTCGGTTGGGATTTTAAAATGATGATTTGGTAGGAGCCGAGAAGTGGCCGATGATAAAAAGCCAGCTTGGAAAATTACCGCGTTTTAGATGACTGGAGTTGGCATCGAAACCCGGCAGCCGCAATTCGGAGCGGTGGAACGAACAAACAGACGCCAGTTTGGAAGTATTTCGTCTATAATAAGGCGGAGAACTTGTCTAGGTAGATTTCAATAACAAGCCGATATCAATTCAAAACCGGACTCCCAAATACCGCTGTGACCTGAATTGTTTAGATGCATCGTCGGAAACTGTACTTACCACCTCAAGGGTCCTCACACATCAACCCTAGCCTGCCATCTAAAAAAGCACCCAGAAGAATATCGAGAATTCCAGAAGTTGAAGGTAGACTACTCCTCCAGCCGACCACAGCCTCCAATCAGGCCCCAGGTGGGCCACACATTCTTTTTTGCACTTCTCCGTTTGCATTATAGGCAATTCACATAAACGTTTAAATTTTAAATACGGCCCCCAGTAAAATGTGCTTTTGTTTGAGCTTTTGTTTAGTTTCAATAGCAGCTTATGCTGATTCCTGCCAAATAATTTTTTTTAATTTAGGCGGAGTACAGCCGGGAACGATGCAGTGGTCAACTGCCACCTTCACCCTCCTCATCAGCTTCAAGTGCTACCTCTTCTGGAGGCAGTGCAGGTACGCAAACTAATTCATACTATTATATTTTATCAATCCTTTAGGTAATGGTGCTGTCAAGTCAAAGCCCAAGTCGAAGCCGCAGGCGCCTAAAAATCTGAGCTCGATCGCGGAGGCTTTGAGCAAACAGGCTGCTGCTGCACTTCAAGCCTCTGCTGCTACACTTGGACCTCAGGGATTGATGAATAGCCTTGGATTACTACATCCTCTTCCAAATCCCGGTACGGAGTTATATTTATTTATTATTGATTATGAACGCTAAGTAGTCAAATTTGTACCTATCCTACGATATCATAGGATTCTCTCCATTCTTGATGAATCCAGCCGCCATCCCCACATCAACAGCTTTTCCTCAACCCTTCTTCCAACAACAAACTGGTATTATATTATATGCATAGCATTAAAACAAACCTAATTTAGCATTAAACCTGGCCACCCAGAATGTCGCGCCACAATTCAATTCGAAAAAATGGCGAAAAGATGAGCAGAAACAAAAGGAACTAGAGGTAAGCTCAAAACCAATAGCTCCCATTCCGTTTTTAGAGTCGTCTAGCCCTAATGATTGCCGCCAACCATCTCCATCCTGAAATCATAAAAGACGCTTGCTTCCAGTATGACCTTATTTACGTAATCAATCCCTAAAATCTAGGCAATTCCTCGAACTGGCGCAACCAAAATTTAATCTACCGGAAGAACCGTCAAATGTTGAGTCGTCAATTGCGGCTGAATATGTCAGAATGACAGAAAATATAAAAAATCAGCTGGCATCAGCGAGGCGGATAACTCTTGTTGCCGAAACCGTACCGATCTCAAGGGAAGGCGAGCAGGTTGGTAGTTGTTGAGCTTTTAAAAGAAAACCACGGGAAACCTAGCTTTAACGGATTAACGAAACTTACCGAGGATTTTGTATTTGTCATCCATTTAAACCCCAATTTTAGGAAGCGATACTTCTTGTTGTCTCTGCCGTCTACTTATCCCCAACAAATAACCTGGATTACGCATTGCTTGGAATCCGCCACCTCGAAAATCCGGATTCCAAAGCCATCCATTGGCAGGTGGAAAATGTAAGGACATCAAAGTACTCCAAAAATGATGTCCTTCAGTTGGCCCTCGAGCGATACAACTGCCCCCTAAAAAGAGTCTCTCGAATCCTCCTTCCTGATGTTGGAGAAGAATCGTCACTTCAAGAAAATACAATTGAGCCTCATTTTGCAAATGTTCTCAATAAGCTAGCTGGTAGTTTCGCGAAAAAGCTGCAAACAAATAAGTTTAGAAGCAATCCAAACCTCAACACACTTGGAGGACCTCCGAAGTGCCATCCATAATCTTCTTGTTTTTGTCGGCCATCGCCCTCAATTTATCCAAAGAGTCAAAGGAGCTGGAGGTAATCATAGTCTACAGTCGGCCATGGCATCTTTTAGGCAAATTGCCAATGTTTTCACCTTCTGAGCCGTTCCAAACGATCATTGGCAAGCTGTCAAAATTGAAGAATGAAATTAGCCAAGCAATGGAAAAAGAAGAGGATCAAATGGCAAATCTTTCGGAAGAGCATTGGTTGGTTAAAACAATCGATATATTTGACTTGTTCTTTTTAGGAGTCAAATTGAAGAACTGGTTGCGCTTTCTGACGAATTAGTTCAACGATTGTCTATTCGATCTGGAAAGATCCAAACGATCGATACGGTCGTCCCATCACTTTTACAACTTCGACCATTCCTTGAACTACAATCATGCCCCAAACTTGCTGAAGAAATTGCCGAGCTTTTCGATGGACTGACTGGCCCAATTCTCGACAGCACTCATCCTCATTTTGATGGATCATTTCTTCAAGCTACAGCGTTGAATCTCCAGTTGGCTCGTTGTCTAAATGAAGAACAACTTGACACGGCCAAAGAATCATTAATACAAACGGTACGTTGTCAAATCGAAGAGCTTATCGTATACATTCCTAATTTTCAGCTGCAAGCCAAATTATCGAATGAGGAACCTCGGCGGCAGAAAACACCAATGAATGTTGATGATCTGCTGGCTATTTGCGAGAGAAAGCAGAGCGGGGATGGTATCGATTTGATTCATTTCAATATACAATTTTTAGCCGAATCCTCTCCAGCCTTAACTCCGTTTTCGATTGCTAATATTGGTAGCCCCTATGATTTCCTTCAGGTAGGAAAAGATTTTACATAATAAACAGCTCCCGGCTTTAGGCCTTACCAAAATCAAATGAGTTGAAGCAACGAGCTATGGAAGTGTTGGTTGGACACTATTGGAATGAGATCTTGCCTGGGGTCAGTCATTACAAGGAGACGTCCATAATTTTATGCAAATATTAATACTTTTGACCAAATTATCATTTTCAGGAAGGAGCAATGACGATGTTCGGTATGATGGAAAAATTCGCGGGCAGCCATCTGCCACCACTCGCCTATTGGTCTTCAAAAGTATCACATGCTGGCCTTTTGGCTGAATATGCGATTACACTACTTTCTACCCCAGCCCTTCCCCTCTCACCCGATCGCATCTTCAGGTAATATTTTAAGTGCAAAGTCAAATTATTGGCGGAATCCAGAGAGCGAAAAATTTTTCAAGACCACGAAGGGGACTAGCATCGCAAAAAATAATTATAAAAAGTTATAAAATCAAATTGGCGTTTAGCAGATTTTGCCAATTGAGAGAATTATTGTCTTAATTATTTCATAACAAATTATTTTGAGCTATTTCGATTGTATGCTACATTTCTTGCTATATTTTTTGATGCTCTAGTAAACGACGCCTACAAAATATCGAAAAAATAGCGAAAATCTTAAAAAAATAGCTTTCCTACCCTATTTTCAAAGGTTTTCGAAAAATAAGCAACGTAAGCATTCAAAATTTTTGGGCCGCAGGGGCGGAGTATCGACAAATTACCAATGATTTTTATCATTTTCTTTCAGTCAAACCGGTCTCCAATCTCCGCTACCAGGGATCAACTTCAGCCCAATCAATCTGCCACTCCAACATGCCCGTTTTGAAAGGGACGTCCTTCTACGCTTCAACAAGACTACGCCAAATTTGCAATAACTATTTACATGCCACAATACTTGATATCGGGCCACGTGCATGCTTACCCCCACAAATTACAATCTTCCGTTCGTGAATGCCATCATCAAAAAAGAGGTTCTCACCGCATTTAGCCTCTCCCCCAATGCATTCATCCCTTCAATCCTCCTTCTATTTTATTCTGTATATATGGGCGATTCAAGTGCAAGAGAAAATAATGTGCAACAAACAGACTGAGGATCCCCCTGTGAAGTGGAATATGAATATTACCTTTGTATTTTGATTATTTTTCTGTTGTTTATGATATTTTGCGATATTATTTGGAGGCTATGGGCTAATTGTTTGTAATTGCTGATTTTGGAGCCCTAGCCCTCGTACACTCGTATTCTCTCGTTCTCCTCTGCTTGCCAATTTATGAATAGTCAACAGTTTGCAAAAGTCAAATTTTTATGTAGTTCTTTGCAATGTGGATCTTGCGGAAATCAGAGAGGGCGTTTAAAGGGACTGGGAAGAATGAGCCATTTTGTATTTGACTTCTCGGTTCGCTTAAACTAGCTCCTTTGGTTTGGACGGACACTTCTGTCCATCGTAAATACCCATCGGACACCCAAATAAATACTCTTTTCTTCCGCGGTCCGCCTAGCCTCTTTAGCGTGTCTTCTGCGGGCTATCGTGTTTATTTTCTCTTCTGTTTCCACCCACCCCATCAGCACACAAACACACACAACACACAAAAATTTATGCTTCCTCGACCTGGTCTATTTATCCGCCTTTTTCTCGCGCCCCTCCCTGAAATGCATTGTCTCTCGAGGAATAAAGCTTTAATGTGTATTTTTAGTTCTGACAATACTTACACTGTTTGGAAGGTTTAGTAAGCACAGAGCTGAAAGGTTGCCTCAGATCCCCTTTAGTTACCAGCCAATTCAAGGTATTAGTCGCCATCTAAGCACAATTTCACAAAAAAACTGGCCCACCGGCCCCCGCAGATCGGAGGATATTGTTTGCCCAAGGCAAACGAGAAGCTGGCTATTTTAATCGGACACTGTTGCTAAGGGCGTATTGGAATTGCGTGTAGAAACAAGGTATGGCGAACAAAAGATAACGTCTTTCAAAATGCAGATAGAGGCCAAGACCTTTTGTATAATTGCGCGCCACTCTTCTGAAATGCGGTCCGACGATTACTTCAGCACGGAGTTGAGGTCGAACTTCCGAAAAAATAAGGTAACTTTCCTGATTGGTCGTATACACCACTAAAAAAATCAGTCTCTCTCTCCCTCTCTCTCTCTCTCTCTCTCTCTCTCTCTCTCTCTCTCTCTCTCTTTGCTTCAGTTTTTCTGCGTATATAGGTGTTATCGTGAAGGTAGTAAGGCTCTTTAAAGCATTTAGCGCCAGCTAGGATAACATTTTAAACTGAAAAAACCGGTTCTGAAAGATATCTATCTAAATACCCCCGTTAAAATGCAAGCCCCTGAAAAAGAGCAGTTGGCAGCGGGGTGGAAAGGTTGGCGGGAGTGGATGTGGATGGAGAGTATTCTTTGTTGGCTGCGGGAGGAGCCACTTGATTATGGCGATTGGAAAAGAGGGACCTGTCGCGTCGGGACCCCCCAACCCCCATGGACCAAGGACTGGCACCCCGGAGGGAAGCTCTCCAGCACTCTCGAAGGCTTCTTCCTGTCCTCAAGCTTCCCCCCTCCTTTTGCTTCTTCCAATTCCACTCCCTGGGTGCCTGCTTGGTGCTACGAGACATTCCGGTGGACACCTCCGTCCGATGCTCGGCTGCCTGTCCGGTGGAGCGCCACGGAACGGGCGTCGTAGAAGAAGCCTGTCCGAGTCGCCACCACCGCTGCCCCCAAGAACCCTACCCCAAGGGCATAGGTGCGTGTCAACAACCATCTAACGTTCTGTTTTTCTTATGTGGCAACTTCATTTTTATGGTCTTAGTCTGCTATTACAGCGATGATACGGTGTTCGCTAGAGAATTGAAAATAAAAATTGGCTTTTAAAATCGGCTGTGTCGATGAGCCTACGTAAAAAAAAACAATTCTCAAAACAGAAGTTGGCTGGCTTTTGAAAAATTAATATCTGTGATTGAAAATGCCTAAATCTCTGTTAAACGTGGAATAGATTTTTGCGAGTGTTAGGCAATTCTTCTTGATTTCTTCAGCACTTTGCTTCTATTTTTCTAGCCTCAGGGTATAATTGTGTCAACAACCCTCATCCAACCACAGGCTGCCAACTCGAAGTCTATTTGCTCTACACCCTCCCACCCCTCCAACTTTCTGTCGCGTCAGGCTTCAGAAGACGCACGCAAGCATGTTGGCGTTCCAAGTCTCCAAGGTGCTTCCCGCCTCGCCCGCTTTTTTGCTTTATAAATATCCTATGGCCAGTTTAGTAATCAATATTCAAATTATATAATAAATATCCGTCCTTTTGCCGTCACTGTTCCTTTAAACTTTCCGTGGCGGGATATTTTATGCTTCTTAAAACCGAACTTTTTCATATTTTTTATGCTACTATGGCGCCTGAAATCTTTCCTGCTGCCGTCCATTTCGTAGGCCGTCCAACCAACGGGTCCTTGTCTTCTTAAATAATCCTCACTGCGCCCGCAAAGCTGCTTACGCCCCCCCCCCCCACCATCATGTCTTCTACCGAACTTCCATCGTCATACATCCTAATCACCAGTTTCTCAGACGTAACTTTCCTGATCACTTTCGGATACCAAAAATGACGCTTTCCATCGCCCCCAGTTTATATATTCCCAGGGCATTCGGCGTAGGGAAATTGGTCGTTAGTCTTCAGTTAAAGGCTCTTCTTCGGGGTCCCTTTAAAATAAATATGACCCTATTCTTCCGATTAACTGACTTTATACTGAAAATCCATTACGCAGGTATCCATTACACCAGTATTTCGCAGCCTCGTATTTCACCAAAAATTGGTTAATGGGATCTAGAAGACCTGGGAAAATTAGCATAAAGCGGCTTTTAGTTTTAATTCGCATAAATTGTCTCTGCGCCGTCTCGTCCGAACGCACTTTGCCCCTATTTTTGCATACCATTTCCGGTTGGGAAGTTGCCAATTGTAGATGAGCCCTGGCCTAATTCAAATTTCGACCTAGTATAATTATCGTGTGATGGAGTTCGGTGTAATAGATTTCTGTCTATCGTAATTGTAACTTAACGAACGATGATTCGAACTTTAGCGTGATAGTCTTTGGTGAAACCTATGATTGCTTATTAAGATTTCGGTAATCTTTTGAGATTCAAATCGCCCCATAATGCAAAAAATCACGCCACCACGACCGATCTGGGTTTCCCATCACGGCCGCTGGTTTCACACCGACTAGTTTTCAGCCAAAAACTTTATGATAGTGTGTCTGAATAGAGAGTATAATAGCGAAGTGCCGCCTTTTTCAGACAAGAGCTTCCTTTTCTCGCCGAACTGGGGAATCGTCACGCATCGGGTGGCGGCCATTCGCCGATGCCCATCATCCCTCAGTCACGACCTCAATCCTACAAAACCCCTGCTGCTGCCCCCGCACCACCAAGGTGACGAACTATTTCGCACCGTATTCCCGAGTCGCAAAATCCCGATTACCAAAATGCCGACAGATCATAATCCCTAATTCCAAACTGCCGTAGAGGTACTCTACCTTTTTCGAAACCCCCTGAAGAACGTGCATTCCTTTCAAACTTCCCGCCAAAAAATTTCCCCCGCGTTTCGTGCAAAAGCAAAACGATTTGGAGGTACGGGGGATTGAACCCCGGACTTCTCGCATGCAAAGCGAGCGCTCTACCACTGAGCTACACCCCCGACGCAGCAAGGCTCGACGAGAGGCGTTGTATGACCTGGGAGAGGCGAGACACTGGGTGTCCCGTTGACGCGCAGCTTTGGCCCGCCCTCTCAGCTGGCCTTTTGAGTCTTTAATGGGGGACGGGCAACAACCCAAGAGAGAACAACAAAAACGCCTTCCTTGGTTAATTTATAGCGAAAATTGGCATTTTTATGACAAAAAGACGTGGAAACTTTTAGGCCGGGTCCGAGGAATCATGCTCCCGATATTGTGATCACGAGAAGACGAAATTCGGCCTACGGTTGGTTTTGGCCTAGGTCAATTGTAGAACCTAAGTCATTGAGAACGTTTGAAAATCGCGCGAGTTCTGATTTGACCTGCTGCTAAAAGTTGGAGCATGAACTTTACTTCCGGTATCATTAAAACACTACCTTCTTAAAAAGAGCATACAGCAAGGGAGATCGGATATTTCGGGACACCATAAAAGGATAGGGAATGCCCAGCAGGGAAATTGGCAACGAGCCAACCGAAATAAAGACTCAAAAAACTGAGCAGAGAGTGGAGCGAGACAGGAGGTAGCAAAGAACATTATGCTAATTTTAGAACGAAACCCCGTTTTATGCTAATTCATCTGGCCCTTCCTGATCCCTTTAAAGTTATAGGACGAATGCCTGACAAGTGAGAATTGATTGCAAAAGGGGGAGCACATAATTTGGAATAGTTATGGCCGTTTAAAAAGAGAAATGAAGACGAAGAGAAAAAGAGGGACAGAGCCGGATAGAATGGCGGTCTCGTTTTCTCTTTTTGGCAGCTGATAGGCTGTGAAAGGAAGGGGGAAGAGTCGAGTTGACAGATTATTTTCGACACGGGTCCTCCTTTCCATCCATAGCTCGCGAATCCCACACAACGAAAAGACACATTCTGTGCCTTCTTCTCCGTTTCGTCGTCTCCCCCCTTTGAAACGGCTCGCATGGCCCCGGCTGGGTTGAGACGTATTTCATGGCATGGTAGGGTTGACCTTTCAACTTTTCCAAAGATTTCTGTATGGATAATCATAAATATTTTTTGGTTTAAAGGGACGGTGAAGCAAGGTTTTTGAGGGTTAGATAGACGGCTCCTGCCACCGGAATTCCAAACTCAAAGAATTGTCCAACATCTAATGATTTATTGCTTCCTAGAAACCGTCGAGCGAGAACATCCGCTTCCACCTTCCCTCAAAAATGCTCCACAACCGCGAGAACCTAAGGAACGAGGTGGCGGTGGGCTGAGCCGTCTCGATGGCTGGGTTCAATATCTTCTCAGTGGAAAGTCTTCTCCGAATCCGTGTAAGTATCTTATTAAGCTATTTATTTTTTCTAAAGTTTATGGAATTTATTACGTGGAAAGTCGGGGTTCAAATTACTAACAACCATTGATTATTTATTCATATTTTTCTTCATATTCTATTTTTCCGATTCATCTGATTAGTGCTTCACCAATTCTTTATTCAAGCAATTAACGATATTTGATCTCCCATTTAAGCTCAGCCCTACTTACCAAATATCTCTTGAACATAGAGTTTGTTCAACTCCCTTTGGCCACGTCGTTTTGTAATAAATCTCGGAGATTCCGGGGCGCTACCAAGTGAGATATGCAATGGGGGGGGCAGCTCCCTTCCGGCGTGATCGGGCTGTTGTACCCCGTGGGGAAGGGCGATCCGAACCAAGCCAACTACGAGGAATGGGCTCTAAGGATCTGGCAGGGAGCTGTGCTCTAGCAGGCTGTAGTAATGTCCCGACTGACCCGTTCTTGGGCCCCTGGCCCTGTTGGGGCCCTTCCACTGGACAGCCCTCCTCTACGGACACACGGCTGGCATTTGCTAATTCTGTGTCTCTCCACTATCCAATCCTGTTCTCAACTCACCCCTCTCCTCCTCTTTTTACTACACTTTTTTCGCACCTTTTCTTACGGGCCCTGGGGCTGTTTTGTTGCATTTATCCTAGATCATAGCATTTTGGGTGGAATTGTTTTGTCTCGCGCTAATGGACGATGGCAGGACGTCGCTTTTTGACGGTCGAATTCCGTTGTCTAGCGCTCAAAAGAGCAGCAACGACATACTTTTTCTGCATGTTTGAAACCATCAGAAAATCAGTAAATCAATTTCCTCATTCTTCCCGGTTATCTTAAGAGCTTCAGATCTTTGTATTTTGTCCTCTGGCTCTAATACCACCTTGTTTCTGTAGCGTATTGGCGCCGATGTCGCGGTTATTCAATTGGAAGCTGCGGCTTGGGCTTGGGCGAAAGACGCCGGAACCACGGGAAAGTGTCGCTGTCCATATCGCCGAGAATTCGATGCCACCTCCAGCCGTATCATCTCAAGAACAGAAGAGCCCGAGGGTTCGATTTGATGAGACGCCCACCGTACAGGAGGTGTGCGCGTAATAATGAAGGCAGTGTGCCAAGCAGCATTTTTCGTCCAAAAAGGTGTTACTCTAATGGTTCCAACGCTTTTGCAATACAAAATATACATATTTCTGCCCTAGAATGGCACGCTTTACCTAAAATTGGGCGCTGAAACTTGAGGTGGTAATGGGGGGCATTACTATGGCTTAACTAAGGTTTATTATTTTGCATAGTTAACTTAAGCAAAGGATACCGTGCGGCCTTCGTAATGGTAACTTCGAAACTCTAGGTCTGGAACGGCGGACCCCCAAATCCTGAATATCGTCTTCACCCACACGAAATCTCAACGCCTCCTGGTGACGCGCCGAAACCATATCCCGGCTATGCACTTCCAACCGCATACCCTTATAATTCCGTTCAACAACTCGGCACCATCCAAGAAATCGACTACGATATAGGTAAATACCGAGGTGCGGTATGCTTCTATTTCCACTTGATTAAAGCTACGTTTATTTCACTACTTTTCATTAACACCGTCATTCTTACACCCGACTTTCCACTAGAATGGTCGTTATCATAAAATATTTTTTGGACTTTTCCGAAATCATAATTCCTGCTTTTCCAGGGGACAAAAAACCGCAAAGAGGCGATTGGAGCTATGATGATGATGTTAAGTAAGTGCTCAAAACGCTTAACCATTAAATTATACATTTTAGGGTAACTATCGCTCCCGTAAACCAAAATGACATCCCGAAGCAGAATGCTCATCGTGACTCTACTAGGTATTTTATCTTGTCTGCGCCATTTCAATTTTTATCTTTCAACCCTTTCCTCATAAATTTTCGAGACTGCCCAGAGGCGCTGAAAAAAGAACTTCCCCAATTTGCTTCCGATTGGTTCTCATGAGAGAATAAACTTTGACTTTCACTACCCGTCCCGCAAATTGGGGAACGGCAGGCTGATTGACTGCCAACCATCGGAAAAAAGGGACGCGAAAGGGAGGAATTTGGGACGGGAAAGTCGTGGAATTTCCTCTTAATTGGCCGTTGAATTGGGCCACGCATCGGAATTCCCAAGTTTTCGCCGCCAAGATTTTCATTTTGGCAAGTATTGGTTTTTCAGGGCGTCCACCGTTCTTCAGAATTTACGCGAACAGGCGGATCATATTGAGTTCAATGAACGGAGACGGCAACTCGGCACTAATCCCCAAGTAAGTAGACATCGCTTTAGCATACTAGCTCAGCTTGATAAAATTTTAGTTATAATAATTTTTTCTAGGTTGGTGGCACCCTGCCAGGTCCAAGTCCCGTGCCTGAACACAGCAATACTATCGACAGAAGCATGAACTTGCCCAGGTTCGTTTTTGGTATTAGCGCATTAAGAGCTATTTTAGGGCGTCTCCAATTCAACAAAACAGACATTTTATCGAGCCCCAATCGAGCGCAAAACGAGATTGGGACGATATGAATGTCGTTTTTCTACAGGCCAACGACGAGGTTCTCTTGATTGCATTAAAACACGCGAATTTTAGGTTAAACGCGTGGTTTTGCCACCCCGGATTGATGCGATGGAGCAGATTAAGATGGCATTTGTCAGAGTCTTCCCACATATCACCAGGTGCGACAAATCACCGTAATAGCTTACCTTGAAGAGACTGGGAAGTCTCGTACACCCTCCCGTTCAAAGCGTTGATTTTAATCAATAGTCGGGCGTGAAATGTTATGTATAATATGACACGGTCCATATTGTCCGTCCCAACCACATTAGGTTTCTTTTCAAATAGCTTGTTTTTTTTTACTGTAATCAATTTGAAATACATTTAGACAGTATCTTTTTTACATTAAGTTTACATCACATTTTCGACTTCCCAGCCCCTTTTTCAACAAAAAAAAATAAAACAGCGCGTTTAGATCATATATCGAACAACCATTTGTGAAGATCTACATCCAGGATGCAGCCAAGGGCCTATTTTATGAGCTTGACGATCTGAGGGAGGTTCGCAACAAGACCGTCCTCCGCCTCCGTGAGCAGAGAGCCGGTGGTGTTGCTTCTCCCGTCCGTCATTTGGAACATCCCGATTATCATTCCGAGGCTGAATACGACGATCGAAATGCGTTCGTTTTTGTGAATATCTGTGGTTATGTGATCTTAGGAAAAACTTTTGCTAAGAGCGTAACGATTCCATATTTTAGGAAAAATCGGACGTTTAAAATCTTAAGCTAAGATTAGGCTTTATCTTTTTCTCCATTGATTTTATAGAAACCATTGCCTGTAAGCTGGGAAAAGAAATATAATATTTAATTTTAGACATCGTTTCGTTTCGCTTGCCCGCCCTGCCTCGGCAATGGCACGAGCCCGTGATCCATATTATGATTCCTACTCCTCGGATGCTTCTGAAAGCCGTGCAAATAGTGTAGCACGTAGTGGTTCAGCCACTCCGATCATTGATCGAGAAGCCAGGTAGCAAAACGTATGCTATCAACTGGAATAAGCATTCTAGGGATCGAATGGAATGTATGGAACGTCAACTAGCAGGACTATCATCACTTGTCCATACTGCACTTGTTAGCAAGTATGAAGCGAGATTTTCTAGAATTTTATTAAATTTCTTGTTTTTAGAGGTATGCCTGAATCAGCGCAAAAAGATATGGCCGATTTGCGACGACAGATTTTGGCTTTGCATCAAGAAGCTGAACGTGTGCAGACCGATGTAGGGGATAATTCGGTTAATTTAAGATATCTTTTTAGAGCTATTCCACAATTTCTGAACAACCATCACCTGGCAGGGATCTTCTATCAATACGTGATCGAGTTCATGCAGCTGGCAGCGACTGTCGTCAATTAAAATCTAGCGCCCAGGTATTTTGACATTCCACAAATTCAGCCAATTATTTAGGCAAATGCACATGAAGCCAAGAAACTTCTCGAAGAGGCTAGCCATGAAATCACAAAAATCGTCTCGCACCAAATGGCCGGGTCCGCCCAGAATATCCACCGATTGGCCACACCACAACCATTCACTAAAGTAACATTACCAAACAAATTCTAATTTCGTTCTAGGAACAACTTGACCAAGAGCGAGCACTTCGAAATGAGCACGAGAAACGCACTCGCGATCTTGTTGACAATTTGACGTAAGCTGATGCGGCGTAGAAATAAAACAATATTTAGTAACTTCGAACAAAACGTCGAAACGCTACGATCATCGGTGTTGACGGCAAATCGAAAGTTGAGGATGAGCGAGGTTGAACAACTGACGGAACGATTGACCCAGTTGGGGCGAACAGCAGCATCTATTAAAAGTATTCAAGAAGCATATTTACTGACTGCTCTGAAACTTTAGCTGACTTCCCCAACTTGCAAACAAAGATCGAAGCTCGGTTGAAGGAAGATATGGAAAGGGTCGTTCGAGATGAGAAATATATTCGAGAGGAGACGACGGCTGTTGATCAGAGTCTTCGACGGTTTGTTACTAGATTTTTTTGAGATACGCCCAAACTTCTACAGATGCAAAGCCCTTGCAAATATAATGGTGACAATGAAAAAGTTAGCGATGGTACAAGACCCATCTCTGTCCCGTGGGTCCTCTGGTCGTCATTCATCTTCATCGAAGGTAAGCTGATGCATTCTGGGTGCAAATCTCGGGCAGAGAGTGTTTTTAGGTACTTTTGGGCTTTTTCGGTGCTACATAGATTATTCGATAAAGTTTAAAATTCAGCGCCTAACAACACGTATTTTTTTCCGTAAAATAATCGTTCAGGAGTTATTGAAGATGAAATTGGTTCGAGATTTGAATCTTTATCGAATGGGCTTTGTCGCATCGCAAACTAAAAAGCCCCTAAAAACGACTCTTTATAAGCATGTCCTCCAAAAAATACAAGCTAAATTTTGATGCAATTATTGGCATTGTCAGACTGCGAACGTCTCGTTGACCCTTCCCCCACCAGCACCATCTTCTCATCCACCACCCCCTCCTCCACCATCAGCTGAGCACGATCCTCCACCGCCGGTTTCCCTCTTTCTCACAGAACCCTTTAGAATGTGTTATTGTTGTATAGGTGCCACCCGCCCCGCACAATTACCCGCGAACAGAACCCTCTTCTACCCATGCAATGACTACGACATCCCTCGACTCTGTACTCGATGAAATGCAGAAGTAAGGGCCGCTTTTGAGTGTGTGCTTTTATGGCTTTTACAATTGCAATTTGTAATTAAATTTGGTTTTGTATCCTTAAAAATGCAGAATTTTTGGCGCAAAAACCCAATATGGTAGTTTTGTGGTATAACAAGATTCGTTCGATATAACTCAAAATTATGAAGAAATCCTAGTTTTCTACAAAAGCAACGTTTTAAGAAATAGGCTATGTAAATGCTAAAACGACCGCTTTCCCCCTCCAATCTTTCTCTAAACCAAATAACCTGTGCTTCAGCATCCCAGCTGTCCCCCACCCACCCGCCACCGCTTCAACTCAGCACCCAGCCATTCAGGTGTGTTCTTAGATCTAATTCTATTAGTTATTCGGCTGCTGGTGGTACCGATTTTTTATCGCCCCACATTCTTAAAAAATTTAATTTTAAATGTAGATGACGCCGACCGGCCAACCGCCTCGCCCTCCCTCCAGAACCTCAGTGAGCGATGTCCGATCGAAATTCAAGCAACCACCCGAACTGCCCGAACAGATTCGCAGTCTTATCGAGGACGCCAAGCGCTCTTCCCCCTCCCTTGAATGTTCGTTTTCTTCAAATTACCGTATTCCTTATAGAAGCAAGTAAATCCTCTTCAATTTCAGCCCAATCTGGAGAACGACCCAAAACATTAGAGGAACGACAGAAGGAACTTGCTGAAAAACAACGCCAACTCGCCACCCAATTTCATCAAATGCAAACAGCACCTCCATCCTAATACTATCCTGTATATTCAATTTTCATATATAACTGTTTGTTTCAACACATTTCTCGAATTTCAGTCAAACACTCTACCGAATCGCCCCTGACATCTCGGATCCCCTCACTTTCCTCCTGATTTTCCCTCTTTCCCCTTGTTATGCAAAGATTTCTATATGAATATATATATGATACACATGTTTAAATTTATTAAAAAACCGCATTATATAAAGTGCATCTTCAACTGCACGTGGATTTAGACGGAGAGGGGGATTTGAAATTCAATTAGGTTTGCGATGAGTAGCTGGAAAGAGGAGAGAAAAACACTTGAAATGAAAATGGAAAATGGTAATGGAAACATACGAAAAAAGTTAGATCATGAAAGTGAAGCGACCGAAAATTCAAGGATAAAGGAGAGTATTCCAACGGGATTTCATGGTATTTCTATCAAATGATTTTGCATAAAATATTTGAGATGCGCGTAAATAAAGCGTGGCAATGAAATTGCGTGGGGGATTGGACAACAGGTGCTAAGAGTCTACGTTTTGTGTATAAAAATATCTTCACCCTCGGGGCGCATTGCTTCGTCTTCAGCCTTTCTCTTGTGCCTGGAAGGGCCTGGCTGTCCGTCGGAAGTCTTCGAACTGCACGGCTGCAAAACTATTTATTTTATTTTATTCCCATCTCACCTTGATGTCGCTTCTCGCTGTTAAGCTGTTAAGCTTCTCCCGATTTTCGTTCCAGAACTCGCGGAGTAAGGGGGTCAGTGCAATGTCCCTGTCGGTGAGAAGACGCCCAAAGATTTCGTCAAAGCAATTGACGATTTTCAATAAAAACTGCGTGAATTTATTTACACTTGTTGGTACCTCTCTGAGCTGCTGTTGAACATCATCCTTTAGCATTGTGACCGCGTCCAGGGCATTCCACTAAAAACCAGTTTTATTCGTCAAAAATTAGATCGAAAAACCGAAGCAACGCTTTCTTTCAATTGGTGGGCTTCGGCGACGCAAAACGAGATCTAGGTTTCAAGATGTAGTTTTCTTTGCATTTCATACGTTTAGGGAATTGAGGTAGGTTCGGGGTTCATTGCTATCCTGTTTTGCCTTCATATCATCTAAAAGATTAAAATGGGCGTATTTTGTCGCAAGGTGGTGTTCCCTTCAGGGGGAACTCATTAGAAACCCACCTCGGCGGCTAGTTAGGTTTTCAATCAAAGCAACGATCGCTTCATCGATTTCCTAAAGAAACGGGTGTTATGTGGCATCGTATCAAAAAAGGTGTCATTGCATGCTACTTGCCCTTTTGCGAATCATTTTGGTGTTTGTAGGCTTTTTCGGGATATGGTACGGCGCCACCTAAATCACGTTTCCGCATTTTTATTCCAAGGCAGGAGCTATATAAATGCTATTAAATGCTATGCATCATACCCTTGGCTTTGGGATCGGTCCGACCCAATGGCAAAGACGGTTAATTGGTGTAATTTGTTGTTCAGGGCCAATCGGGACCGGCTGATCAGGAATTGTGGCGTTCTGCTGCGTTACCTGGAAAACAATTAAGGCCCGCGTAAAGGCCCATTCTGATATATATTTTTAATTTTTCCCAGCTTCGCACCTGTCCATTTTGTTTGGGCCTAATAACAAACTCTGCTTTGCAAGTTTTTATCGGCGCGAACATATTCCCAAAATAACCAGCAGCATCTTCATGTTGGAACCTTTCATCGTGGGGATGTGGCGGCTAAATAAATTTAGATGATACCTTCTTTTTACGCGCAATACCTTATATGCCAGCAGATCCCTTGGCCAATTATCGTTCAAAAATGCAATGTAAGAAGTCAGTGTACTCGCGCCTTCGTAAGGGACGTATGCCAGTTCCGCCACCTAAAAACCCCATGGATTAGTATCAAGATCAACGATTAAAATTTACCCTCAACCATGCCAGTTGCAGATGCATCGCCACTTTATTCATCCGAACTTCGTCGTACAAAGCATACTAAATTCATTGCAACAAGATTTTGAGGATAAAAAACCGTCAGGATCACTATACCAAAAGTAGACAACGCAGGATGAGCTAGCGGCTGGTCCAAAATCTTTAATATCAAATTCCTATCGCTTCGAAACCATTATAAACCTGACTCTCAGCTCCCTCCTGCCAAGCTCTAAGAAAATTGAGGACATTCGAACGTTTCCATTGCTAAAAAAGTGATTTCGTGTTTTTACAAACATCGTTCGTATAAGTACCTCCATACAGGGGCGTACACGAACCCGATTTTTGGGGGGGGCAACTCGAAAATTTTTTGTCGACCTCCCCCCGGTCACCACTTTCAAAAGATTCAAAAATCGCAGCTATAACAGCGCCGCAGGCCGCAAAAAATAAGGAAAAAGCGTTAGAAACGCTCAAATTCATGTAAAAACATCACAGAAAACGCGCCGCAGGCGAAAATTTTATATGGACAGTGGACACACTAATGAAAAACAGCGCCGCAGGCAAAAAATTTTTGGAAAAATAGGCTTCAAAGAAGTAAAAACCGTCCTAAAAACAGTAATAAACAGCGCCGCAGGCAGAAAAATTTTTATTGAAAAAATCATAAGGGTCCCCCCTTATGAACTTTTCGGCCTTCGGCCGATTTTGGGGGGGGCAACTTGCCCCTGTTGCCCCCCCCCTCGTACGCCCCTGCCTCCATACGATGATCTATATCGTAAAATGGCCATTTCTTTGTTTTCCCCTCGATTTCATAAATAACGCTGATGATAAGGAGCGGCGTCGCTAGTCCTTTGCCCTGCTTGAAAAGTCGATGAATACAAATCTAACTGGTACCGTTAAATGCACATACATGCCGTCCATCTTCCAAATAGATTCGATCTCATCGATCGGCGACGTTTTCTCGAAATGCGTATGATAAATATATTTGGCTTCAGATACATACCAAGACACTCAACTGACTTCTAGCTAACATCCAAAACCGAGGATCAAAGTTTGCTAGGAATTTTTGATTGGCGGTCTGAAATTATTTTTGTGACTTGGCATATAATTTACAGATTTAATGAAAGTCAAGAAACGAGTTTATCGAAAAGCCACTTACCAACAACAAACTCTGCCGCTCGTTGTGCAACAAATATAGCATGGTACCATGTTTCAAATCATCCGCCTCCTGGCGTTCGAGGAAAGTGAGGCTGAAGCCGAATGAGCGCATGTATCGCATCATGACTTTCTTCTCGTTAATCTACAAATTAATTCAAAATAAAGCACGAGAATAAAATACCGTTAAGCCGGCTGGATGGAAAAAGCTGTAGAATTGTGCGTCAGTCTGGATACGGATTAATCGTGACTTTCGGAAACGTTTTGACGTACCACTTGCTCGAAGGTATTCCGAATCTCACGCAACGTTGTTGGAGGCTGTTGCATTGGGGCTAACTGAAATATCACCCAATTAAAACATCCGACAGTCATAATCAGGATTCTAACCAAATCAGAGGGTACATTTGCGTTGTTGTTTTCACACGCCCAATTATCGGGCTTTTTCAGGCGGTTTGGAATATTGATCTTCAAAGCCATCGTCTACAAATAGCTAATAAATTTTTTTACTAGTACCCCTTCATAACAGAACAATATTTTAATTCTATTTTATTTGATCGTTCCAACCTCTGGATTTGTGTTCTTTTCTGTAATCGGTCTAAGACCTGCAAGACGGTATTGGTCATTTGTCATCTGAAACATTGCGTCTGCGCCAAACAAATGGTAATTAGCCTCATAGACACACGCGATACAACCAGGGGCACTCGTTTGACTCGTAACCTTACGCAAGGCAAAAAAAAATTTAGTAGAATCGATGTATAACCGGTTTAGTTTGTAAAATCAATAAAGTCTGACTAATTCGGCTATGCTGATCCCGATGCCGTCAAAAAATGGGGGAAAAATTAGCTAAAAAAATCTTGAAATAAGCTATTTACATCGAAAAAGACAAATTCGCCCGTTATCTTATGTTTTAGCTGTATACTGTCAATTTACCCTATAGATAATTCACTATAGGGTGCTTCCAGGTTATCGGGGGTCGGTTATTTTAGCCGGGGTCGGTTGGCATCTTCTTTTGTTTAGTGATACGTCTTGGCCTAGTGATAAATTGTAGTTCCTTTTAATACTGTTTTTAGTAGCTTCCGATAATCAAAAATTATAAAAATATTTATCCTATAGTCACGAAATCTAGGGTTATAGCGCGGTTTGAGCCATTTTCATATACGTTAGACCAAAAAAAGAAAAAGTTTTCAACATGCATTATGACGTTTTTCTGAATGTCTCCTCCCCCGCTAACAGTCCAGAACCATTTCAAACGGCCAGCTTTTAATTAGCCGAGCCGCACGATATTATAGAAAAAAGTTCGCAACCGACCCCCGATAACCTGGAAGCACCCACTATAGATTATCTATATCACCCTACACTCATTTAACGGTATATTTCGGGCTTCTACAGTAAACCGCGTGCCCCTTGTTGCATGACCGCCCCCCCCCCGCCCCCTCATAGGCACCGTTGCAAAATTAATTTATGATTTTCTATAAGAAAATTTGCACCGATCGAAAGAGCAATCAGCCATGCTAGTTCTTCTAGCATGGTTGAAACATTGTTGATTAAGGATGCATTTAGCTCATGCCGTATTTGATACCAAATTGTCGCTCGAAGAAACGTCTGGCCGGGGAATGGGCCAGTGCGGTCGCGTGGAACCATCGTCAAGCTGAAAAATCGACGGCTCTTCTGCCTATGTGCAAGTCACGAGCTAACCCCCCCCAGAATATGTTTATGCCGCCTACTTGGTGAAATTCCACCGCCTTCAATATCGCGTTGACAGTTGTGGAGAGGACGGGCAGGACATTTGGATCAATTTCATCGGAGGGATCTCCTACAACATCGATTTCCTCCTGATGATGATCATCATCCCCTTCTTCGTTAGCTTTCTCTTTATCGCTAGATTCATCCTTACTTGGATCGGTATCGCTATTATAATCCGGATGTTATCCTTGCGGCGGATGTTGCGGAATGGGCGGCGGATGTTGCGGAATGGGCGGCGGATGTTGCGGAATGGGCGGCGGATGTTGCGGAATAGGCAGCGGCATGACTGCTGGTACCTAGGTTAATTTCATCGAATTGCTACTTTGTAAGGACCAGCTGACTACCCTTCACGCCCAGCGACGAAATCCACCCCACCCGCCCTCCACCTGATTCACTATGCCAAAATCGTGCAATAAGCCTATTTTTCGTGCCCAAATAATCTGTTTTTTTATGCGCTGATTGTCATCTTTAGTTCCGATTTTGTTGATTTTCAATTCAGCAGTATCACCATAAAATTCTTTGGACATACCAGCATAAATCCAAACTGATAATTCTGCTGGGGCTGGACGGCTCGCGATTGCAATAAAGCAGCAGCAAGAATTGTAGCAGTTACCTAGGGAATTTAGATCGTTATTTTAGGGTAAAATTGGTTTTATTTTTACCTTAGCCGGCGGAAAGCGATCGAAATCAGACAAATCCGGTACCGCTGCTCCGTTATTTGGAATGGGCAGGTTCGTCGCCTGTCAATGCAATGAAATTCAGGATTAATGGAAGAAAGTAGAAGAAAGTTTTGGTTTTCAATCAGTTGGCCCGACAAGCTTCCGAATCTTATAAAGCTCAACTTTTTTTAGATGCTTTGAAATTTAAAAGTAAACTTCTAAAAAATAGGGGACATCCAAAAATCTGGTTTGCATAAAGTTGTATTCCATTGGGGAGCCAATGCCACTAAAAAACGACTTGCTGACTGATTCGTTGGTCGTATCAGTTAATTTAAAAGTAACCTACAGCGTCATTTCTCGGCGCGGGCATGCCGTCTCCTAGATGAAACATCTAAAATGGATGACTGGATTGGATCAGAATCATGATACGCAAACGTGAATAAAGAGTAGTCCAGGTTCTAGGCTAGGTCTCGCATCTCGCTTAGCCCTTTAGGAGGTGCACGGGCACTTTAGCAATATAAAAGGCGTCGAAACACGTTAACCACATTAAAAACACTAGTCCAAAATTTCATCAACTTATCGGCGATTCCGCTGTCATAATAAATCCCAAAAAGCTACCCAAAAAATTGAAATTTCGGTAGAAGGGATTACGGTATTTTACCGTAGTGAATTCCCGAGTAATGCATTTCCGCACAAAAGTGTTTTGGCATAACGCTAACAAATCGGGTGCAAGAATCATGTCCAAAATTGCGTTTACCCTTGGATGTAACAAAGGGGGAGTTTGCTGGTTCTGGCACTGTTTTCTCGCATAGGGACCAGCTGGGCTGGCAGCTCCGGTAAATACACAGGCAGGCTTTTTAGCCCAAACCCGGGATCAGGGCTCCATTCAAAAAATCAAGTGGGTTTGATCTATGCCAAGGGGTAGAACGAAGACAGCCGTTACCATACTTTACCCCACAGAAGTCCCCATATTTTTCAGGATAGAAGAAAAGCAAACGTGGCGCAGAGGAGACAGCCATAAAACGACATTTGGCATAAATATGTATATGGTGGTGAACCTATATAAATTTAGATTGCAATAAGGGTTGGAGATAGGGACGATAATCGATTGAAATGGAGTGGAATTCCCCCGGGGTCCATTCGGAATAAATGTTGTTGGAGGCGGACAGTCGATGCCGATGCTCACCAAGGGGAGGATAGATACTCTCCAGACCGTAGAAAGAGAGAGAGCAAGAGAGAGAGAGAGAGAGAGAGAGAGAGAGAGAGAGAGAGACCGAGAAATCTAAGGGAGAAAGAAATGAGGGGAGACGATCTGATCGAGGAGGACCCTCGGAGACCCTACCCCTGGAAGCTGTTTTTCCAAAACATTGCGTCCAGCCAATGAGAGGGCCCGTGTCAACGACAAGCTAAGAAAAATCTGTGTATATGACTCATTGCCAACAACATTCACTATCTGAAGGCATCAACCTCCAAAGGCAGACAGAGTAACGAGGGGTCGACGATCGTAGACAGCCGGATTTTGACGGTCATGGCCTTCCAGAGGAATCGTCAAACTCCTTTCCAGCTAACTTTGGATAATAAATAGCGGGGTAGACTCTCGACAAATCCCTTGTCTGGGGATAGGTTGTAGCCTACGCATCCAGCCGAGAGTAGCTTGAAGATTTAGGGTGTTCCGATCAAATTCCCAAAATGGGTACAATTGCACAGTTGAAACTGAAATAGTTGCTCGATTCATGTTAAATGAATGCGCGATTGTAGTCGGAACGAGTTGTCGCTCTAAGGACCGGTGGTCTTCAATACCAAAAGCATAATATATAAAAAATAGTCTCTGTGAATATTTTCATGCACTTCCGTTTGGATGTGCGCAACTACAGCGTCAGGGACACCTTTTTGGATAAGGGCGAAAGGTGTATAAAGAGCCGGAATCGACTGCAAGCACATAAAATTTTTCAACAGTTGCTATTTTCGCTATTAAAGCTTATTTTTGTAAAAACCTCGCGCTTCCTCTTTGTTTGGAAGCAATTTGCATAGGTAGCTATATAAGTAAGATATATAGTGGAAGTAGCCTATAAAAGGTGAGAGGGCGTGATTTTCATTTTTTTCTGTCAGCGGTATCCGGGAAAAGCAATGCAGAGTGTAGACGACCATGGGTCCCAGACGGGCCAGTGTTGAAAGGCGCGTAGCGGTTGTGAGTAGTGATATATATTGTGACTCGTGATCCTTTATAAATCCTCACAGAATAAGATGGTAGGGTATTATCAGGGCAAAAGGAGGCTGTCGGGTTAACTCTTATGCCCTTATGCCCCCATATAAATGAAAAACCTCTTATGCCCCCATATATACGGTTTCCATAGGTTTCCAGCTCCAACAGGAAATTAGGTTATCAACGATAGTTTCGGCTGGTTAGAATAGAACATGGTCGGCAAGTTTTAATTTCAGATACTGCGAAATCGCCAAGTTTAAGCGTATAATTATGGGGCAACCCCGAAAGACCGCTATTCGTAGACTTTCCGCAGAATACGACTTACTGTAGAACCAGCTAAATTTATGAATTTGTAACTTAATAAAGTATACGATCGCGCATGTCCAAAACGACGGTCTTGGGCGTCCCGGATATCTCATCACAAACAACAAACAAAACAGTTCGGATATTCCTTGAAATTTTGTTTTCCTTTCAATCAATATATCTTGTTTTTAAACAACCGATGTTAAATTCTTACTTTAAAGACCACTAGAAGTCTGAGTTCCAAAGAAAACGCAAGGGAAATTTGCCCGCGGGTCGAACCAGGATGGTCCGCTCTACAGCCCAGCTCGCTATCCAGTACACCACCGGTCCCAAGCGTGTGCGGGCAGGCGAAAAATCCCTAACTAACTTATGCAGCATTTCCGGACCACTCGAAAGGTGAAGCTGTACATCTCACGTACTGCATCAAAATTACGATTAATGCATAGTATGGTGACTACGCGGTACTCCAAAAATACGCCATAACCGCGCGCATTCTCCCTTCCCATTTGCATTTCCGCCCCCAGGGTGACAGTGTACTCTAGAATTCCGACGGTCTTTAAAACAAAATCCCACCCCACCCATGGTGATTCCCTTCCATGGTGTTTGTCGATCTGAGCTCACCAGAATGTTTATTGTTCACAAAACATAACAATTTATTATAACAGAAAAATTTTATACGGCTTCTTGTACCGGGGGCTCGTATCCAGCAGGGCGATCGATCTTGGTGCCATCAGCGGCAACGGCAGACGAGGCGTCACCGTGCACGTCCAACAGGCGGGACATCTCGAATTTCGGCTTCTTCAGGATCTTGACCTTTCGGATGTACACTTCTTGCAGGGGGTACGTGAACTGGCAAGCCTTCTCAATATCCTTGCCGATCGAATCGGGGATCAGCTTGGAGCAAACCTCCTTCAGGTCAGAGGCGGAGATCTAAAAAGCGTTAGGTTTTTAGTGCAATTTTTAGCCGTTGTTTTTGTTGTTTATGCACCTCGAAGCCAGTGCTTTTAATTTTCGCGAAACCCTCACCTCCTTCTGGATGTGCTGGATCATCTTGGCGCGGATGGCGCGAACCTTTGAGGCCTTGGCGTAGGTAGTCTTGGAGGCCTGGCTGGGCTGACGCTTCGTGAATCCAATGCAGAACACTCGGAGAAGGTACCCGTCAGTCGTCTTCACAGCAACATTGCCCTCGATCATTGTCTGAAATGGTTGTTGTTTATGGAAAGGCTTTCGTCAAGCTTCAATTTAGTTCGGTTTGCCTTTCCCCGTTCCAACAGCATGTATTTTTACGGTAAGCTCATTTAGTTACTCACGTGCCACTTCTTGACGATGGAGCACAGCTTATCGCGGGTGAAGCTCATTCCGTGGAAGTTGGTAAGGCAGTTCTTGCCCTGGACCTCTTCACAGACCAAGCGGAATTTGCGGAAATCCGACTCGGAGTTGTTGAGGTCACCGAGGGAAACCTCGTAGACACGGCCACGAAGACCATCAGCGGCAATCTTCGTTCCAACGGTCTTATTGACGAGGGTCTTTCCGACCTGACGGGTGGCGAACACGGATGGAGCCTGAAATCAAGGCTAACTAATCTGTCCTTCGGATATCCGAATTTTTATGGGTTGTTTCTTTAGATTACAGACGCATAAGCCTCTGAATGGCAGACAAACTATAAACTTCGTTCTTAAAAGATGACTAAGTAAATTTGAAGTGAATTAAGATTTCAGATGCTCATTCTCAACCTACCTTCACATCGTACCAGTCCTTGCGGGTGAAAGGATCGACGGCCTTCTTCTTGGTGCCCTTTTTGCCCATCTTCTTGCTCTTGCCGACAGCCATGATGTCGGATATTCCAAGCCTATAAGCCAGATTGCCAATGCTATTTTAAGAGAGGTAACGAAACCGTAACGAAAGATGTTCCAGGACGAGATAAAGCAAGATATTTCTAAAAATTAAAATTTCTTCTAATGATCGGCGAACGCATTTTTAGGCCATAATCAAAAAATAGTCGTTTAATTTTGGTTTACGAATCGGCAAAATTAAATTGACTGCAATATGCGCCTGGCAAGGAGTATCATCGTTGACAAATGAAAACCAAGTTAACGCCAATGCAAAATCTTACGTTACAAACAGACTTAACGGGTTTGTGCTGTTAACGAAGGATTCAGAATGGGCTAAACCCGTACGAACTCGATTAAATATCTAATCCAAATCGGTCAAAGCATATGGGAAAACGCGGGATTTGGGACGGTTTGCTCTAACGCCCAGGTAGGTCTGCGAATCCTACAATTGTTAGGCCAAAGGAATATCATCTTTTGGTAGGCTGGGTCCCGCAGCGAATGGCTTGGGCCGGCGGACAGAATTGGCAAAGAGCCAGCACCCCCCTTTCGCCTGCTGATCCAACTAGAACCCCCTCATCCGAACGGGCTCCCGCATTCTGATCGATTTAGGAATTATTTGCTTATTCTTTTTTGGTATGACACTAGCGCAAAATACGGTTTTACCTTACTTTCGAGCCATGATTATTTGCTTGATTTTCCCGCGGACTCGGATCGAAAGGCTTTGGGCGCCAGTATAATTGGGGCATCCTGGTGTTTTTTGGTGTACTGGAGATAACCGTTATAAATCCTGTAAATTGGACCGTCAAGCACTAGCTGGCCTGCTCCAATCAAAACGTGAAGCCCACATTTTGCCAATCGCCCCCATGACCATACTTTGGTCCAAATAGATATCTTTTTGACCGCAGCCCCTTTCCTTAGGTTTTCATTATTAGACGAAAGGCCTCGTTGTTCAGGCTTTGATCAACACATCCTGTCGCATCAGTGGGAGTCGTTTTCATGCCTAGATGGCGTCTAAAGTCTCCAGTATAAGCGCTATTTTACGCTTGTGAAAATAGCTTCCAGAATCCATGGGGACCGGATCATCCTACGAGTTGTGTTACGTAGCGTTCCAGCAAATTGTACACGCATGCGAATAAATTGGTTCCTTTCGTTTTCTAGAAAATTGGGGGACATTTTGGCGGTCGCCTTATCGATTTCTGAATCTCTTCCCGTCTCACTAGCCGCCGCATTTGGACGCAGCCCGGGCGGGTTTTTTACTGCAATCGTCTGAGCTATCAATCATTCGGCTAGATAGAACTTGAAATAAAGCAGAGGTGCTATCGGAGTTCAATGAAAGGGTTGGGGTCGGAATCCCTCTCGATGTCTTTCCTATATACATCTGCTTACAAGGAAATCGAGCCTCCGCGGATGCTAATGATAATCCCATTTAGGCATTAATGTCGCCGTTCGGATCCCTTGACCTACATTCAAGCTATTTAGTACAATATTCCAACGCATTTTATTTAGTTAATTCAGAACGTCATTCCTTTATGACAATTGCATATCGGCAAGCACATAACTAATTAGTCGGAAGACTGTGTTTTTAATTTGAATTGCGGCTTTATCTAACATTTCATGGAGGAATTCTGTAATACCATAAATCGAAAATTAAAGAAAGCTGAAAATCATCAGATGTTTGCATCAAGAATATAAAACTGATTGGGCAACCGTCGTTGTGGAGGGATTTAAGAAAGAATTCTTGTTTTAGAAGCAATCCGACTAATCCTTAAAATATTTTCCGTAATTTAACTTTTAAGTCTTGGTTTGACCTTTTTTAATTCCGTCATCCTTAAAACCAATCCGATCCCTTGAAGCTATCAAGCATAGTTTTAATTTCAGTAGTAAAAGAAATCAAAACAGCTTATTAAATATTTTTACGATGGATTTATTGTAAGTCTACTACGACATTAATGTTCGAACATGTCGCAAATTCAAGCTGGAATTTTTTCTCCATACTAGCAGATGTCTCAGGGTCAAAGCACAGAGACATTTTTGAATTATTCGGGTGAGCATGATAAGAAATCTGGGCCTTGGGTAATCCCCGCTCTCTTAGAACCATATATTTCCTGTATGCGAAAGGCCGTGGTGTAATTTGTTTAAATTGAGCCATTTTACCGCTTGTACCATTTAAATTGTCTATCTATTAGCTTTAAAACCTAGCTCTGTTAATTGGGCCCCATTGTTTTATGGTCATGTTTTTGTTCTAACGTCCCTCCGCCCGGATGCTATGGCTTTTAGCAAAGTTTTTTATGATAAAAGTATTTCTAAACATGCTTTTTTCGGGCTATAAAAAAGTTCTAAGTATATTTTTTGGCCCTCTATCGAATGGCATTTTAAAAATATCTAAAATTTAAAATTTTTACTTTAATTGTTTTGTATAAATATTGTAGTTTTGTTGTTTGAAGTTCTTGAAACGCCGAAAATATTTTCCTTCCGTTTCCTATGTGCTGCCTATAGTTTTCAAAAATAGTTTTTAGGCAATAAACCTTTTATAATACATTTTTTTACGTTGTAAAAATCTCTTAGTTTATTTTTGACGTTCTATCGATTGGCGTTTTTAAAATATCGAAAATCTCAAGAAATTTGACTACCCCCCGTTATCGTATGCTGCCCATGGATTTTCATCGATTTTTTTATTCGATCAACAAATTTCAATTACATTATTTCGGGCTGGATTAATTCTCCTAGGACGCTTGTCAACGTTCTATCGAATGGCGTTTTCAAAATACCGAAAATTTGGGAAATTTCGAAAATTTGACGCCCCCCGTATCTTATGTGCTGCCCATAGATTTGCTCGATTTTTGTTTTTTAACAAAAAATTTCAATTACATTATTTCTGGCTGAAATGAATTCTCTTAGTAAATTTTTCGACGCTCTATCGAATGGCTTTCGGAAAATCTCACAGTAATTGCAGATTTCATAATCATGAGTGCCCCCTCGTTATTTCCTCCCCCCACCGTTACCCTATGAGTACCGGTTTTTTACGTCCTTTCTTGCAGGTTGCCGCCACGATGCCTGGTGCTGAGGGGCGTTCTCATTATAGTCAGTTGGAGAATATCAAGCCGCTGGTAGGTTTACGTGTAAAGCCGGAAGACATCGATCGTGGAAAGCGCTATTTCTACGACCGTGATGAGTTGTTGCGAATCTCGCAACTTGCGGGAAGCTTGTCCAGGCCGAACGCGCTTTCCCCAGAATTCAACGAGTGAGTTTTATGAAATAGATGCTTGAAAGTTTGGTCGTGCGCTTTGAAAAGCTGGTGTTTCGGTAGCTGACATGTATCTAGCCTTTTCAGCGAGAATAACAAATTTGCGCCCGGGAAATGGTTGCTCCATCTCTGGGAGAAGCAAGAAATTGAACATGGCCCGCTGCGCGACGTGAGCCGCTTGAAGGTTGATGCTGCCGAGGGTATTTTAAGCAGTGTTTTTAAATTAATTTTTAGAGGCGATTCTATCCCCTCAACGACGAGGTTTTGCCAGCGGTTGTTGCCCGCCTGCTGACAAGAGCGAACCAGCGAAGAAAGTCTACCCCGGTTGGCAGACGATGGACGTGAAGCCGCGTTGGAGCGAAGATAAGAAATTTGAGGAGCGCAACAAGAAAGGTAGGAATGAATGAAGGTATGAATTAATTGGTTTTTTGTTTTATAGGAAAAGACCGTGACGGTGATGATTGGAAGTTCAAGGGCCGGAATTGGAGGGAAGAGGACAAAGCCAAGGCTGATTTCAAGCTTCCATTTGTAAGGTTCATACTGCATACCCAACCCGATTTAGCAAAAGAACGTTGAGAAGAAAGGCGCTCCATTTTCCTACTTAAAGAATGGTCGAGGGTCGCCGCCTGGTGGAAATTCGCGTGATTTCCGGCCGTCTTTTGGACGTGGACAGGATGCTCAGCGCCGCCACCATTATCAAGAAGAGCGGCTGCCAGAATGGGCAGAAGACGGACCCAGCACTATGGAAGATATGATTGAACTGAAAGGGTTCGATGACCCACAGCCGAAAAGTTTGTACGATCCACTTTCTGTGAATTCAGTTTTAGGAAAAGACAAAAACAAGAAGCAGGCTAGCCCTGAGACGAGCTTGGAAAGTATGACTAGCGGTCTGCAGACAAGTATTCCGGAGTCCGATGCTGAATTTGCCGCATATCTGGGCATCTTGGATGCGAATGTGCAACGAATGGAAGCGCAGAAGAAGGTAGGGAAACCGCAGTTTTTTTGTTAATAGGATCCTGGCGGATTTCCTGCCGCGAAAGATATATAAAGCCCTCAACGTATTTTGTTTCTTACAGGAGCAGTCCACACCTACCGCCAGTCGTCTCATCCGTTTCATGAAGTCTCAGCAATCGGAATCAATGGAAAGCGGTGCGCAGGTGACCACAAGCGACGAGTCCTTGGTCAGCCAGCCGCAGCAGCAGCAATACCAGCCCAGCGCTATCATCCAGAAGCTCTTCCCTAGTGACCCGCCCACACCTCTTAGATTGGACCACGTAAGCCATTTGATATTTTTATGGCCATTCGTATTGATTGTTTCTCATCTGAGTTGGCTATTCTGCGTATTAGTTTTCAGTGATGATTAGTGCTTCAGGTTTCTTCATATTCCACGCCAGCTTATTACCCGCCGCCTCCGATGCTCCCTCCTCCAGAGGAATTCGAGAGGATGATCATGGCAAAGTTAGCGCCTGCCGCCAATCATCAGGCTCAGCAGCGCCAAGAAAATGTAAATTCGGTAAGGGGTATATTTTAACGTATTGGTCCCGATTTAGTTCGAAGCTTGGCTGGCCAGATTCGAGCGTGCGTCGGTCCTTAGACCCTATGTGCGTTGGAACGATGGCGAGGCCTATAGTCTACAGGGAATGATTCCCCCACCAGATCCGCGGGAGTGGCACGGTAAATCGCGTTTAATTTTTTTTTGCTTATTCTTATGTGCAGGTCCGATTCCGCTTTTTCCGATGATGAAATGGGAGCAAGTCCCAGTTGATCAGCGGATGCTCATCGAGCATATGTATCGCCATTCGTTGGCTCAAGCGGCAACCAGCAGGGGCTGTGCCCCGACTCCTGAAGTCGCCGACCGTATTCGGCATGCCGCGATTGAGCGTGTCATTTTCAATCTTATCCGGAAGGCTGGACAGGACGCCGAGCAGCCTCAATTCCAGCAACCCGGATATAAAAATTTCAACCATGGGGTTTGTGTAACTTTCTATGCTTGGATGTACGTGAAAAGTCTAGCCGCTGATGCTTTATTTTCAGGCAGCCTCCTTGGTCCCAGCGTCCGTCGCTCGGAACATGAAAGCTGCGCAAGGCCCTCCGATTTCGATGCCTCAAGTCTCACTCAGCCAGGCCGTCAATGAGCCACACCACCATCCGCTCGGGCAGCTTGGAGTTCTTTCCGGAGTCACTGGTCGGTCTTTCTTAATAATCAGATGGCTTGATTGGGCCCTGTTTCTAAATTATGTGTCTTTAGGAGATCCATCACACCAAAACCATGACTTGGCTCGCATACGTACAACCTACAACCACATCCATGGAGCTTTGAACAGTGGCCTGTCGATGTCCGCCGGTCTCCCGCAAATGTCCGAGGCACCTCAGCATGGACACGCACCTGGACAGCATCGTATCGATCCCCAGATGCTTCTTCATCTCCAACAACAACAAGTCATGTACCAACAGCATGTTCTCAACCAAATGCGTCAGGCTCAGCTGCAGGCTCACCAGCAACATCGGGTATGTTTTGGATCTCATGTAAAGTAGCTCTGGTTTTTATAAGGTTGATTAGAGTGAAGGTGAAGAACCACCTGGAATTATTAATCTAAAAAGCTTTGGTGATAGAGGGAATTGACCGTATTTTTGTTTTCATCTAAACGACGGACTTTTTAGCGCTCGCCGCAGCTGCACCACCAGCAGCAACAGCCATACAATTCGCAGCATGGACCACCGGCTGATGACATGAACCCTCTCGAGAAGCTACTTGCTAATGCCGGGATAAGAAGCAATCAAGCACCAGCACCGCAGCCTCAACAACGTACCTTCAACCTTCCGCCCGCAGCTCTCTTTGCCTATGCAAATAATGGTGCAGAAGCTTCCGGCAGGGTCAGTTTTGTTACGAATATTTCCCTGACCCATGAGTTAATGTAAGCCGAATGGGCACTAAACGGGTTGGGGAATACTCTTGCTATCGGGACTTTAGGTCATTCTCGGCTAGTTTTTTACGCTGAATTTGAATAAAACAAACGGATTTTCGGGAAATATCCGTTTCGATCAGTTTGAATTAGTAATTTGTTTCCATTACATACCACCTGGTTTGAGCCTAAAAATACAGCTTCGTGCGATCCAAAGCGACGGCGCGCCTTGCCTGACTGCTACAAGCCTTGGATTGTGCCCATGCAGACTTTATAGAAATATCAATTTTCGCAGGAATTCTGCAGCAACGTGACTGTTTGCATTATACTTGGGCTCTTTTTCGGCTCTATTGGAAATCAACACAAAAATGAGCCTAGAATGATCCAAAAAACCCCAAAAGTGGTCCCCAACCCGTATAGTACCGCTGAAAGTTCTAAACGTTTTATGGGATGATTTTTCCAGATATGGGACAGTGCAAGTCACTAATATTGCTTTCCAGATGCCATCAACTGGCGTGCGACCTCCACAAGACGCCATCACGCTGGAAGAGCTCGAGCGGCAATACCCCATTGACGGATGAAGCTCAAATTTACCCACTTGTGTTATGTTTATCTTGTTGATTTTTCGGTGAATTTTTCTTTGTTGATTTGAGTGAGACCTACTCCTCCATTTACTCCAGTTTGTAACCTTTATCAATAAAATGTTGTGTTTTGCGAAACCTGAAAGCAGGTCCGATCTCTGACTTTGCATTATGTTTCTAAAAGTGTTCGAGATATTGGTGTGAAAGCACCCATTTCTTATTAGCTGTCATTTTGGGACGGCTGATACGGGTAGCATAGAGTAGTCTCCCGCCCGAATTTGTGTATTGTCGAGTCTTTGTATTTACTCTAAGTTACTCGATAAAGCGGATTGTTCTACAATTACAAGCAGTTCGAAGTACTTGTTGTGGGCATACCCCTCGAATTTGTTACTTGCACAATTTATCCGAGCCGGTTTTCACAAACAACTTCCTAGCGTCGTCACACATATAAGTTAAAGCCCATCCCGTTGACTCCAATGAAAATAGCATAATAGATCACAATTCGTTCATGACACCCAAAGCAAAAGGAAAGACTGATTCGAAACCAAAATATTTAGTGAAGGCCAAATCCGTGACTATTTTACATGCCGTTTCTTACTATCCCAGGCATCAATGAATAGACCGAAGAATACAATTCCGGTGGCGAGTACCTAAACCCAGAAGCCTTTATATATGTTTCAACCAAATCGTGCCGATACGACTTCGAAGCATTACCTGACGTTGGCTGAGAGGATGGCTGAACAGAATCACTGATATGATTATCGTAAAAAGCTTCCTAGTGGTTGTGAGAATCGAGCAAGTAAGTGGCGAAAATTCGTGGACCGTCTTGAATATGAAGTACTAAAAATATAAATTTCGATGATAACAAGGGAGTTTTACTTGTCCTCCACAGCTAGCAGCTGACACGATCAGCAAATCAAATAGTACATCCGGATAGCGCTGTACGAAGTCAATGAACTGTAGAAACTCCCCTGTCAGAAAAAGCCTATAACTTCATTGTTTAATGATCGGTATTTCCGAACCCGGTGGCTAGGAAGCAGGCTGAAAAAGCATTCATATAGAACATCATCGTAAGGGCTGTTCGGTGGTAATGCTTCTTAATATGATCTTGAATGGAAGTCGTCGTCCCGTCCAGAACCAAAGAAGATATCTAGAAAACGTTCACTAGACTAGAGTTTTGAATGGATTGTGGAAATAAGCAACTTACCAGTAATATCTCGCCCCAACCGAATCCCCCCTCAACAGTCGCTGTTTTCTTATCTTTGTACATGAACAACGCAACACCGACGACGATCATCAAGACTATCAGGTATTTCTTCAAGTCATACCGCTTGCCGGCAAATAAAACGCCGAATACAAGCACGGGAATCGGCTTGCACGATTTTGCCAGGACCTAAATAAAATTATATTAGTTGTGTCTACATATGTCTATGGATACGTATTTTGGGATATCCACTCAAGAAATAAAACAAATCACTGACTTGTGTTGGGTATGGCAAGTAGAGCAGGGCTTGATTGCTGCTTAGCATCGCACCCAGGTATGAAGCAGCACAAAACGCTAAGCAAAAAGAAATTCAGTGGCTCCATTTGAAGTAGATTTACCGTATTGTTGCCGCGGCACATCATCGCGAGAGCCTTTGGGCATTAAGATCTTAGCGAATGCGGCACTCGCAAGACATACGAAAAAGAGTAGCGTTTGAATATACGTGAATTTATCGTTGGAGCCATATGTGCCTTTTACTCTGCAACAAATTTTCTTAGTTTATCGTGCCACTTTTGCCACTTACACGCGTTCCTGATATATGCCGAAGGCGAAGTAGCAGATGAGGATGCCAGATGCGCAAATCAACAGATGCAGAGAATTATGGAAAAACGAGCGCTGGGGTTCCATTTTTGAAGCCTTATTCTTTCCCGACACGTCCCCATTCGTCTGAGTCATCCCTTCGGCTGAAAAAACGTTTTTCTTAGCCAAAACCTTCTCAAAACGAATAGCAAACGGTTGGGGCGCCTTTTTAGGTCTACGTGTCCTTGGGCCACAAACGGTTACAATATCAAATGCGGGCTATGGGCTAGAGACTACAAAATACATAAATAAACAGATCCCGACTGATCTAAACACAAATTTTCCTTGCTTCTTTTTGACTGGTAAATAAAAACAAGCAAATTCAGGAAAATAGGGAGTCGCTCTCCAACTTATCGTGAAGATGGCGTCAAAAACAATGCTGGATTTGGTGAGATATATTTTTATGATAAATATTTTTTTTAGGTAAAAGAAGCCAATTGTCGACTTTTATTTTCGGCATTGGATGAGATCGAGGGGAATAAATCGCTTGTTTGGGGTGATGAAGATATGATCAAGTTAGCTAATCTGGTAAATCTATAAAAAATAGATTTATAATTCCTTTTCTAGTTTGTTGGGGGCCGACAGCTGAAAACATTGGTACAAGAGATGTTGTCATTATATAAGCCAAAAGCTCCCTCGACCCCCAACGTCGTCTATTTTCTCCATTCAACTATTGAAGCGGTGGATAAATTAATCGACCATATGCAGCGGATTAACACCTCGGTTCGGTTCCTTTTTCGGCGCCTTTATTGACCTATCACTGCTTGCAGAATGCTTGTAACTATGTATTCTTTGTCCCAGATGTATGGTTTGTCGCTCGTGAACGTTTGATGGAGAATACGGCGGTAAGTATTTTTCCCAATTTCAAAAGCTTTGCAGATTTACTCACGAATCGAATGGGTTCGGTCTTTGCCTTTGCGTTGGCTGCCGTCTCCCGCAGGAATTGCAAGCCTCAACCTACCCGATCTGCATTCCCGGGTTCTTCTCAACGGCGATTGGACATATTTGCATAAGTCGGCGTTCGGCGTTAATTATTTCGTACTATATAGCTTCCCCGTCACTACATACTCTCCCCCTAGAAATCACGTTTAACCGACGTTATTCAGATGTGCGTTGGCGGTGGATCAGCTGGAATCATGGTGCAGACATCCGATCCCAATTTTTGCTTCTGGAAAATGGTCCGAAGAAGTTTTAAATATGTTTGCAAAGATGAGGAATAATGTAGGTGGTTCAGACCCTCCGTATATAGCTAAATTCTGTCGATTAAAAATATCATATACAGGGTGTCCCAAAAAAAACGACCCATCTGGCATTTCGCCGTGTTACATCCAATCGGTCCCAAATTTGGACCAGAGGTGTATCAGACCCTAAATAACAACAATCCTGACTTACAGCCCCGTAGCTACAGTCGTTCTCGAGTTATAGCAAAAACAAACTTTATTTTCCATTTTTCATAGGGTTTTCGTGGAATTAGACCCCCTAAACATTAAGTGAAAATGATCCGGTAGGCCTTCTTTACCGTAAGAAATTTTTTCCAGAGTAAAATTAATTAAATAAGCTTCGATATAAGCAATTTTTACAACGCAAAACTACCCCAGTTCATAAGCGAAATTAGGGATTCGCAGCCGGAAGTCGATGCAAATCGATGCAAAGTCCAAAAAGATAGCCGATAAAACTGTTCAGAATTCCGGGAAAAACAGTATTTTCGTTATAACTTTAAAACTACTGTAGCTATGGGGCTGTAAGTCAGGATTGTTGTTATTTAGGCTATGATACACCTCTGGTCCAAATTTGGGGCCGGTTCGATGTAACACGGCGAAATGCCAGATGGGTCGTTTTTTTGGGACACCCTGTATAGGGACCTGGAAGGACATCGAATCCAGCCGGATTGGGATTAAATAGGATTGTCATGGTGGATCGCTGGTTGGATGTCCTTACACCAATGCTTATACAACAAACTTACGCCGGACTGCTTGCCGAACAGTACGGTTTTCGATTAAATGGAAGTATTTCGGTAAGATTTACTTTCTTCGATTGATTCATGTCGTGACAGGTTGATCAAGCTGAATACGAACAGAAAGCTCTACCCCAGCCCGGAAAAATGGATGTAGGTGCAATAATATATAATAAAACTTGCCCTTCAGATCCACCTATTCGATGAAGTCTTCGATAAGGTAAAAAATGCTCATCGTGACTGTTTCGCACAAGAAATTTCACCGGTCTTGAAAGAGCTGAGGGAATTCAAGGAGGTAAGGTGATAAACACCATAGCAAAAAAATTAGATTGATCGCGAAAAAATGTCAGTTGCTGAAATCAAAAAAATCGTGGCAATGCTGGATGGTCACAACCAAAAGTAAGGCTTACTGTTTAGACCCTAATTTCCTATAGGAAAATGCTCGCTGATCGGCACATGAGATTGGCGGAAATGTTGACGCCCCCATTTCGCGACAAACTTTTTGATATTATTTTAATAGAGCAAGGTAGATTTGTCATTTGTATCACATCCCCTCAGAAATTATGCAAAATGATGGCGATAAAGGTGAAAAGACCCATAGCTTTATTGAAGAACTGATCATCGCTGCTGGTCCTATTAATGATGCCTTGAGGTAACGAGTCAAACGAATTGAAATGGAAAAATCTTCAGGTTAATTTCCTTGCAGTCTACTTGCAGTGGAGGATTGAAGACCGCAGTAATGAACGCATACGACAAGATGATTTTTCACGTAATATTCTAAATCGTACCTCAAACACTCCGTTTAGTCCTACGGTTCATCTGGGATGAACCAGATGCTCAAGTTAAAGAAGGTGGGTATTCTCATGAAATCTAGCCTAAAACTAATTTATAATGTTCAGATCGGACTGATCCGCGAGAAATCGAGTTCACGAATGCAATGTACTGATTATCCGGCTTTGCAGTGGACAAGTGCGAAGCGTACGCGGCGTGTTTTAGTCGAAGACTCGGATTTGGTACGTGAAGCACAGTCAAAACCAAGTCATTGGTTTTAGCCGGCTAATGAACCTCAAATCCCTTACCGAGGCTATATCCCGTTGCTGGTTCGCATTATCGAAGAAGGGTTTTCCGTCAATTTTGCAACCTGGAAATCGAATGGAGTCAGCAATAGGCTACCGCCTCATGGAACTGTGGTTAGTTATCTCATTGTCAGATGAAATACACCTGGAGGTTCAATTACTGAAAACACTCATTTTTAGATACTTGTACTTGGTGGTGTCACCGCGGGTGAATCAGCGGCGCTACAACGAAACCCCGATATCTCGCTAGTTGCAGCTAGCGACCTTACCGATGGCCATCGCCTTATTAACCATCTCACCAACATTGTCGATTAAGCTTTGCTTGAATTTACACATCCTCGCCAAAAACAGGTTCTAACAATCGTGCTGTGATATCTCACCGGCCTTATCTCTTAAAAAGAACATAAAATATTTATTATGAAGGTAATTGTGGATCATACACCGAAAAGGAAAATGGAGCGTTTCAAGCGCGCACCATTCGATCGAAAGAGCTTCAGCCCCACTCAGTGAAATCACTCAAATATCACATGCCTTATGACATAGATTTGACAACAATATTTGGGAAATTAATAAAAGAAACCAGTGCACAGAGAGATTGCACAAATTAGCAACTGCCCAGAGAGCGACCCGAATTGAAACGAATAAAATCATGCCTAAAATATAAATTATGAAAAACTGTGAAGATCAGAACATACGGCAAGCGAAAATGGCAATAGTCATGATATGTGCGCAATTGACGAGGCTATTCGAGACCGAGTAGATGGTTAATTCCCTGCACGATGAAGACGATGACAGGCTGCCATGCAACGAGGTAACGTATCCAGTCAAGGAGCTGTCCGTAGAACAGGTGTGGCTTTTCCCAACTGAAAAATTGTCATTATAGAAAGCTTTGCGGCCTGTCGAGTAGAAATTCGCCATAGTACTCATAGCAAAAGGTCAGAATGCAGGGGAAGCCGACAGTAAGCATCAGCATTTCCATTAGATTCAGGTAAAGCAAAAAATGAACTCACGGATTTTTGAACATCCGTTTCAGATCAACCTTCTCTTTGCAATAGGGGCACGTCTGCAATTTGCCGACGATCACCCAGCCGCGAATGCAGAATTCGTGGAATTCATGCCCGCACGACAGACGATATGTTTTCTCCTCAAAATAAAGGATGTTTTGAAAAAAATCTGTAAACCTGTTCTTCGTCGTCTTCTTCCGTTTTTTCTAGGTGATTGTCGCAGACGGCGCACACGTTATCGCTGAGAGTTTTCTTGGGCAGCCCGTTTTCCGTATAATACTAAATATTTTTATATAGTGTTTGATATCCAAAAAATACCCCGATTTTACAAGCCATCCGATCGGTGCAAATGTGCGCAAAGTCACGACCCAGCACACCGTAGTACAAGCCATAAAAGAGCAGCAAAATACCAGCGTCCATGCCTGAAATGAGAATCTTCGAAGCGCAATAAGAATACTAAAAGCATTTTGAAAAACTCACAAGTATTTGGTTTCAGGCCAAAGATCATGTTAAATCCGAGTAGTGTAAACATCATCGTCAAATAACCGGCGATGCCCAGCACATAACTTAGCTTGTGCAGAAATAGGAACCACTTGTACACAAATCTAAAAAAAAACAATTACAATGATAACACGACTGAGTAAAAAATGAGGTAGTTTCGATGACAACACAACGAACAATTTTTGAAAGCTTTTTGCTAAGTTCTATTCGAGCCACTAAATTCCCTCACCTTGGCGTTTTCCCAGAAATCTGCGGTTCATTAGATTTTAGCCATATCCACACAGAGAAAATTGTGTAGACGAGCCACGTCGCCAGAAACCGGTACCATCCACGTTGTGTGCATACAAATACTGGGACCAGCCACATTCCGACCAACGTGCACAACTAAAAAATAGAATTTGAAAGCAACGTCTGTGTCAAGCGCTGAAATAGCCTCAACTTTCTCAACGGAGATCCTAAAAATCGACAAGTGACTTGCCTGGTAGCTTTTGAAATGACGTTTCTTCCATTGAACCAATGCAATTTGAGCGACAACGAGCGAAATAATCAGGATCAAAAACATCTCCATGTGCATCGCATCATGGCCCTAAACAGATATATTCTCATAATTACACAAAACTTGCAGCAAAGGAAATATTGAAAAGCAATATTACCTTGTGTTTCTCGTGTAATTTGATATGCTCGAGCTTCCATTTTTCTTCCTCGGTCATTTCCCCAATTGGCACCTCGTTTTGAAGTATAATTGCGCCATGTAGGGGATGGTCGACGATCGGGCCGTCCATCTACTAAAAGAAGTTTTCATGTAAAAACACGAAAACAAATTGCAACAAATGAAAAATAGAACTAGAAAGGAAATTAGAAAGAACAAGGAAAATTTTGAAATATTCTTCTTGGAGTACGAAAATTACGCGCAGTACGCAGGAAATCGTAGTTAGTACGCCTGTGTAAGCGCCCCTTGCAGCATTTTCGATTTTACGGTTGGCTTGGTTTTCTTTATCCAGAATTTTCTTGATTGCTTATTTCATAAAAACCAAGGCAAGACGATGTCTACCTTCTCACAATTAAACCGTTTGCGTTTACAACTTTGCTCATCTTACTTTCGCTTAAAATATGAACTTTTGAACTACACTATGATATTTAACGGTGAGGTACCCGGCCGATCACATCGACCCGAGCATTCTCGGCAGTGCCAGATGGGCTGTTAGCACATGAAATTCGCTGGGTGGTCCTGGCGCGTATAGACCTACGGAGGGAAAGCCTGCACATCAGGCCAACTTTCGATGCATCTGCCCCAGAATAGACGTTCAACCGAATGTCCATTGGAGAAAGTAGTCTACATTCCCTAACAATCCAAGTTTTTTTTTAAAGAGTTTAGCGGTTCGCACTAGGCTCACCCCCCGCCTGATTTTTATCTTCATAAAGCTAGGTTTTTGAAGCCCCACACTACTAAAATTTAAGAGTCTATTTTAATAAACTAATAAATAAATTTATTTATTTATCCGTTTCGGTTGTTCCCGCACCAGTTTACGTCTTGTAAGTGCCTGTTTGGCGTATATACCCGGGGCTGCATATACAACGTCCTTTATCGAACAGCGGATCACGAATTCACTTCCGAAAGAAATTAAATATTTTATCAACTACGTGCCAAGCAAGGCTTGGATGATTTCTTTTTATATTGCTGCTATCTTTGAGGCGTTTCGAGGCTTTTTCCGCGTTTGAATGTCGTCGGGCGTTCCCCCATGCCGCGATACGACCCCTATCGATTTTTGACAGCTGGCTTTGGCGCCGCCCATCCTAAAGAAAAGTACTGCAGGGAATCCATGCATTAGGTTAATTTCTCCAGCCTACTTTCGTTCCGATTATTCCTGTGTTTGTTTGTCCTTGAACAGTGGAGGTGTTAATGCACTTGGGGGAGGGGAGGGGGAACAGTCCGGATTTTGACTACAAGATACGCCGTTTTTAAACTCTGAGCCTCTGGAAAAGCTAAGCCAAGCCTAAACCTAAGCTTAGCTTTATACAAAGGAAGCCTGTACTTAGATCGAGCTAAGCTAAGTTTAGCTCTAACTGTAACCCTCTTATGTTGACCGTGGGTTGACCTTGAGTAAAGATGATGAAGGTGCTATTTTCTTAGTTTCACCCTTCCAAAAAGTTAAACAAAGCCTGTGATTATAAGATTTTTGATAGAACGAAGCAGTTTCAAAACAGAATTTGCAGAAAGCTATATCACGGGCGCCGAAAAGTTTAACACCAGTTTTCGATAAAATATTGTAAAGCAAAAACGACCGCCGATGCGGGTCGAACCAGCATTGCCTCCCTCATGAGATCACCGCCTTACCACTGTACCGTCAAGCTGCCAGAACGGGGCCTCTGGGATGTCCAACCTCTTTGAATCCCCGAGAGGCGCAGTGGGCCAGTTTCGTGTAACGTTAAAATCGATTTCTAACCTGTTTCCCGAGGGGCCCGCAACTCCCGGAGCTATTCCGCAGTATGTGAGAACAGATTTGGAATCAGCAACAAATTCTGCAAAAGATGTGCTAGGTCCCCTTATGAAATCCCACCGAGACTTTCAGAGGTCCCTTGTAAGCCCTAAATGACCACATTTTGACCTCATAAGCCAATATAATTCTTCAGAAAAGCTTAGATTGGGCGCAAGCCTGACCCTAAGCCTAAAAACTAAGCATAGTTAAAGCCAAGTTAAGCATAGGCTTCTAAAATCAAGCAGCTTAAGCGGAACGTCTCGTAGCCTCTTACCATCAACGGACTGCCTCCTCCCCGAACTGCATTAGCACCACCGTGGATACTAGTAAGACGAAATAATCTGTAACCTTTAGTTGGCTACCATGAGCACCGAAAACGTTCCGCCAAACGATGAGAGTACAGCCTGGAAGAATAACCTCAAGTTGCCACCGAAAGATCTGCGCATTAAAACAGCTGTAAGTTCTTGGAGATCTGTGGATATTGTTATAGTTTTTTTTCGGTATAATAACTTATTTTAGGATGTGACCAACACGAAAGGGGTGGAATTCGAAGATTTCTGCCTCAGCCGCGATTTGCTGATGGGTATTTTTGAGAAGGGTTGGGAGAAGCCGTCACCAATTCAAGAAGCCTCCATTGCTATCGCTCTTTCCGGTACGAAGATTGAGAAATTGCTATTAATCGGATTTCAGGCCAAGATATTCTTGCTCGTGCGAAAAACGGAACAGGAAAGACCGGCGCCTATTGTATCCCAGTCATCCAGAAGATCGACCCAAGTATCAAGAAGATTCAAGCCCTAATCATCGTCCCTACCCGTGAATTGGCTCTCCAGACATCCCAGATTTGCATGGAGCTATCAAAGCATATCAAGCTAAAGGTACGAATAAGGCTTTTCTCATGGATTATACAGTTTCATGGGTGAACACCTAAAGAATAATTTCCTTCTTAGGTCATGGTTACCACTGGTGGTACGGATCTGCGCGACGACATCATGCGGTTGAACAGTCTGGTCCATCTTGTCATTGCCACTCCTGGACGTATTCTGGATTTAATGGAGAAGGGTGTAGCCGATGTTTCCAGTTGCAAGATACTGGTATTCGATGAGGCTGACAAGCTGCTGTCGCAAGATTTCCAGGTATATTAATTTTTCTTGGGTAGACATCGCGACATGATTGTTCGAGTAAGTTGAAAAAGCCTGTATCAAACGCTTTTACGAGCATACTTGTGCGTGGAAATTAATTTAGCCACCGATTTCCACGAATTATTGATTTCCGGTTATTTCAGGGCGTGCTGGATCGTATGATCGCTTTTCTGCCGAAGGATCCGCAGGTGATGCTCTACTCAGCCACATTCCCGGTTACCGTCACGGAATTCATGAGCAAACACATGCGCAAGCCCTACGAAATCAACTTGATGGAGGAGTTGACCCTACTTGGTGTCACCCAGTACTATGCATATGTCCAGGAAAAGCAGAAGGTGCACTGCCTTAACACACTGTTCCGCAAGGTTTGTACGTTATACAAGCGTCTTTTGGACGATGATTACGTTTATTCCGTAAAAAACTTTTATTGACTTTTTTAGCTCCAAATCAACCAGTCCATTATCTTCTGTAATTCGACGCAGCGCGTGGAACTGCTTGCAAAGAAGATCACCGAAATCGGCTACTCATGCTACTACATTCATTCCCGAATGGCTCAGAACCACCGCAACCGTGTGTTCCACGACTTCCGCCAAGGAAACTGCCGCAACTTGGTCTGCTCGGATCTCCTCACTCGCGGTATCGACATCCAAGCTGTGAATGTCGTAATCAATTTCGACTTTCCCCGCAATGCCGAAACTTATCTCCATCGCATTGGACGGTTCGTTTATTTCCGGCCTTGTTATTTTTTGTTAATTAAAAAGTACTGTTGGTATGACAATTTTATTCCGATTTTTATCTTTCCATTTAGTTCCGGCCGCTTCGGACATTTGGGTATCGCCATCAATTTGATCACATACGACGACCGCCACACACTTCGGCGCATTGAATCCGAGCTGCGCACCCAAATCCAGCCTATCCCGAAGGCCGTCGACCCGAAACTCTACGTGGCTGACGCGCAGATCTGTGACGCGGATGAGCCCGAACCACACCACTAGATCTCTTTTTATTCAAACCTCTACTAAGGTCTCTGCTATTATTCCTCTCATCCGTGATATCTCGAGTTGTTATCTGTGTATTGCCCTTTAATATTCTCGTACGTCGCTGGCATTCACAAACTGCCAGGCCTCCCTTGGTTCGTCTTGATCATGGATTGGGGTATACTGAAATTTTGGCAAAATCTTTTGGATTCTCCGACCCGTATTATGCCGAAACCGAATACCAGTGGATAGCTAGCGACTTTTTGGTGCGCCTTTTTGCAACATGCCTAGTCTCTTAAGGTCCGATTTGCCTTGTGCAGGTAAATGGCTTGTCATGTAAGTACTGGTGCTCAAGAATAGTTCTTCTCTCGCAGCGCGTGCGCTCTTTTTCACTAACCTTACTCGTCCGATTGTCACCCGACTGACTACTGTAAATACGCTATGGTAGCCGGGTTTATTACTTCGTTTTACTCGCTTTCCCACCAAGCTGTACCCCGCATCTTCCATATGGTTACGGGCCTCATTTATTACGTGTTACCTCCCCCTAAATGTCTGACTACGGCATTTTTAATTTTTGATGCTCACGTTTTGTGTTCGTCCCCTGTGTTCCATGCACCCTTTCCCTGTCTTACTTTCTCGTTGGTTAGAATACTACCGGACACGAATGTGATATCAAATTCCACCCAAAGGTTTTTCCCCATTTGATATTCCATCTTTCAAACCGTGGGTTTTCCTTTTCGCGTCAACCACCGCGGAGTCTGCCCTCCCCCTGGGGCTGAGGTACCGTCCCGGTCGCGTTTGGCGTGATTTTTTTGGAGCCAAACAAACCAAGCAAAACCAAAGATAAAAAATGGTTCCATCCGAATTCGCACGCAACTGCACGCCAGAAAGTGACAATACATCAACAATCCAACACTTATACATATTTCATCGGCGCACGTTGCCCTGGAAGCGTTGTGCAAGAGTTGATAAACCCGGGTAAAGTATTTTTTAGCAGCAGCTGAACATTAGGATGTTATCGCAAGCCCTACTTCTAAAATATTTTTAGGGAAAATTCCGACTACAGAACGATAACATTACGCGAGTCGTTGACCCGACTGTTCATGAGGATCGAAAATCAGACTGTTGGGTTCTGTTTGGGAAACAATGCCTTCAGCACCCAATAGAATGGGATGCGCGTTCCACCGCTTCGCTCGACTGCCGGTAGCATAACTTGAATGAGCTATTTGTCAATTCGTTGACGGCGGCTTCATGATTAGGATGTGGACAATATTAAGTATTTGCGCCAGGGAAGGTAGCGTAAAAAATTACCGAAGTGCGTCCAGCGTATTGTTTTACGACCAAAAAGTAGCTAGTATAACCTAAGTGCGGCTAGGAAAAAAATCTAATGCCCTAATTATTTAATTTTCAAAGAAACAGGTCGTCTTTCTATTCGTAAAACAAAAATTCTTTCTGATCGGATTCTAGGTTTATTTGTAGCGTTCTCATCCATCCAAGTTGAGCCGCGCGGTTGAGTTTTTTTCAAAAAACATAAAGGTTGCAAATGTTTGCAAAGTTGTCCCGTGTCGAATATACTTCCCTGATGGGCACTTGGTTAAACCAACCGTACGGTCCGGAACAGCTTGCCGGCGTTCAAAACATCACGGCTTTTTGCACAAAATGAAGGAATGGGCGTGAGGCCCGTTTCACCCTTAAAAACACATCGGCTAGCGAATTTAGCTGTTCTCGTTCTAGCTAATGTGGCTGGAAAGACCCCAGAATTACCTAAATTTTAATAGCTAAACCAAAAAGATACCTCAAAGGCCAGTCAGGATGCGCGGCTCTAGCTTTGTGCGAAATTTTACTTTAGCTTCCATGGCCTAATGAAAACTCCTGTTGCGTGCCCATTTTTTCTGGCGAGTTTACGCGCACGCATGTCCACGCTCAAACATCGGGTAAGCAAGTATCGATGGCCTTACTGAAAGTCTCTCACACTGTAGCCAAACTACCATTAAAGCCTCGAAATACCTTGTTTTCGGAGGTCGTACACAACTGAACGCAATAGCGCCACCTTTTTGTCCCCTGTCAGCTTATGGGATAGGGAAAGTGGGAAGGACACGGAACGAGCCCATCCGAGGGTATCTGTAGATTGGGTTCTACAAATGAAGATTTTTATATATCCCTGGATTGAAAAAACCATTCGCGGCTTTTTAAATGGATAAGGATGATCCAGTAGATCAAGCCCCGTTTACAGGGTGTCCCAACAAAATGACACCCCCTCTAACTCGACGAAGAAGTATCGGATAGCAACGATAGTTACACCATTCGAATGCCCTTGAAATGGTGAGTTTGCAACAACTTGCAAAACCATGTTTTATTTGAACCCGCCATTCTACAGGCCATTTTGTAAAATTTTGCGATTTTTCAGGTTGCTTCCGAGCTAATTTGCCTCAATTCCTCCAAGCAAAATTACCGGAAGTAGCCATTAATTAGATACAAGGGCGGTTCCTCAAGGTTTTTAAATGTATTATTGAAGTAAAAACATGGTTTCGAAAATTGTTGCAAACTCGCCGTTTCAAGGGCTTTCGAATGGTATAACTATCATTACGATCCGAGTCTTCGGAATCGAGTTAGAGGGGGGTATTTTTTGATTGGGACACCCTATATAATTGGCGGCGAGCCAACCGGAAATGCTAATGCAAAAAAATGGTCAGAGAATGCGGCGAGGCAGGAGGGAGCAGAGAAGATCTATGCTAATGATAGAACTAAAACGCGTTTTATGCTAATTCCCCTGGGTCTTCCTGATTCCTTTAACCATGACCGTCTGAACTTTCCATAGTTCTCCCCGAATACCGATGACGGAAAATATCAAGAATAACTGATGTGACCTTTTTAATAGGCTGCCACCACTTCCGTCTCGTGCTGGTGGCTTCCTAACAAAACCTTAATCGTAACTTCGACACCGAAACCTTTTCAAAGATCTGATATGGGTGCCGTCATCTACAGGGTGCGTCAAAAAAAAAGAACCAAGTTTGCACCAAAATATCTCGCTTATCTTTGAGAATCGAAGGTACGTTACCATGCCAGAATGCTTAAATATGCTGGGCATGAAGATATAACACAACTTGATTTTTTCGATTTTTGGCGACGTACCCATACAAATGACACCCGAAAACTGTGCGTTCCGGCAAAACTTCGTTTGCATTTTTTAGGATTGCTGGTGGTCGAACACTTCCAATTTTTACAATGTAGGTACCTAAGGACTGCCCCTACGCACATCCGGAATTTTAGAATTTTCGAAGGTCTGGTTGGCAAGTTATAGCGTGCTCAAATTTAATATGGAGAAATTTCGTAGATTTCGAATATTACAAAAACCTATGGTGGAAACCTCAATATAAGCTGTTTTAGCATGTCTATAGGCTTGATACAATCCCGCAAAAATATCAAAAAAATTTTTCAGATCCGCGGATTTTTGAGTTTTTCAACGATGGATTGATGGATTTTTTCGAGGTCACGAAACTGAACTTTGGAAAAATATTTCTAAAATTGCAGATAGAATTTCGGTGTTTGCTTTGCTTCGTTGTGTAAGACTGGGGTCCATCTATCATGTAAACAATTTCTAGCTACCGTACTGCTTTGGAAGGTTGCTTTTTAGCGCCTCCAAAACGGTTGGTTCGTGCTATTTCGCAGGCCTTCGTGCCAGTCTATAAAATTCATTTGCGCGGTTAGAATTATTGTCGTAATTTTATTTAATACTACTTAATGGGCGCATTCTAAAATTATATTTACAAGGTTATTGGGCCATCCGATCTCTCAAAAGAAATTCATGAAGAGTCCAAATATACTCGAACTCGAGGTGACGTAAAAAAATTCTCGAGGCTTTAGTAGCCTCGACTTTTTTGGCATAAACTCAGCTTGGGTAGTCAAATAAAACGCATGCAAACACAAAATCTTTTCATGGCAAACGAATTTAGAAGAGCTCCCCAAAGTCGGCTTTTCAAAAAACGTTATTTTCGTGTTTTAAATCAAAATGAACCATTAGCTTCAGCCAGATCATTCCAGAATTCTGCATTCATACACAATTCGATGCGTGCTTTAATTGTATCCACCAAACCCCGATGCCTTTTTCATTTTCAAAAATTCGATTTTCGAGCCAGGGCGTCGGGTCGAAAATCGGGCCCCTGGGTGGGTTTTCCTCTTTCCCTCATAACTTTGTCATTTGCCACAGGAATCAAGTAATTTTTTGTAGGTGCTCTTACAATCACCCAGAGAACACTATAGAATGGAAAAATTGGCATTTTATGGAATTTTGTCTTGGCATGCTAAAAAGCGCTCCAGGCGGGTTACGGTAGAAAACAGAAAATCGCCGTTTTCTCGTTCTTTTCACCATAGAAACGTTTCGATCTTTCAGGAAAACAAATAATAGTAGTTTTCGGTCCGATGCATCAAAATATTTAGAAATTTCCGTGGCTAAATTCAAAAATAAGTTTTTTGCATATTTTGGGAAGGTGTATGGCTAGAACTTCGCGATATTTGGCCAATAGGTGACCCTTACTGTTGTTTACCAATGATAAAATTTTAAGCGAAATCGCAGCTTACAATAAAAAGAAAAACGCGAAAAACAAAAACTACAGTATCCCTCTGGGGCACGTTTTAGCAAGCAATATTAAAATACCATAGAATCAGGTAAAATTTGGTGTTGTGCTAAAGATTATCATTCGGAGACACCATTTGCAAAAAATCAGCCATGGGCAGCGTATTTGAAGAGAGTTGCTAATTAAAAAGAAAAAATAAGCAAAATAGGGAAATTTGTTTTGCCTTTAAAAAAAGAACTAAACCTTCAAAAATTTTAAGACTTTGTTTTTATTTTTCTACAAATGTCAACTATTTATAGGCCAAAAATCAGAATTTTCCCACCACCGGTTCAAGAACGCACAATTTTCGGTCGTAACCAGCGTCAATAGTACAGTTTCGTACTCAAAAATCGAAAAAATCAAGTTGTGTTATATCTTCATGCCCAGCATATTTAAGCATTCTGGCATGGTAACGTACCTTCGATTCTCAAAGATAAGCGAGATATTTTGGTGCAAACTTGGTTCTTTTTTTTTGACGCACCCTGTAGAGACCATTCGCACCCAATGAGGTTTTATTATGTACCCTCAATTTCTTCCCTTATTGGGATCTTGCTAAACACAGCGACGGAAGTTGCATGGAATTCCGCATGGAATGAGTATCTGCGGACTTCGCAACCCGCTCACTTTTTCTTCAAGGGTTAACACTAGCGTTACAACTAGGCTGCGTTTAGGCTAAAAGATCTCGACAGAACACATCACTGACACGAGAGTCCATCATCATCTTGCCCCGAAAGTTCATCGACGCTCTGTAGCCTTGCTTTATCGAATAATCATTCGTTGAGGGCATACACGCGGTGACTGACCTTCAGAAGAACACATAGCCCTCGAGAGTCAGTATCGTCTCCCTTTGAAGGGTGAGGCGTGTGTGGCTCTCGGGGGGAAGGGAGGGTTGGCCGTGTTAAAGGGTGCCGAGTCGTACAGTAACCAGTTTGCCGAAGCGACGAGGGGAGGAAGGGACGCGAGCGTGTGCCCGGAGGGCTAATGCGGGCAGGCGATCAGGGCACTTTGCGAGGCAGTCTTGCCCTCCTCGTTTCCCCATCCCTACCACCACCACCGTTTCCTCCTCCTCCTCATCCTCCTCCTCCCCTTGCGAGCCTCGATTTGCATGCCTGCCGCCACCACCGGCCAGTCCCACAACGGCTACGCGGGTGAAAGCTTTTCCGTGCCCCCAGGGCACAATATCAACGGCTCTGACAATCACACCTCCACACCCCCATCCCCCACCCACCACTATCCACTGCCATCTCAACCTTCACTCCACCCATACCCGGGCAGCCGGCTCCGGTTCAGCCAGCTGTTAATGCGCTATACTCTGTCCATCAATTGCCCCCAAGAGTAATGCCATACGCCTATATTTTATTTAGACGCGGCATTTTAGAAGCCTTTTTGTTAAGGTTTCCGGACTTTCCGATTTGCCAACCAGCTAGTGGCCTCAACTTCTCCAATTTTGCTACACGACTTTTACGTGTTGCGTATAAATACCGACATAGTGACGAAGATGGTTGCAAAGGGCTTTTTTTGTATTGAATGTAAAAAATTCATTCCTATCCGACCCTTCTCCGTCGAGTTAGAAGATGTTTTTTAGTGGACGCTGTGTACTATATTAACGCGATCTTTGGGACACATTGTCCCTATTATTGGACACTAAAATTAATTTATCAGAATTCATTCGCTTAGACTCCTCTAGTTCTCACACCGTGCTCAGCCCATTCCAGCCTCGACAACTTTCTTGTAGCAACAACCATAGACCTCTCCTTCCACTATGTATGATGTACTGCTTAGAGGCGCATCAACGGAACGGAAGGAGCAACAGTAGGGTGTGGGAAGAGTATACTTGTGTACTGGGTGAGCGAGAATGAGTGATCTGGCCCTTTTTCAACTATAGGACGGGTGTGGCTCTCCCGCCCACCTTCTCCTCCTCCACCTCCTCTAACGCCTCTTTCTCCTTCCCATCCGCCATCCACCATCTACACACGTCGAGCACAACCATTCCCTTCATTTGCATTTCAACCCTTCCACCCCCCCCCCGTCAATCGGACCCTCGCTGAACACCTGAGGCTTTACTCATCTTGACCTTGCCATCGGGTGTGGCTCTCATCCCGGGCGTTTACCTTGTGATTCATCTCTGCACCTACATATACCTTTAAATCTGAGATTTTATTAGTGGCTTTTTTTGCATCGGCACTTAAATATTTGCAATAAGACGGATTATAAGCACTTTAAATACAAAAATTACTGGTTAAAATCGAAAACGTCCCTCTTCACTTTTTATATGATCTACCCCACTTCCGGTGAATGGCCTTATTTCCTAAAAATACGTTCAGCCGAATTTTCCGCAAAAACTTCGTTTTAAGATCTGAAACGACATTTTTTAAATATGATGTAGGCAATAATTTAGGGGTCATTACGATCCATCGCATCCAGTGTCCTATCCAGCGCCTTGTGGCAGCCAGCTTCACATCTACGATTTAGAGTCAATAGCTTTCACTTCGTATTGCCCCCCGAATGTTAACCCTTCGGTTTTTATCAAAATACCGACTGCCGAGGCATTACTTTGAATCGTGGTACCCATCCCTCAAAGTTTTTGCGTCCTTTTACGAACGCTCAAGCTCTCCCCATCGCTTTTGCAAAGATGACCTTGCCAATGGGTGTGGTCAGGCTAAGCACCATTTCCCACATTTCCGTCCGCCAGCTCTTCACCGAGCTCAAGTCAGCCATTTTCGTTTGAGTTTTCGCCATTTTGGCAATGGTTTTCGGTTTGCTTCGATCTGCCTAGATTGCATTCACCAAAAATATTTCGAAACTTTCATTCAGGGCAAGTCATGCGCGAATTGCCTTGTTAGATAGTTTTTTAACTTTACACTTTAGTTTTCACTCAATCACTGTATCAAATTTTTTCTACTTCAACCCAAAACATTCTAGCAGGTGGCCTGACAGGTGTCCATTCCGTACGTTTGCATAAGTAAGTCGACCCTCGACTACAGCACCTCAAAAAAACTGTGTTTGGATCACAATTAAAACTTCGAAAACTATCTCGAAATCACCATCTGCCCGGACCTCGTGAAATTCATCGGATAAACGTACTAGAAACACCTCCACCTATCACAGTGGGGGTCGGCACATGCAAAGCCTTGAGCCATCCAAACAAGTAGCATCCCTCACGGCAGAGTTTACGGCTCCTTTTATGGCGTCCTGGTCGTCCTCAGCCGGCGCCGTGTCGCGTCTGGCTTCCAAAAATCCGGATTTATTGATGTCCGAGGATTCGGCGGGCAACTATGTGGTTATCGGTGTGAAAGACGAATATAGTATACTAGACCAATTGTGTTCTAGTCATTAAAAATTCATCCTTTCGACAATAGGAAGCCGTACCGTATTGACCAAAATTAGTGCATAGCTTCTGTCCAGGGACGTAGCGTAAGGACGTAGCGTAAGGTGGGCCCTTTGCCCCCGAAATCGGCCGGGGCCCGAAAATTTCATAAGGGGGGCCCTTATGATTTTTATTTTTTGCTTCCTGCGGCGCTATTTTTTCACGTTTTTACTGCTATTTGTAGAGCTATGTTGCCTTTTTTCCAACATTTTTCGCATGCGGCGCTGTTTTCTCGTTAATTTTTTGAGTTTTTCAGAAGGAATTTTTCGGCCCCCGAAATTTTTTTCTGGCTACGCCCCTGATTCTGTTTATAGCTTCCTCGTGCGTCTTTATGGGACGAGATTTTATTAGAAGCTACTCATATTCATATTCATATTTTATATTTTTTAATTATAACTGTCACGTTTTTTCATGTGGAAGGGGCTGATACTAGAGGAAGTACTATATTCGTCGAATCCAAAGAAAAGTACCAAGAATATTGGAGCCGCTGAGAAGTTTTCTGAATTCTATTTTTTTTAAACGAATTGTATAGAATTAGTTTTCTCCCCAGCATCTCTCCTCCTTCTCCTTCTGGCTTCGCATATTTTCTTGAGCAGTCTCGTCGCCGTTCAGTTATGCAATGGGGGGTATGCGAGACCGGTGTGCATGTGTGTGCTTCTACGTATGTCTGTCTTTCTGCAATGGCGCGCCTTTCAGGAAACACTTGGCTATCACCGGGGGAGGAGGAGGTTGGAGAAAGGAGTGAATGGTAGCTCGAGACCTCCTCCTCCCCCACCACCTTTCCATTCCTTCAAATTGAATGCCATCTTGTTAGTGATCAGTCCGCGGCACACCCCGGAATGCCCCATCCCAGGCCAGATCCCACCCAACCGCGCACTATCGCTTTTTCTCTGGACCCCCGAAATCGCGTGGCAGCCGTGATATTGAGCTCTAGATACAAACAGACGGTAAACAACTCGATGATCAGGGACTATTGACTAGTGACTTGCACGATTTTGTCAATACTTTAATAATGCAATTCCACGATGCACAAGTCAGCGAAAAAACTTGCATTCAAGTTAATCTGTCTCCAAATTGAAGCTACCTGGCAGAGGTCGCGGCGCATCGGTGATAAAAATTTATGATCACCTCTTGGAGGTCATCTACTTCCTCCAAGCCACCGCCCCGATTAGTCAGCTATGTAATCATCCACTACCATTTTTATCAAATTTTGAAATATATTTCAAGTAGATCTGAATTTTATCGAAAAACTGCCGCAATCCAGATCATCATTTTTAGACAAACGAATCTTGGCCACGAATTTCGACAAGGACTCCATTGCCCATATCCCGGTTTGTCGTACTGAAAGGAATTCTAAAAGCACCGCCATGGTTTCATTTTTCAAAGAAACAGTTATAACTGCCCAGCCCCTCAATTTTGTAATAACGATGAAATCGTTGGCGTATTGCCTCCACGACAAAATATCACGGGGAGCGATGATTTTTGGCAGGCATGTCGGCGCCTTTCGATCCGCCAACCTGCGCGACGTGTTATTCTTTTTCGGTTTTCGCTGCTAACTTCTTTTCGGTGTTTCTTCATGCTCACCCACCCCCAGGGCAGATAGGGTCGGAGGGCGAGGTGGGTGAGGAACACGACTTGGGGGGTGGGGCTGCGGTTTAGTCATGGTTTTTCGGGACGTCTCACTTTTTCCTTCATTGCTTTCATTTTCATTCGCGGCGTCGCGCGATGATATGGTGTCAGACCTGAGGTGTTCTCGATGTAACCATGTGCTTCACTGTTCTGAATTTTTGTATAGTATCTCTGATCTACTAATTTCAGCATTTGATTTTTATTTCTGCTTGTATGTCATTGTTGATCACCAAGCGTCGTTCTTTTGTCTCTTTTTAATGATCCACAATCACTAAATTTCAGAACCGCGGTAATGGCGCGAGCGCGAGGGGCCTTTTTTGCGGCCCTAATCGCCCTCAGCGCGGCACACCAGCGCTACGCAACACAAGAAAGCCCACAGCAGACATATTGTAAGTATTTTCTATCAGAACATGGAAATTTCTTTGTCTTTCCGTTCTGCCCTTTCTTATCGTATTGCTCAATATTCCGCCATCCCACAACGTTAGCTTTGCGGGGGTATGTAGTAGGGCGTGGTCGTTGTCCCGTACTCTCGTTTGCTACTCTTTCCAGTTCACACAATCTCCGAGATAGTGACCGGGAAAAAAAACTACTATGCCAAGGCTGTCTGAATCACACATCCAAAAAGATTTATAAACATACGCTAGCTTGTATTTACGATCATGGGTTTTCGACACGATAGACTGTAAGTGCATCAATTTTTCTCAATAGACCTTTAAAGTTAATGACTCATGCATGCCTCACAAAAAATAACTTGGGAGCTAGACATAGGAATGGCAGTTTTTGCCAGGTTTCGGACACGCTAAAAAGCGCGAATTCGTGCTCCCCCTTACCCTCAGCTAGCGGCTTCTCACTGATTCGTGATTTGTCTTGCCCCTCCTTTTTGACGTGTCGAGTCGCACCGCCCGGCTGAAAAGACGGGTTTTTCCCTCATCGGGTTCAGGTGCCACTGCCGACCACGGTTTGGAAATATAGATTTTTCTGGTTGAGGTGCGATAATCCATCATCAACTCTCGTGGCATTGCATTGAAATAGGATGAAGCCTAAATGCTATAGAGCCGCAATTTCTCCATAGCTCTTCAAGGCAGTAGTCCCTAAAAACGGGGCATCACTTTTGACCGCAATCCGACAACAATAGAAGATGAGGAAAGACAACAGCCAATCTACCGCTTTTCGCCCAAAAACAGCGCAAATCGAATTGAAACACTTTCACGACCAAACCCCGGCCCACCGAGAGCCGTTTTTGCCTCGGCCAGGGTCAAACTCGGACCGCAATTCGACCACGGGGGTGTCCTTTTAGAAAGCGTTAGAAACAAAAACACTGCCTCGTCTGAAAATATATTAGTATATCAATTAGGAAAGGCCAGGTAAGTGTCAAAGTTGAATAAAGGAGTCCATCATGGGGGAGTCAGATACTCAAAGTGTCAATGACATTTGTAGTTGCTTCTGTCCTATCAAGTGGAGTCAAGTATTGATGGACCAAGATTGTTTGTTCTTGAGAGAGCAATAAGGGGGTCAGACACGGGTGAATTAGGAAAATGTGATTCAAAATTATGTCCAGAATCTGGAAGATTTTTTAAAGCACGAGGAAGTCTGAACACCTGCTAAAAACGGCATCCTTCAAAACTAATTTAAATGTTTCAGCTCATCTGGAGTGCCGGGTTGACGACCCGCTATCGTGTAGCCAGAGTAAAGGCGAAGTCTGCGTCTTCAACAATGGGCAGTACCGCTGCGCTTGTCCGCCTGGAGTTTCCCGGTTAAGTAAGTTGCTTTAGTCGTTTCTAACGAGTGCTTTTCTTAGTATTAATCATAGTGATTTTATTACGTAAATCGTGGCCCTTGGGTCAGAGGTAATGTGGAAAACGACCTCTTAAAAACAATTACAGGAGGACACCTCCTTCCGTTTTTAGCGCGGCTACAGCCACCTTTGTCTAAATATCTCATCCACATTCGTTTCCATTCCACGAACCCCAAACCCCCCATTCCATCAATCAGTATCCTTCTTCCAGGCGATGGTCGATGCAAATCCCTGAACGAATGCTCACAGCCGAAATTCAACACTTGCCACAAGGACGCCCGTTGTATCGACAAGGTATCCATCGATCCTTTATACCTAAAGAAGGGGTAAACCGGGGGGGGTGGATTGAAGGAAATGAATCACTTGGTAGGAAGATGGTGGCTCTGTTTTGTATCGAAAAAAGGAGCGGGGGAGAAAGGTGGATGGCTTGACCTTGATGGCCGGTTGCTGCCACAACGTGACGGCGGACGGGCCACACCCAACAGTCCACGTAGATGCTCCACATTTTTGGCTTTCGAGCCAGAGATGGATTTAACGGGGATCAAAGTTGACGGGTTTGATTGAACTAAAAATTGCGCAATAAACAAAAATTTGATGATTCAAATTTATGCGAGGTAGGGCTCAAAGGTTTTGAGAAATAAGAAATCGTTAGGTCTGACACGGGGAAATGGGAAGGATTCTGAAAGTTGAATGAGTCGGATTTTCGGGCCCGGCTAGACCGTCCCCCTAGCCAGAAGTGCCCAAAAGACTTTCGCACGCTTTTTCTTTGCGATATCGAGGCAGTTAATAAAAATGTTCCCGCCCTAAGCCTAAATTTTTTTCAGCGAACCATTTCCTTCAACTGCAAACAAAATGTCTGGTTTTGTCAGAACCCACCATCCCCTCTTTTCCTGCTACCCATAAGGTCTTTGTGGGGGCGAGACCGGGCGCAATCCGCTAATTTGCGGTAGCCGCCGCGGTTTCACCAACGTCCGGTCGACCCCCACAGACAGAGCACAGCCCATCAAACAATATCGAAAGTGTCGATGTGTTGCCACAAGACCTACAGCCAATCTGTTCGCAATGCGATCCAAATGCGATAGTTAGTGTAGAGTATATGGATATAGTTTGGATCCCGGGTTGCCAGCCCCTTGACAACACCGTAATTTCCTCAAATCAAGGCCGCTCAAATATCAGCCACTCCACTGATAAAATCTTTCAATATTTCGTTTAAAATTTGAGACGTGGTGTAAATAATAAGTCTGCTTATGCAGTTTAATTTTGTCGAAACATATGGTATCGGTCTAAATATTAAGACTTAAAAATCTGCAAATTTCTACTCCTTTTTGGTATATGGGTCGATTGAAAACTATAATACGCAACTTCAGTATAAGCCATATTTGAAGAAGCGATCCTAAATGCGTGGAAACAAGTTAGTTGCAACGAAACTGACAAGTTTTCAGATGCAAAAATTTAATTGAAAACTGGAGGATTGTTCAGGTCGAGGGCTACACTTGCGAATGCAAAGAAGGATTCTCCGATGTTTCATCCGATCGTGTCAACAAACCTGGCCGTCAATGCCAAAGGACTCAAAACGAATGTGGCGCCCCACAAACGTAGATTATTACAAATAGCTGACTATACGGTCTTCTTTTTAGCTACGGTGTCGATTGCCACGATGCGGCCAGCTGCGTCGACACGGCTGAAGGATTCCAGGTGCTTGAATTCAAATTGACTTTAACTTCTTTCTCGTTAGTGCGTCTGCCAGCCCGGATACACCGATATTTCGGCCACTTATTCGAAGAATCCAGGACGTCAGGTTGGTTCAAAAAATCATAATTTATTTAGCTTGATTTAAGTGCGTTGAAGTGGTGAACGAATGCCGAATGGGTACCGCTGATTGCTCCCCGAATGCTGAATGTATTGATTTGCCACAAGGGTAATTCAAGGCAGACCACTTTAGAAAATGTCGTAATTAAGATATGATTGCCGTTGCCGTGCCGGATACGTCGACGCTTCACCCAACGTGGAATTCTACCCAGGTCGTGTCTGCTCACAACCACGCGAGCCAGAATATTACGGAAGAGTGTCGCCGGTGAATGAATGCTCGGACAGCTCGACTTGTGGACCCAACGAAGAATGCCAGGTTTGACAACAAAAGTCCCTTTAAACGCCGTTAGGTGGATGCTTCGGGTCGTCGTGTCTGCACGTGTCAAAGTGGTGCTGTCAAGGATGAGAATGGCCGATGCAGAGGTAGAAAGTAATAATACCTGTAAATCCTTTTTAGTTTACTCGCAATGCGAACGTTCACAAGAATGCGACGCAAATGCTCAATGCTCAAATACATATTCGGGAGTGGAATGTAAATGTCAGGCCGGCTACAAGGACGTTTCACCTGACCCGATTGGAAGCCCTGGTCGTAAATGCAAGCTCTGTAAGTCATTAAAATTGTCTAGATTCTATCTTTAGTTTTCCGCATTTAGCAACGGTGAGAGAAATACCAAATTATCCTAATATTTTCCTGGCATTTGAGCCTGTCCGGTAGATGCAAATTTGAGCCTCAAATTTCGAAAGGCTGATACTTCTAACACGGCAGGGGGTATGCAAGGGCAACGTGCCAAAAAGTGCGCTCTAGGCGAGAAAAGGAACGGGTTTTCATTTTCCTTTTCCTTCCCTATCCTCTTTGCGCTCTTTTTCTTCTGCCTGCCCCCCCCAAACCGTCACCCATTTGCTTTCGGTTGCCATTCTTTTGATAGCAGCCATCAGTGAATGGGACGAGACACGAATGAAAAAAGCGAGGGAGAAAGAGGGGGGCACAACGAGGGAGAAGCTTTTCATATTTTCAAATATGATGAATTTGTTCACAAAGGCTTGCCAACTGGATGATTTGATTAGTGCGTTGAGGTGCGGGGAATCCAAAAAGGGCAAGAATTTAGTTAACGAATGTACTCACCAAGCATCACATCAGAATTAGGTAACGAAACATGAAGTAACAGAACGAAACATCCTCACAAATAACAGACACATAATGCAAAGATCCAGTGACTTGATATCCCCTTAAACCTCAAGTTTAGTGACCAACGAATGTGCTGAACAAACGCATGATTGCGATCCCCAGGCCGAATGTATCGATACTCAAGATTCTTTCACTTGCCGGTAATCAAATATCTACAATTTTTAATAATAATTTTTTCTAGTTGCCCAGCCCACCTTACCGATGTATCTTCCCGTTACGGCAAGAAGCCCGGCAGAAAATGCGCGAAAAGTAATTAACATAACTTATTCTTCATTATCTAACCCCATTATCTCAAGATATAAGCACAATTTTAGCTAACATTTCGGGTAACCTGGATGGTTTGTTTTGGCACAAAAATAGCTTCTATAGTCAATATTGCGCCCTCTCCCCCATGCATGAGCATACTTTCCCCCAGCTTATTTTTCGGGTTATTAAAAACAAGCCAGTTTTGAATATGGTTGAAACTTTTAGGCGGAAACTACTGCAGCGATAAGTCCCAGAATACCTGTGACGAGAATGCCGACTGTGTTTCCCTGCCTGATGGATACACATGCAAATGCTTCAACGTAAGCTCATCCGAGTCTGAATTATTGTAAATTTTCTGTTAGGGCTACGTTGACGTTTCGTCAAATGCTAACCTGCCGCCCGGTCGTGCCTGTACCCTCCACACACAATGGTAAATTATTAAAGCAATCAAAGCTTCATATTATTTTAGTCCCACCCAACCTACCGACCTGGTCTTCTTGATTGATGGATCTGGATCGATCGGCTCATACATTTTCCAAACCGACGTAAGCTTTTTTGCTGTTGCACGATCGGGATTTTATCTCAATATTCATATAACAACTGATTTTTAGGTTCTGCGCTTCGTCTCTGAGTTCACCGAATTGTTCGACATTGGGACACAGCAAACGCGTGTATCCGTCGTCCAATACTCTGACCAGATCCGCCACGAATTTGGCCTCGGAGACTACTCAAATGCTCGCTCGGTACATGACGCCATCCAGGGCATCGAATATCTCACCGGACTGACTCGCACTGGAGCCGCTATTGAGCATGTCGCCAATGAAGCCTTCAATGAGAGAAGAGGAGCTCGACCTCGTTCATCTTCGGTAGCGCGAGTGGCTATTGTAATCACAGACGGACGTTCTCAGGTATCGAACTTTAATAATTCTAGTGGACCTCCGCAATCTTTAGGACAACGTGACCATCCCTTCAAACAACGCGCGCCGCATGGGTATCCAGCTGTTCGCTGTTGGTGTTACAAACCACGTTCTCGGTATGTGTAGACTATATAGCCGCTATAAATGAGTAATAGACTCGGAGCTGGAGACGATCGCTGGAAGTCACGATGCCTTCTTCCACGTCAATGGATTTGAGGATTTAAATACGCGCCTGCGCTCGTTGATCCAAAAGGTTGCCTGTCCACCAGAGGCCCCAAGGGAACCGACTTACGGTAGGAACTACCATAGAAGGGTATCTAGTTTTGTGATGATATAGGCCCCTGCGACCCATCGACTCACAATGGTTGCGACCGTTCGAAGAACCAAGTCTGTTTGGTCAACAACGGCCGATTCAGCTGCGGATGTCCCAAGGGCTTCGAACTGCACCCCGTCACAAAGGTTTCATACCTAAAAACGACAAAACATTCAGTTATTAGGTGTGCGGCGGAGATATTTGCAACCCAGAGATCTCGACATCGTGCCCCGATCCGGAAGTTTGCGAGAAGACACCCTTCGGAAATTGGCGCTGCTCTTGCGCGGAAGGATGGAGGGACCCGCACACTGGTGCATGCAGTACGTTATTATTGTCTCCACTACGATATTTTCTGTAGAGCTGCTTCCCAAAGAACAAGATGCTGGCTGCAAATCTGATGCTGAATGTCCGAATGGAAAGTGCGTTCGATCTTACGACGGATCTTACGTTTGCGAATGCGGGTATGTAGATAATATATCTCCCTGAATGCGCTGACTTTTAGCGATGGCTTCCAAATGGACCCAAAGACCGACCAGTGCATCGTTCCCGGAACCTGCTCATCCGGAAGTTGCGACCCGCGCAAGAAGTTTGTTTACGGCGGGTGACGGTAAAAACTTTTTAGGGAACAATGCTTGCCTGGACCAAACGGCCAGCCTATTTGCCAATGTCAGCCCGGCTATGTTCGCGATTCGACTACTGGAATCTGCTGTAAAATCCTTCTTCATGTGTCAATTTGATTTTTTTTTAGTGATCAACGAGTGCCTGGGACCAAACGAATGTGATCCCAATGCCATCTGCAAAGATACACCCGTAATTTACACAAAACATTTTAAATTTCTCTGTCGTTATAGGAATCTTATATCTGCACGTGCAGGCCTGATTATCAAGACGAATCTCCTGATCCGATCAGGAAGCCTGGCATCAAGTGTTCCTCAGGTACGAGCGGGTTCAAAATTGGCTACCGCCACCATTATATGAGAATTCTAAACCGGCATCTTTAGATAAGGATGAATGCCTCCTCAACCAACACAATTGCTCAGTCAACGCCGTCTGCCACAATTTGCGAATTGGATTCCTGTGCGTCTGCAAGGTCTGCGCAACCAGAACTACTGTAAGCAAGGGCCCATTTTCAGGAAGGATTCATCGATAAGTCCCCGAACCCGACGGCTTTCGGCGGAACAACTTGTGAGCCGAGCATTGATGAATGTGCCGATCCGTCGCTCAACAACTGCCACAAGAACGCGACTTGCATTAGTAACGTTGCTCAATTTAATCTTTTAGTTTTCCCTAGATACGTATGATTCATACACTTGTCGCTGCAACGACGGATTTGTTGATTTGGATAATTTGAGGAACCCTGGTAGACAATGCAAGAAGAGTAGGTCTTATTTTAAGAGATAGAGAGACCAAACGGGGATGGTTCAATGGATGCAGTATAACGGGGTTTTTCAGTCAATGATATCTGTGAGACCGGACGACACACGTGCTCACCAAATGCGCGTTGCGTTGAAGTTGGTGCGCAGGAGTATGAATGTATCTGCAACAACGGATTCCTGGACATGAGCCCCGATCCAGCACAGGGTGGTCGTGTCTGCATCGAGCAAGTCTGCCTCGATCCGACCAAGAACGACTGCCACCCAGCGGCCATTTGCAAGGAGGTCAGTAATAGCGCGTCTTCAATGCTTTGATAAGGTTTAAAATAATAATTGGCTGGGTCTGGCTAGACATACCAACTAGTACTTCTCAGGTCGCTACTGCCGAGAAGTACACATGCACCTGCAGGGATGGATACATCGATTTGACGCCATCAAAGCCTGGTAAAATTGTCACTTTCTCGGGATCATATTTTCCTAGGCCGAGAATGCAAGGAAGAAATCTTCGAGTGTTTGAACCCACAACTCAATGACTGTGACCCCATCGCCACGTGTATCGAGAAGAGGGTTTGTATTCAATATAAATACGAAATACAGAGACTATATAGGATGGTTACGACTGCGTCTGCCCTCTCGAATCAAAGGATATCTCCCCTGATCCAAGCAGACCTGGAAGAAAATGTCATGCCGTAAGGAAAAAAGCTAAAGCAACGTTTTGCCACCTCTAGAACTTCGACGAATGCGCCCATCCTGGCTATAATAACTGCTCACGCTTCGCCGACTGTTTCAACCTTGACGAAGGATACCGGTGCCAATGCCGTCAGGAATACTATGACGAGGATAAGGAGCATCCTGGAACCCAGTGCAAGCTTAGTAAGTTCCGATTTATACGTACATGACGGATCCGAGCCGCTTCCGAACTAAACACATTTTCTTAGTCGTCGATGAATGCCAGGTCCCGTCTCTGAACAACTGCAGTAGCCACGCGAAGTGCACCAATACCTTGGAGGGCTACGAGTGCGACTGTATCGCTCCGTACATTGTATGTTGCTAACGTCCTTTCCTGGAAACGTACATTGTTAGGACGTGATGCCAACGGATAAGGGCCGCAAATGCGAGTTTGACGAATGCCAGGACCCGAAGTACAATGATTGCGCCAAGGAAGCTACCTGCCATAACACTCCTGATAGCTATTATTGTGTGTGCAATGCTGGATTCTACGATGCTAGCCCGGATCCGGAGAAGCAAGGACGCGCTTGCATTGGTCAGTAACTGCATGAACCCAATCTGTTCGCACCTGTTCAAATGAGAATGATAATCACACAAAATTTCAGAATATTCTATCCCCGAGCCAACAGCTACTGCCCACAACGATGTCAGCCTATTTAACTGCGGAAACCAACGATGCCGCTCTAGTTTGGGAGAGGTATTTTCGAACTTCAAATCATGAATTATAAATAGGTTTGCCTTGACGGAAAATGTGTCTGCAAACCAGGGCAGCTAAAGGACGACACCAAGGGAGGAATCTGCACCGACGCAATTGAGGTGAGCAGGAGCTTCTAAGGAGGCCAATTAAAAAAAACTGAAGCTACCCTCACTATTTGCAGATCCCGATCAAGATTCGCGTTGTCAGCAAGGATGGAGAGACCATCGTGTACAATTATGACTATTCTCAGCCTAACACTCCGGAATATATCGAGGTAAAGATGATTATTTGGTGTAAGCAACTTTGTTTTCAGATCAGCAAGGAGTTCAAAAACGGAATCGGCTCCACCTTGAAGAAGACGGAATATGCCCCTAAATATTTGGGAACCGATTTGCAGATCGTGCTTCCACCGAGGATTGAGAACCCGTAGGTTTTTTTTTGTTTGCGCCATCCAATAACAGCTACAATAGTCAGTAGACCTTAGCACCATTTCAGGGATTGGGACCGAGGCCTTCTCCTAAATGGTTCCGTGAAATTGAGCCCAAGTGCCGACAAGTGCGAGGTGAGCATTTTTACAGCTTACCCCAAAGCAAATACGATAATAACTATAATGTTGTTTATACTAGGTATGGAAAGCCCTGAGCCGCCAGATCGAGAGCCAAGGCATGGTAATTTCGAAACTTGGCGTGGACAACCTCGATGACCTGGATCCATGGTACTCTAGTCCAACAGAATATTTAATTATCGTTTATAGTGGTGATCGCATCATGGGTTTGGCATGTGGTGCTGGATTCTGCAACTTAGCCCTCGGCGAGATCTGCGCTCAGAATTCCGTCTGCATCTGTCCCAAGGGATTCAAACGAGCCCATGAAGGAGAAAAGTGTGTTGAGGTAGAATTGGTTGTGCCTGTTTTCATAGATTCTCAGGTGGATTCACTGAACATGCCCTTGTATGTTATTCGCGACCATGAGTCTCCCATCTCCTGGACTACAGAGCTTGCTACTCCTGGAACAAGCTACCACAAGCAAATTGTTGACCGGTATCGGATGAAGCATCATTTTATCTATTCTTTAATTCAATAGGTTCACCTCCGGCATCATCGAGGTGCTTCACCACCTGCAGCCGGTTGGCCAGAGTGTTGTGACGGTTGAGGTCAAGGATATCGAGGAACCATCCTCTCGAAATGCGGTACAATGGCTTCAATTAATTCAACTTAATTTAGTCGTGGGAAACCGGAGCACTCTTCAACTACACTGTCTACGTCAAGAAGGGCTCGGTGGATACTCCCCGACGTGTGTACACTGATATGCTAGATTACATCATTCGTAGAAACAACATGGAGGTAGAGGCAAACTATGGATTTCAATATACTCATATGCTTAGATTGGAACCAAGAAGCTGTTCATCTCGCCTGATCAGCTGGACTGGGGCGGTCCATGCTACAACGCTGACTGTGGTCCGAACGCTCGTTGTATCCCAGATGGACATGGAGGATATCGGTTTGTCGAATCGGTCGCATCACATCGATGAGATTTCTAGTTGCCAATGTGCCGTCGGGTTCGTCGACTTACTGCCTAGCAGCCCAGGACATGATTGCCTGTCCGAGCATTCTCCTCGTTGGTGCGACAACGCTACACTCAATACCTGCTCACCAAATGCACATTGCGAGCTTGCACCCTACAAATACAAGTTAGAACAGCACATTTGATCCTATGTTTTTATAGATGTATCTGCAATGACGGTTTCAAGGATGCCTCGGAACCTGATCAAGTACCTGGAACGATCTGTTTGCTTGACCCATGCTCTGATGTTAACTACTGCCCGGCTAACTCGAAATGCAAGAGTTATGGTGATAACGCTGTCTGTGAATGCATCCCACCATCTGTGGACGTACGCAAGGCTGGACCTGAAAAGCTGGAAGAGAATCACCTTGAACACAATTATTGCCTACCGTGAGTTCTTTTGATAATTTTAAATTCTTTGGGGTATCCGGTTCACCCATTGGCTTCAGACTGACTTCTGTAAACGAATGTGCCCTGAAGTTGGACAACTGCTCGAATTTGGCAACTTGCATCGACAAGCCAATTGGCTACACATGCCAGTGTAACAGCGAGTAAGGCTTTTTATTCGAACATCATCATTTTTCCCTAGCACAACTGACCAGTTCCCCGAACAACCTGGCCGATTTTGTGCCCTCAAGGCATGTGGTGAATGCAATGGGCATGGTACTTGCATTACTAGCGTAAGTTCGATGCAACATTACAATGAATCAAAATCTTAGTCTAATTCATCCCTTACGACCTGCTTGTGTGACGAAGGATGGACGGGCGATCATTGCGAGACTGCCGCTTCAAAGGCTGGACTCATCTTGGCTCTGATCTTGGCTCTTCTCTTCTTGCTCCTCACTCTGCTCTGCTGCATTTGGGCGTGCACTCGATGCCGGTAGGCAATAATACTAGATCAGCGGGTATATGTAACCTAGTTGCTTCGGCGGACGTGGTGCCTCGGTCGGAACCAGCGGACAAGAGATCGTCTCGGAATACTACACAATCCCCCGGCCGAAGTTGAAGCCGGCATATGCTGTAAGAATTCTACGTATTTCTGAAAGGGGAATCTTTCATAATCGCGCATTTTCATAATCTTGCAATTTTAGAATCTCGCAATGTCATAATCTAGCAATTTCCGAACCTCGCAATTTCGGGGCTTTTTGGGCATCTAGGGTAGCTCTGGAAATGCAGTTAGGCCATAGGAAATGCGAAATTATGAAAATACGAGATTATGAAAATGCGGAATTCTAAAATTGAGAGATTCTGAAAGTGAGAGGTTCTGAAATTGCGAAATTTTGAAATTGCGAGATTCTAAATTTGCGATATTCTGATACCAAATCTTTTGAAAAAATACTCCTTTTTAGGAAGACTTTGGAGACAACTCTGGTGCTCTCGCTGCTTACCTTGATGATGGTGCATCGATTAGCAGCGGCGGCTCTTTGGAAGAGATCGAACGTCGAGTGACCACCGACGTCACGACACGCGAGATCCGCACCACCACAATCACCGATTCCGAGGGCAACGTACACACCACTCAGGAGGTGTCAAAACTACACGGAAACTAAGCTAAAATATCTTCGTTAGGTGATCAACCATGGCGGGGACATCCACTCATCGGTTGAGACTGAGGCCGAACAGTTTGCGATGACTTCGGCCGATCATTTCACACATGCGGCCGCCGGATCTTCTGGCTACCATGCTTCTGGTGCCTCGGTTAGTTGTTACATCATCGAGATTCCCCAACTCCAAGCTTATTCACAATTCATTTAGTTGACAGTTAGTGCCACACATTTTGTTTTGTTGTTTAGCACTTCGAAGATGACAACTTGTCGCTCGACTCAGATGCCGGACAGCATGTTTCTGACCGGGTCAACCGGGCCAGCCAACATCACGAGGTGCTAATGTTTTCAGCACTTAGATTCTTTGGTTGCAACACAAAAATCAGGAACATAACGATCATTCAATAACAAAAATCAAGGAAAAAGGGATAGTAGGCTTTTATGGAGTTTCTTTTCAATCCTTCCAGGTAGCTCAGGCTTTACTATTTTACTAGAAAACTCCTAGCTCTCCTGCAAGATTTTGAAAACCCATTCGGTGAAATTTGTAGCTAATCCTTGTGTTATTTCAGTTCGAATCCGGCATTGAACGAAGACGAAATGAGTTTTCAAGCACGATGAACTCACGAGAGGTCCTGGATTTTCCATTCCTGTCTATTGCACCCTCAGAAATCACTCAGATCAAGCTTGACCACCTCTAAACCATGATGCGGAACAAACGCCAGCCATAGCTGGATCGATTTAGTTGCTTAACTGATCCTTGCTGTTTGCTACTAATTTGTCCGAGTTTCATTTTCTTTTTTCTTTTTCCGGTAAGGGAATCGAGTTGCGTGGGTATTCCTGTCATCAACTAGCATCTTTGCACTAGCTGTCAATTACGGATATTTGTCAAAAACTCTCTGGGATTTAGGAAGACTACGCAACCGTTGGTGAATTGGGCCGTGGAAATGGGGATGCGACGATGGATAGAAATACCAAATTCTCGACTCATCATGATGTGAGTTTAATATACTTTAAGAGCAGTTAATATAGCTCCATCGTTCATTTTTCCAAAATAAAAATGACTGTTTTAGTTCCAACCCGGAGCCGATGCACGAACCGGAGTTGAACGTCGCAAGAATGAAATGGTGACCACGACGACATCAAACGAAACCAACTATTTCTAAATGAAACTCTTTCACTGACCTTCAAGCCTTCTTCAGGAAACTCTAAATTAATTGAATCTCAATCCCCCATCAACCCATTGCCATCAATTCCCATATTATATTTGCCGAAATTCTTCTGCCCGTGCCCAAAATTGTATTTTCTATTGTATGCCCCGCCAACTTTCCCATCAGAAGCCGGTGCGTGCCTTTCCTCTAATGCTGCTCAACCATATTTTCCTTTCCACACCATTATACTGCCAGTCAGACGTTCCGTTCATTACGGGACCCGCCCCACATAGGCAACAGCCACTCATTGATTAGCATTTTATTAGACCTTAACCGCATTAGCTGTGTACAGCCTTATTGTCTTTGTTTTCCAATAAAATAGAATTTTAATAGCCCAACTCAGAGGCAAATTAACATTATTCCGAAATTTCAATCCGCAGAAACCCATTAAGCAGAAAAAACATTACGCAGCAAATCCATTATGCAGAAACTCGTTATACCGAAAATTCTTTACATACAAACCCATCACGTAGAAATCCATTACACCGAAATTTCATTATACCGAAATCCCAATACGCAGAAAACCACTACGCAGAAAATCCATTACGCAGAAACTCGTTACATAGAAAATCGATTTCGCAGAAATATGTTACCCCAAATGTTCCACTCCCATAAGATTCTATGTACAAAAAAAAAAGATGTAGCCGCGATCGTTAAGGTTGTTTGCGTTATTGTCTCACGGACGTTACCCAGTCAGATAGTCTTAGCAGTTAGAAAGTTGTGCGAGCTTCCAGATTCTCATCCTCCTCTCTGGATTTCTTGAAGGAAATTTTGAATACTTTTTCCTAGCCCTGTTCGCTAACTTTCCCTAATTTTATTCACCAAAATTTTGTTGCCTTACATGCCATGTTATCAACAATGAAAATTTCGGCAGAGAGAATTTTTCTTTGTACGAAAATTTCAGTGTAATGATCTTCTGCGTAATGAATTTTCTATGTAATGAATTTCTGCGTAATGCTTTTTCTGTATAATGGTTTTCTACGGAACGGATTTCTGCGTATTGAAATTTCTGTGTATTGAAATTTCGTTATAATGGGCTTCTACATAATTGTTTTCTGCATAATGGATTTTCGGCATAATGGATTTCTGCGTAATGGTTTTCTGCACAATCAATTTTCGGTATAACGTTAGTAAATCCAACTCGTATAAATACAGACAATGGTAGAAATATGATGTAATACTGTGCGTTTTGGGAGATCGAGATAATACTGTGCAAAATGATCATTTCTTTCTAGAAGCTCTACACCTTAAATTTCGGACGCTTATAAGGATGTTTTACATCATGTTTCTGATCGATTTATAGAAAGTCTACTACGACATTAATGCTGGAACAGGTCGAAAATTCACTCTGGACTTCTTTCTCCATACTAGCAGATGTCCCGGGGGGTCAGAGCACAAAGCCCATTTTGAATCGCTTGCGGGAGCATAGATCCTGGCCTTGGGTGCACCAAATACTACCGCATCTATCCGTTCCACTGAAGCTGTACGATTATCTTGATGCAAACCCGACATCAGAAGGCATTAGCTGAAGGTAGGGTAACGCCTACGCCTACCAAGAAGAAAGTGAGACCGGTACATTTTGCGGATTGAAAGTTTACATAATTTCCTATGCTTTTTCAAAATTTACAATATCTTCGCTTACAAATTTAACTTTTTCTTTTAGCGCAAGCTCGATTTCTCCAAGCTGCCTGGTGAAGTGTGGACCCAAATTCTTTGGTACCTCGAAACGGAACAGGTTTATCGTGTGGGTATGACATCGGCTACAATATGGAACAAAACACGCATGTACCGGAAACGACGCATCGAATGGAGGCGCAATGTCCTAGTTAGGCCAGCAACTTTTCGGAAAATGCCTTAAATTTCACTTTGTTTCTCGATATTGAATAAAGAGCTATTGCTCTTTCGAATGGTATATTACGCTTTACGAAACAAAATTCATGTGGCCGTTATTTTTGCAAAAAAAAGTAAAATCCTTAGTTAAATCATTTTTTTAGAACATTTTTCTAGATATTTCCCTAATCGAATTTCCGACCGGGAAACGATATATTAGGGTCCAGATACATGACTTGCGTTGCAAGCAATAGAGAGAGAGAGAGAGAGAGAGAGAGAGAGAGAGAGAGAGAGAGAGAGAGAGAGCCGTGGTTATACGTATGCTTAGGAAAGAGGAAAGTAAACACGGTAACTGAGTTTTGTCGAAGATAAAGGGCAAGAGACCACCCAGAAAATTGGGACCACCCATGAAATTCAACATGGTGGTCTCTGCGTGGGGGTACGCCATTCCCGCGTTTCCCCTTCCCATTTCCCAGCCAATTCCAACCCCCATTCACTCCACAAACAACACATCCTGCCGATAGCAATAAAATCACATGAGTATTAAAAACCACTAATAAACTTTTGAGAATTTATAAATTCCCTCTTTACTCTTCAGCAGGTACTGTTTTTAAAGGCATAATCCGGTCTCGTTGATAATTTCAAGATCCTGAAATGATCAGCTTACGGTTGGCGTGCGCCGCGGAGCAAGAAGTTCCCAATGGCTACGTTGCTTTCGGAAAGAGATCGTAATATACCTTTAAATCAATTACGCTATTTGAATAAATACTACCCGTTAATAACTATAGAAACGAGGTCGGAATAATCCGCTTAGGACGAAAATGTCTGTTGACAGAAAATTTTGGTTATTCACGGAAGATGTATTCTTTAACTATACTTTTATCCTAATTATCCAGTTTTTGTTTGGACTTCGCACCTAGTTGCACATAAACTCTGAGAGGAAGGGTGTTTTTGAATTTAAGGTGTATGCTACAGCGTCTAATTTTTGTCCTCTCCGTTATAGTGTCCAATATCTATTTTCGGTGCTTCCAGGTTATCGGGGGTCGGTTATTTTAGCGGGGGTCGGTTGGCATCTTCTTTTTGTTTAGCCTATACCTGGCTAGTGATAAATTGTAGTTTATTTTAATACTGTTTTTAGTAGCTTCCGGGAATCAAAAATTATAAAAATATTTATCCTATGGTCACGAAATCTGGGTTATAGCGCGGTTTTAGCCATTTTCATATACGTTAGACCAAAAAAGAAAAAAGTTTTCAACATGCTTTATGACGTTTTTCTTAATGTCTCCTCCCCCCGCTAACAGTCCAGAACCATTTCAAACGGCGCACAAGTCTATAAAAACGGCCAGCTCTTAATTAGCCGAGCCGCACGACATTATAGAAAAAAAGTTCGCGACCGGCCCCCGTGTTAAAATAACCGACCCCCGATAACCTGGAAGCACCCTATTTTCCTTTGCTGTGTTTTTCTGAAAAACCAAATATCTCAAAATATTTATTAATCTGCACAGTATATTCAGCCAGTAAAACGTTTTTCTATTCAACGGATTGAGCTAAACGGGTATTGGGGATGGGGGAGTGTCTATGGAAAAAGATATGTAACTGCGTAGCAAGTGAAACGCCCGAATTATTTTTGGAAGTATGCCGGACATTATCGAAATAACGAAGCTGAAGGTAGCGAATTGGGGGAATCTGGCATCTAAGCAACTCTAGAATTTTTGGCCCTTCAGTTAGTTTATGCAAATCAGAACGAGAGGGAATACATGAAGACATGGTAAGCATCAAATAGTTATTGTGAATCCAAGAAGCACCGAGTTTGTCGACAAAAACCAAGCAATTCATGAGCAACTAAGCGGAAAGGGATAACCCGTCTGGCATCGCATCGGGACGATTTTTTTTTCTTGTATGAAGGGAAGATCAAGGAAAAGGCTAAAATGTAATAACCGGGATTTTAGACTTTAGTTTCTGGTCCTTCATCCGGGAATTTGAGGAATGAATCGCGGAGACGAGCCAGTTGACGACCCACGACGGCTGGATATATGCGACTGTACCATTGTGATCCGCGGCCCCTGTAAACAAGCTTATTTAATTTTCTTGGCAATGGCCATGTGCTACACCCAAGGCGTCTCCAAAAAAAATTTCCTGCCTAGCGGTCAGGTGGATTGTGCAATTTTTACGAGGAAGGTCGAAATTGGAAGGGATGCGGTTGTTTACAAAACCATAATTTTTGAATTTTTTTGTTGAAGCGATGTGAAAAACACAGCTTTGCGCTCAAGCCAAGAAATCTTGCATGTAAAATGCCGAAACTCGAAGAAAAAAAGTCAGATATTCAAACACATCTCCTATCTACTATCTACTATATCTCAATTTCTAATCTCCGTCCGCCCGCCGTCCGACCGGGAATTCAGCCAAATTCTGCAATTCCGCCAGGGGTCATTATTGGGGGTCAACCTGTAGTACGAAGATCGTTTTCAAGTCTTACCGCATGTCGATACGTTGTAACATCGTGACTCTAGAACGGCCATGATGCGGCTCAATGAACACTCGATTATCCAGGACGACTGCGCGAAGTCCACCAAGAAGATGAACTTCAGGGCAATGAATAGACCTCTCCACCAGGGCACAAGAACCGCGTGTGTCTTTGATATCCAGTTTGTGCATCCTGGAAATTGGCGATTACATCAAGACACACCTCAGACGACAAATATAAAAGGAAGAGCTTAAAATCTGTACCGAACAACATGATAATCTCTAGTCGGATGACCAACAGCATCGCTCTGTACATGTTGGAAAATATCCGTATCACTTTGAAGTGTGTCGATGTGACGCCAGTTGATTGTAGCATTGTCCCAAACTGGCCTAAAAATGGGGCTTAACGTTTTGATCGAATAGGCGTACTACAACGGTCAAAATAATTTTGTTTGGACTTACCGTTCTTTCATGATGCGATGCAAAATCTCCCTTGGAGGTCCATCGATCTCAGTGACAGCCCGGACGAATCGAAGTGGATGGCTGTCATTACTCTTTTTCGATGAAACATCTACACCATCTGAAGACCACTCGTTTGCGTAGCCCTTCCATCGTTCTTGATGTTCCTGCAAATCAGCGTTTTCTGTTTATTTTACTTTTTCAATTTACATGGGATTAAGACGGTTACGGATATGTGATACGCCGCAAAAAAACGGAAGAGAAATCGCGGATCAGGGGAAGCGAACAGGGGGACCTTTCCCCGTGATTCTCCTTTGGACTGGTCGACACCGACCATCTGAGTCCCCTTAAAGCACACCCTCGGGCAGAGGCTACGCGGGCGCCTATTGACGTTTATAGTTTTCTGCGTAATTAGGCGTTCTAATCCTATTTCTCTGTGTAATTCGGCGCTCACATAACACATTCAGAGGTCCGCGCGGCAATCATATATGACTATTATTTTAGTCATCTGCGTTCCCTTAGCATTGTAGCTTATAGCCACAGTTTTTGCAGGTTTATTTGCACCCGTTGTGTTACATTTTAATATGTTTATCTTATCCACATTTTATCTTTCTGATCGTGTTAGATGTAGTTTCATGCGTGTATATGCGTTCTGTGTTTCACATAAAGCCTCTTTCTTTATGTTTTTTTTTGCCCCGGATGCCTGATTTATTTGGTCGGAGCGCTTTCCCACCGTCGCTGTCATATCTAGTTTTACATAATAGATTACCCTAACTGTTATTTATTTCGATAATTTTCTGTAAGATGGAAAGAAGCGCCAATTGGACAAAGATTTCCGTACCTTGATGAGGTCACTCATTTTCCGGACCAAATAGCTTCGGTATCCACATCCGCCAAGATGGTTGAGATTTGGGAATTCCTCCTCAAAACCGTTCGATTCCACTGTACACCATTCCGGCAGCATGAATAGACGGCTAAAAGAATGTGAATAGCAATGGAAAGGTATACATATAGGAATCTCAACAAAATACTAACCGGCAATCAGTGATCATCTCAGTCAAACAAGCTTGCGCTGCACTTTGTTCTTTCATTTCCTTTTCACTAGGCAGGCCAGACCCGCCAACAGTCCGATGACGTCTAAAAAATGATTTAATAGCCCACAAGCTTTTTCGGCACCTTCCAGTTTGCACTTGATTCAAGCGGCTCGCACTGAGTTGGAACAATGAAGGCGTAAAACAAACGGCAAGGTTTTGGGCATTCATCTAAAAGAATGATTTTTGAAGTTGTTTAAAATATATTACGTTATTTGTATCAGAGTGTCTAGCTACATCATGAAGGAAAAACAACAACGTCTGCAGTGCCTCCCGATTTTCGTCGGGCAGAAGAAGCATGGCGTGCTGCATGGCGCGGATTCTAAAACAGAGGGCATATTGTGAGATTTTTGGGGGACCTTTCGCTTTCCGGAACGTTTTGATAGATGTGGATCGAAATCTCCGAGTTTCTTGTGGTCATCAATGGTTCTGGTAGATCGCGGAAGTATTGCTTTAGGAGATCAGCCGCATCATGTACCTAATAAGCATTGGTAATTCCTTAGAAGAAATTTACCTGTGCGGCAACGAGCCGATTATCACCAGCAAAAACGTCTTTCTCGGTGAACAAATCGGCCGTCTCTCTCATTTCGAGGATTCGGGAGCGGACTCCATTTTTTCGGAATATTCCAACAGTTTCCGCTGACATCGAGCGCAGGAAACGCATCAGCTAAAAAGTTTTATACGGCTACAAATAAATGATTTGCCTCAAAAATTGACCGCGGTAGACAGTAGCCAGTTTTTTTGTAGACGTATTCGAGCGGAACTCCAAATGCAACCTCATTGTTTTCTGCAAATTAATAGATAAATAATTTCGGTCGGTCAAAAACGGTATAACACCCTTGAGAAGGAAGCTTTGAATGAATAAAAGTCGCTACCATCGACTCCTCTGAATTTGCGGAGCTTTTGCAGGGCCCAATTCTTGACAGCAGCACTATTGCCATTCGGGCTGCCCAACTTCACGGCACCTTGGCCCATATATCTTTCCAGCATTGCTGTAATACGGAAGAAGGCAAGCTTTCGATTCCGTGTCTAAACTCGACGTTATTAGCCTAAGCTCATCCCCTCACCAAGTCAACAATGCTTAGCGCATCAATGGTGCGTGGAAGATCTTGGTCACTGAAGAAAACGTCCTCCTCCTTATTCGAAAGCGAAGAAGCCACGGAGGACGACAACGGAGCAACGTAGCCAGGTGGGCGACTACGTGAAGCTCCAGATGACGCTGAGGTCCAGCTGAAATTAAAATTAGAATTTTTCGTCTTATTTAAAATTTTGCTTTAAATTATTCCTGACCTGCCACATCCACTCGAGCTGTTATTTGGATTATGATGTGCGGTTGGGGCTTGATTGTTGTTGTGAGCAATGAGGAATGGAGCTGCCGGTACCAGCACTGATGCTCGAACCCGCTGAGCAGAAGGACCGCTGTAATTGAGGGTTTTGTAGGTATTTTACCGATGTTCTAAAGATTATACTCAAAGTGAAAAAAAATATAGCGCACCTCGGTGAACGACTCAAACTGCTGCCAACCCCAGAATCACGCCGCTGATGTGCAGATTGAGCTGATTGGGCCGAATGCTCTTCGCTATCTGTGGCAGCATCCAAAGATGACTGCGACATCTAAAAAGGAGATTTTGAGAGAAAGACGATTTTGGTTAACTATAATAAAAGTGCTATTGTTCACTATAACAAATAAATTCGTAAGAGAATGATTAGCATGTCCGGCTCGGTCATAATCCTCACTCAAAAATGCAAAGCAAGCGATAGAAAGGGGCTGCACTCGAGCTCATAATTGGGTCATGCACGGTTGGAGGTGCACAGATCAATAGTCTCTGACAATCAGCTGGCGCCACCCTATTAATTCCGTTCCTTCAACAACCAAATTTTATTCTTTCTTTTCTTGAATAAATATGGTAAGCCTATTGCTTCTGGCTGGACCTCGTCAAAAAACTGAACAAACCTTGATTTCCCCGGTTCGCACCACATGGAGTTGGGCACTTTTTGTGGGTGGCGGTCGAGTCAACGAAGCTGTATTTGGAGCCGGTGTGCGACGTTGTAGCGAACTGTATGGTGATGCCATTGCGTCCACGTCTAAAAAAGGAAGTTATTTTGCTTTAAATCAAAGGCCGTTAAGCAAGCAAGTGCCGATTTTTTTTGTTGTTTTTCGGTTACGGGACGTCGTGTTTTGACAACTAGGATATCTCGAAAATGCGATGTCAGTAATTAAAAACTATTGACAAGCCAAGCCAAGCCACACGAATATCACAGGACCGTCATGCACGAAGTAACCGTCAGGATGAAGAGAAGGTGGACTGAACGTATGGAAAGCGGCTGGCGGGCGCGAGGATGAGCTCGAGGATAGAGGATGCGGCTCGTCACGGCGAGCCAACGAACGGGCTCTACTGCAAACACACACCGTTAATTATAGATTCAATTAAACAAGAGTCATCATTAATAAAAAATAAATGCTCTGACTAACGAAAACCCGTTTTCTAAAATATAACTAGCTAATCCCTGGTGAATTCTCAGCTCCAATAATTTCAGTTTTAAATCGTGCTCAAAATGGGCGGGGCCTTCATCAACGGTAGTTTTTTAAGGCTGATATTAGTTTCATATGGCAACCTGGCCACTCGATACTCTTTCTGTCAAAAAGATTGTTATCTAACCGGTCGCTGCCCCAACCCAGGCAACCCTGTGTTTTGCTTTTGACAAGATTGAGTTACGATCGAAATTTGGGAAATTGACAACGACGGCATTTAACGCTTATGGCTGACACCTTTTCGGATAGTTTGGTCTCAGATCCTTCTTTTGATAGGTGACTAGAACACAATTTTTGGCAAGAAGGGCTATCTATTTGCTGTTAGGATAATTTTTATTATTATTTTTACTTTGTTGATGAGCACCCGAAATTAGCTTGTTAAGTACCTTTCGGATTGTGTAAGATAGTCGTATCGGCCGGCTCCACCTCGTGGGCTCAATTCATAGAATCCTGGATAGTCGGGTAGACGCGGTGGTGGTACAGATTGTTCTCTTCTGCTTCTTGATGGTAGTGTTACCGATGATACTTGACCATGTTGAGGTGGATCGTAGGATTGTGGACTTGTTAGGACGAAACCTTGACGGCGTACATCCCGACTGCCGCCTAATCTTCCACCGTAATCCACGCGAGGGGTTGAGGCGCCAGCTGGAACACTCGGATGCACATCATTCTTTTGGGTGGACTTGAGTAAAACCAGAAATAAGACCTTTCTGATAAATATAGGATAGCGGGGGGGGGGATAAAATAACCTGACAATCAATATTTTTAATAAATAGTGTTAAATCTAATCGATCACAAATTTCATAGTAAACAGTAAACACCCGTTTATTGGATGAAAGTATTAAATTCGAGAATCACGCAAAAGCCAGAAAATGCATCCGATTCGAAATCTTAAGTCTGGTTTTCTACCAAGGTTTTTATAAAAAAAAACGCTTAAACTACATTGTTGGGCTGAAATTGATTATCTTAATATACTTTTTGATGCTCTATCGACTGGCATCTTTAAAATCCAATCGAAGATGCTGCAAAATTGGCTTTGCCCAATATCCTAGGTGTTCAGCTTTAGAAAAACTGCCTTTAGGTATTCAAAAATTACGATTCCATTTTTTAGGGTTCAAATTCATTAGTTTACTATATTTTTGGTAATTTGAAATCTTAGGACAATTTAGTGCCCCGTCTCTTATCCGCCCGTTATCCTATTTGTGCCACATAAATTTTTAAGAAATTTCTACTAAATGAGCCACATCCAAAACAATCAGTTCCAATGACACTCTCCATGCAATAAGAAATCCACTCCACACAAAGAGGGAAAAAATCCAATTAACCCACCGTGCATGGCATTTTGAAACATTCTTGTGCTTTCGGGAGAAGCCGAGTCGAAAGATACAAGCACTGGATCACCAATCACTAATTCTCCAGCATCGCGGCCCGGGCGTCTTCTACTACTACTCCGGATATCGATCTTCTTCATAAAAGCACGAGCTCGTTCCTTGATCCGCTCGCTTTGGGATCGCTAAATGCTGAGATTACTCCGGGTTCAATATCAATCGATCAGAGATAACCAAAGCATACAATGTTAAATTCAGGAAGGAGCTGATCACATTCGAAATTTGGTTCGGGCTCATTTTGGGCCTTATTGTCAACGAAGGGTCTATCCGTTTCCAGGTAACGCTGCCGATTTTCACATGGGTGTTTTTACGAGTCCAGCTACAAAATAGTGGCCCTAGTCCGAGATCATAGTGGTTGCAGATTGTAAAAGACATTTTGCAAAGGACGAGGAAAAGGAATGACTAGTTTCTGCCCCAAAACTCACGATTCATATGCTTCGGGCGTTTAAAAAAACAATTTTGAAGGGAAAGAAGTGAAAGCAGAATACCAATGAACTGTCATAGGATTTCGCAACCACGATCTTGCAATAAAAAGGGAGGCTGAAAAAAGTCTTTTTGAACTAACCTGCAATCCTCGGCCTTCCCTAGCTGGCTGTGGAACGTCTGTTTCGTTCTTTGGAGATCTTGCTGCTTCTTCGGCGCGATGATCAGGTCTAATGCAAACTTGTGAAAGGCATTTTAGGGCGGGTGATGAGTTAGAGATGAACACTACCTGGTCGAAACCAAATTCCGTCCAACACCGTAGATCGGCTCGTTGCACCGGTTTATATTGTTTGAATGACGATGTTGCCAACGGTTATGCTAAAGATGGTTATGTTTGAAAATCAATAGTATTTTCACCTCATCATCATAGAATGAAGAGTCGTCCCTCGCGCTGTTCTGCAATCGTGGAAATTTGCAAGTGTGTTAGGTTTAATGAAGTTTCAGTTTACAAAAAGGCTTTGTCAAAAGGAAGTGTGAACAACCCGTAGGAAATTAGAATGCATTTCATCTAATTTGCAGAAGGATATTGTAATTTCTGATCAAGAGTATGTGGTATGAAAGCAGGATAACCTGAAGGGAAGTTGGAAGTTCTGACAAGAAATCAAGAGAATATATTCGGAAATTGAGAACCAGTAATTATGGCGTACCCGAGGTCGAAGGACAACCCGATCCATTCTCATAATGGCCGTGCGATTGAGGGTGACGAGTCTCCTGAGAAATCGAATAAATTCCCTAGCGAAACTCTCTCACTTCGTAAGCGCCAGTAGCGTTTCGGAATCCAGCTGCTGGCTGTCCGCATACAAATTTTTCAGGTCGATCGGGAATTTGTTTTCTGAAAAATTATATGTATTAAATTGTTGATACAACGGAAATAAAACTGTGATAGATGGTGTAAGGAAGGGAATGTAGGGTGGGTGGCCGTGTGGAAATTCTGGGATGTTTTGTCTGAGGCCCACCCGATAGAAAAGAGGAAACGAAACTGTAACGAATGTCCCGTGTCTTTCAAAAAATCCACATCAAATTTTATCTATTAGAAAATCAGCCGAATTCTCGCTACATTATAAGTGGTGTCGCTGCCGAAAATCCAAACTATCGGGCCCAGGCACGACCAACAATATGTAAATACAGAGGATATGTGACTATTTACGGCAATTTTCTTTTACGAAGCAAAATAAAGCGAGGTCTAGTATCCTAGTGGCAGAAAATTAGATTGGTGGCATTTAAACAAACACCCAGATCACCTTTATCGAAAAATCTTCTTGTTTCGCCTGTTACGAAAATGATTCAGCACGCCCGTGACATGGGACAAATATTTGTTTAATCAATGTTAGCCAGCCAGCCGAATTTTTTGAATAATGTTCTAATCAAACCAGGTTTTTGGATTCAAAGGATTGAGAAACAGATCTGTGGGGGTATATTTTGCCTTACAGCCTCGGTCCGACTAAATTTTCCAACACGGGACTTAAACTTTCCGGGACTAGGTGGTAAAATGCTAAGAGCGATTCAAGATAATTTGATAGTGAAGCGCTGACCTTGGAAAAGCCGAGCATAGTAGGCGAAACCGGCTAACCGCAGCCAATCGCAGCAGTCACGAGCTTCTTCTTCTGAAATTTTTCGGTGATAAAGATTTTCTTTATCGAAATAACTAACTGACGCCATCCTTGATTATCTTGGGAAGTCAAGGCGGATTTGGAAATTGATAATTATGTAACTCTATATATTAAGGAAAGTAAGAGCAGCTTATCAGTTTGCTAGTTAGTCGTTAGTCTCGCCATGTAAATCAGCAGTTTTGGTATAAAAAATGGGTGTGGTGGGTGCCCCAGTTGTCGGCAGCTTCCGGAATGTGTTTGCCCTCAAGGTCAACATCTCGCCATGGCATACGCCACCCATTTATGACTGACATGAACTGCCGACCCCGCTGATGGGTAATTACCGTATTTTCTTAGCGCTTTACGTCATAGCACCGGTTCGACGGTGTAAGTTTATGCTTTTGTGTCCGTAATGGCTAAATATAGATAAACAGGCCCGTGCACCTAGATAAGGGAAAGTTGAGGAGTTAGATGGTCGTTCTACTTAATTTAGTTTTTCAGGCGGGGACTGCAAAATTTGGTAACTACCACCTTCCATAACTGGCCAGCACAGTTCCTTTCAAAAAAACTAGAAGAGAGCTTGAGAAGTAATGGGAAGCGAAAGTGACGAGTTGTGGGGGGGGGGATGGGTGGGACTCCGTTGCACGAAGCTTTTGGTGTATAGCTAGCAATTTGGAAAGAAAGGATGAGACATCCTTCTACTTGGAATTCTGCACACGACCGCTGCCTTCCAAAGGGACAGTGAGACAGGCACATCTGGCCCATCTGAACACGTTCTTTCCCAACGCTTTTCTACCGAATAAAAGATTGAAAACCTAGGAAGATTGAGACCCTTAGAACCCTGATCTCAAAATTCATGGATTAACAGGAGCTATAACCTCGGAATTATATCTTTCTATTCAAATTTCTATGGGAATTTTGTGTTTTGAGCTATATGGTGTGCCATTTGCTGTTGCACATTTCAGAAACGATAAATCAATCCCCCGCCTCAGGTGCTCGACCGAGTTAAAAGATCCTAAGACCTGATACGGCGCTTCCATTTTTGGCACTTCGCCAAAAGACCCCGTGCCTTTCAAGTTCCACTTCTTTCCACATCATTCCACCAAAGTTAGTATTGCCAATATTCTCCGCAATGATCAAGTAAAAAAAAACTAAAATGAAGCACGATTAAAGTCTATGAAAATTGAATAATAATGAGCAAAAAACATGAAGGCAATAATTAGACTTTTACCCGCGCAAATTGCTTGGTTCGCAAGGCTGTGATCATTGTTTAAAAAGCAACTAGATCTTGATAGAGAAGAAAATGGGGCAAAAAAACCAAATGTTAGGCAAGAAGAAGGGGGAACATGCCCGGTGAGTTTGAAGGGCAGCTGGTACGAATGGGGGGATGAGAGGGATTTGTTGAATTTTCGTCCCTGACTAGGGTCGGTCTCACTTCCTAAGGACATCCACCTGCCTTCCATTTGAGTGAAGGGCTCGGGGACAAAGCGAACAAGGCAAATCTTTTTAGCTTCTTCCTCACTTAATAGTTTCAACTGTTGGATTATTATGTCATGAACAAGAATAAAACAGCAACTATGTCGCAAGCGTCGATCCCTTCGAAAACATCCCTGACCGGCTAGGGGGACAGGAGCAGCAAGACACACTATCTCTTTCTGACAAAGAATTGCCCAGCAGAAACGGCGCGAATGCAATCTACATGTGAATGCGGTGGCTCTTTTTTTGGTTCGGATCGCCGCTGAGGAGAAACAAATTATTTGGTTTGGCAAAGCCAAAGAACTAGCGGGAATAAAAAATTTCACTAAAAATTCGGCGCTTCAGGAAAAAATATGAATACGATTCGAATAATCAAATCGGGCCCTCCGATCCAAATAAAGGACCATGTTCAAAAATTGTTGATTTGAATAAAGTTTTGGCTCGTTGGGTAAGAGTCTCAGCATGATTTTAATTTTAGCAGCATGGATTACCTTGTCAATCTCACATTGATCAGTTTTAAGCTATTGAGATAGGGTAATATGGCGAATTTTGCATACTGCCATTTGTTCGGAATCAGAATAATTTTGAATGTTGTTCAGATTAGCTTATTGAACTCGAAGACTGGCAATCGGGATGCAAATAAGTTTATGTTGACCCTATCCGAGTAATTTACTTGTTTGAATGCTAACCTAACACTTTGCATAACTTAAAAGACCAACTACAAAATGTTGTTTGGATGGTGCGGCGAAGGCGCCAGCTGCGAAAAAGGGCGTGGAAGCGTCGCGAATATTGGAGGGGGGCCTAGGCGGGTGGTGGTGCGCCTGTGTCGCGCGGAAGGCGGAACAGAAAAGGGCCCTAATGAACGGTTGAGCCGCGAGGAAAACAGGCCCCACCACCGCCTCTCGCATCGACTATCCATCCCCCTCAACCTCTTCCACAATCCCAAACCTTCAACCCAGATCATATCGTTCGATTGGCATATAATAAAACTGGTCTTATTTAAAGCGAAACCATCCGCTAATATGGGTACTCAAATCTTTAAAATTGAAGGCTAAAACTTGCGATTCAGATAGCTACAAATAGATTCAAATAGGGATTTAGGTGGAAAAAACCTTAAAAGCGCAGTAAAGTGAAAAATTCACACCACTCTGAAGTATTGGTTTGCTCTGTTCTAGTATACTGCGAATTACTTCGCAATAAAATTTACTAGGCAAGTAATAAGTGGTATAATTTAATTTTACTGTAGGTCCGGTCCTATTTTTACGCTCTAGTGATCTATCAAAAGCTCTCGGAAAGAATTTTTATTTCTAGAATCTTTCTAGTGAAGCAACTGTGCTTAGGCTTAAGTCCTGTGAATTTGTGTGTCCAAAATTCCTGAAAAGAGTTGATTTATGCGAGGTTCGCATGCTAAATTGTATGCGGCGTAGAGAACCACGGGTTTTCAGCAAAACGTTTAATATCAAAAATAAATAATAATCATTTTAAGAACGAAAGAAACCCGCTTGTTTTCTCGCCCTTTCAAGGGCTTTTGAATGATGTAGGAACCTTCCCAATCCAAGCCCCGTCCGGACCCGCTAAGGAGGAGCACTTTTTTGGGAGACGCCTTATCGACTCATTAGGCAAAACTGTATTTGAAGAAAACTGATAAACCTACCTTCATAACTGTTTCCCAAACGCCTCATCGATATTGATGGGACGGAGAAGCCAGGTGGTGATTTTGCAGTGATAGTGAGGTGTAGAATAATGGGGGTATGATTGGGGGTAAATGAGTGGCAAGGGATCCGATTTATGATTGCGAAGGGAAAGAAAAGGTAGGAGGGAAGGCAGAAAAGGAACTGCTTCTGCTCCCCGTAGAAGCTCTGTTGATCTGAGGAAGAGAGTGAAGAAAGAGGAATCGGCATTGAGCCACTCTCCCCGCCCTGAAGGCAACCTGCCAATTATTCACACCCACAACCTCCATCTTCCTCCCTCCATTCCCTTCCTTCCATTCCCTCCTCCAAAAACCACCATCTCGATACAGCCAGCCATTTTTGAGGCGCACAGCCCTGTGTTGGCAAGGCCGAAATTCGTGTTTGCTGTGAGGAAATGGGCGGTCATTACTCATCGCCCCGGGAGGTGCGAGGCTCTACCCTCCCCCCCGCTTCAAAGGCTTACGATCTCGTTGATAGAAAGCAAGCATTAAATCTTACTCGGATACCTCAGTCCGTTTGTGGGCTCTCCCGTGGTTTATCTGAGGAATTGGGCGGAGGATTACGGTTGCGTGTGCTAAGAACTCAAGCTATGCCGCAGGGGAACGATAAACAAAAAATAATTGCGCGACATGATTTCGTAACAAAACCTAGCAACCAAACAGCTTGAATTCTGATAACCCTCAAACGATCGAATTCAAGTTACTATATCAATGGCAAACCGCATTGTCCTAAATTCGGGGATCTGGTTCCATGGTATTGGGCGTAGCGTAAAAAAACTGGGTGCAAAGCTTTGAAAAACCCGAATGAAATCAAATAAATATACAATATGGTAAAGTCTCGAGTTGCTTACTTGGCTAAGCGAAAAGCGAGCCTGGAAAATTACGTTGGAACACTCACCTAGACGGCTCATCTTGATACGGTATTCGGCTGAACATTCCGGCTGCTGCAATTTGAGAGTTTTAATTTTGTGCAAGACGTTTCTCAAGCCTTTTTTGGCTGAGCACGCTAAAGGTAGGCTAGAATCTACTCGCATGGCCCCCTGAGGAGCCAGTTATCCCGCCGTACCTGTTGATCCTCTCCGTTTTCCCCGTATGACAGGTGTTGTTCGCGAGCCTCGGAGCGTTTTGTCAAATTCCCTAGAATTACCTGGATGGATGGAGGGGCAGGGAAATTACCGATTGCCTCTGAAACCTGCTGTAGGGCTGATAGAGAAGCCTCATGTTCAGGAACGGGCAATTGGTTTGTTTCTGGAAAGCATATAGTACGCTATAAAGCGAAACGATAGAGACGAAGATGGCGACACACGACATTTAGATACTCACTCCAATTCGATAGGGGATCAATTTCGACTTTCTCACGTAACTGTAAAACGAACCTTCAATCCTTCGATTCCTCTTTCCGGGTACGTTGTCATACACCGAATCGCACATTCCAACCATTGAAATCAAACCATTTGGCGTACCTTTTGCCGGCTCCGACGTAATGATCGCTAAAATACAACCATTTCTATCCTTGCCAAAGAACAAAACTCCAAAACAGCCTAAGAAACTATAGCCGTTCGAAAGGAGGAAAGAATGAGCCGGTGAGCCATCCTCCCCCCCCCCCCAGAGGCAAGTGGAGCACATTTTTGACTGGGGGAGCACTAACGTTTTATGGTCGCCGGGTGGAGGGCCACCGAATGGAAAAATGGTTGGAAATCTGGCAAAGAAAACCCGGAGCTCGCCCTCGGATTGACACAGTTGCATCGGTTTTTGAACATCCGATCAAAAGGTAAAATTTACCGCGTCTAAGATGATAACTAGCAGTTTAATTTTGAATTATTCAAGGGTTCAGAAAACAATTTCCGGTCGCTACCCGCAAATAGTTAAGCACCCACAATTCCTGGTAATTGATGTAGTTTTGACTCGTCGTGGCGTCATCGGCAGCATTTCAGGAGCGAGCTGTAGTAATGAGTATTGGAAGGTTGCTTTGGATGATGGGTAACCAGTCCTTTATATAATACTATTAACAATAATCGTATTGTAAAGCATTAGCTAAACCTCCAAATTCATCTTATTGAAAAGATATTTCTCCCTCGAAACAATTTTCCAAAATTGTATTTAGAATTTTCGATATTTGAATATTAGCTATATTGATGTTAGATTTTATAGGTAGCATGAATTGTCTTAAGGAGTGCGATGAAAGTTGTCTTAATCAAACAATTTTGGTTGATATATACTCTGATAGATCGAGAAAATAGGCTTAATATCCCGTGCCATTGTAGGCCTGCCCGCACCTAATAAAATTGGGATACACGGTGGTTAGAAAATAGAATCCCTGGGCGTATGTTAAAGAAATGCGGTACCTGATTAGGGCGTGGCGCCGGAGGCCGAGCCATTAGTGTGGAAGGATCGATGTCTTCTCCAGCACACTGTAGCAGGAGAGCCAATGATTCGTCAAGTCTTGATGAGAGCCAAGGGCAGCTCTTGTTGCTGCTTGTACTTCTGCGTCACAATCTGTATCCTCTGACGAATCAGTCGGCGCCAGCACGGATCGGGGTTCGGCTTTTGACTTCGGCCTAAAGCTTTTTTGCTAGTGAGTTTTGAAAAATTTGTTTATCAGCCCCCAAATAGTAGTACAAGCTAATACAGGGTGTCCCAATAAAAAAGGTCACGCTGGCATTTTGCTATTTCAAATCCGACCGACTTGAAATTTTGCACAGAGGTGCGGAAGGGAATTTAAAATGTTCACAGAAACTTTCAGCCCGATCGGTACAGTAGTTTCCGAGTAATAGCAAAAATAAACTTTAGTTTGCGTTTTTCACCTGGATTCCGCCGGAATTCAGCCCTGGAATGTATGGAGAAAATGAAGCGCCGACCCTTTTTTATCCTAGGAATTTTTTTATTTCGCAAAATTCGGGTCGAAAATAGGCTATTTAAGTATTTTTTAACAAGGGCTAACGACGCCGATGTTAAGAAGAATAAGGGATTTAGAGCCGGTAATTAGGTTAATTGATGCAAAGTCCAAAAAAAGCCGAAAAAATGAAGCTAAAGTGGGGGAAAAACAGTATTTTTACAATAACTCGAAAACTACTGTACCGATCGGGCTGAAAGTTTCTGTGAACATTTTAAATTCCCTTCCGCACCTCTGTGCAAAATTTCAAGTCGGTCGGATTTGAAATAGCAAAATGCCAGCGTGACCTTTTTTTATTGGGACACCCTGTATATGCACATTTTGGGTACGATGGGGCGAAAAATTTACGCAGATGTGAGGTAAGCTATTCCGGGCCGGAAAACCAGGTCGAAAATTATAATGTCAATGCACGTTCTCATTTCTGTGCAAAATTGTAAATCGATCGTGACAAATTGACATCGAAAACCCACCAACTCAAGAGACGTTTAATAAGTTCCCAGCCACTTCAACTCACTTTCTGAACCACCGCCAACAACGCCCAATAATATTAGCCATATAAAATAATTCAGGAGTAGCAAGAGGACTGGGGAAACGAGCTCTGAGGGAGCGACTAATGGAGAGTGGGGACGGGATATGTCGACGCGATTGCCCCCATCGGCAAAGTCCCCAGATTAGGTGAAATGCAGAAAGTCATCGCTTCCATTGCTGCGGGTCCCTGAACGAAATACCCCCGCGGCTTACAATTAGACTACGTAGACAATATCGATTTTGATTTAACAAATCTACTATAATAATTTTCTTGAGGTGTCTGTCCGTCTGTGCGTCATGTCCCAGATTCAACTCGAAAGGGAAAGGAGCTAGAGCTTAGGTCTCTTCGGATTCGGATAGAGCGTGGTCAGAAACCCCAAAACTGATAAAAAAATTATGAAAAAGTTTTAATTTAAATTCTTAAAATTAACTTTGAAAGTTTTCCCTTACTGTAACCCTCTTATATTGACCGTGGGATTTCGTTATGGGAGATAGCACATCTTGTGCAGAATTTTTCGCTGATTCCGAATCCGTTTTCCAAAGTTGCGGAACCCCTCGGAAAACAGGTTAAAAATCGATTTTAAATTTGGATGAAACTGGCCCACTACGTCTCTGGGAGGTTCAAAGAGGCTCCCCGGAGCCCCCTTCCCAGCAGCTCGATGGTACAATGGTAAGGCGGTGGTCTCATGGGGGAGGTGTCGCTGGTTCGACCCCTGCCCGCGGTCTTATTTTTTGCTTTTGCAGTTTTTTTTCGGGAAAGATGGTTTATACTTACCTGCAAGACCATCATATTGCTTTCTACAATTTCCTTTTTTTCGAAATGGCTGTATTCTATCAAATATGTCATAATCACAGGCTTTGTTTTCTTTAACTAGAATAATCACAATAGCAATTCCCTTCAACTATAAATATGTCTTATAACTAAAATTCACAAGCAAAAACTATCGCCTAATTCATACTAACAACGGTGCACATTCTCCACAAAATCGATAAAGCAAAATTCTTTTTCGCAATATGCGCACTTTATAAAAGGCACTTCTTTGCAATGGCTGTTCGCGCAATCTCCCAAAAGGCCTCCAGGGCAACAGTACTTTCCCGGTGTCGGGCAATCAGGTTTGTTTCCGTCGATGAAGCCGGCCAGTACCCAGGCGTATTGAAGAATCGGTTGAAACCTGGGCGCTTTGAACTGGTGGTAGCATTGCGAGATCAGCTTTAAAATGGAATCCCGTTTCTGAAGATAAAAGTCGATCCCTGCGGCAATAACGTGTGTAGAGAGCTTATAGACGAGCGCCTTGAAGAGTTGGAAAAAAAAGACATCCAGCGGCTGAATTTGGCCCGTAGCACCCGGCGGTATATGGGTGAGGATCAAGGTCTTTCCATTTGGGACCAAGGCTTGGATTGTGGCTGTATCCTTAAACGAAGCCCAAGGATCGACAAGGAGATGGAGATCATCAGGAGAATTAGGAGCCAAAACAACGCTCGTAAACCAATCTTTCATTAGATCCTTGGTCATTATATGCGTGGTCCAGGGCTGCACTAACAAGTTGTCCGCCTGATAGATTCCCGATTGTGGCCATTTTGCTCCTTTTTCTTGCATAACGACATAAAGGTTCTCGGCTAGTGTTCCATTAGCGAACATCAGAGGCATGATCGTGAAAGAATGAGTGGTTGCAGTCGTTGATTGCACGATTCTCATCACTTTCTTTTCGCCGCGAATGGCCAAGCTGTAAGACCGGTGCATCTCTTTCTGGAATCCTGACTGATCGCCATTGCAAAGTCGATCTGGTGTGATCAAACCGTTCTTGAGGTCGTCTCGAACCTTGTCAACGACTTTTTGTGCCGCTTGTTGCACCTGTGATTGATTGCGGAAAGTCTTGACCGAAACAATGCGCGTTATACGGCGCAGTACTATTCCTGCATATCGTTTAAATCCATAGATCCAGGTAGGGGAAGCTTGGAAATGTGGTATCCTCGTGACTTCATTATTTATTCTTATCGCGAGCGTCGCCAAATCGCCATCGTGCAATTGAATTCCATCATCAAACTTTGACATCACCTCTTTTTTCAGCAGTGCGATTAGCTGTTTACGAGCAGCTTGTAAGCAAAAGGCCTTTTTGTCGGAGGCGTACTTTCGCAATTTCCTTATATGATAGTCGCTGGTTACCCACCGGAATTTAGTCGTCATAGCTCTCACCGTTCGGTGTCCATTCTTTGCCGAGCGATAGTAGTCCAGGGCTCTTTTCACCTAAACATAAGAAGTTTTGAAATAAACTTAACGACACACCTCGCTTTCCGGTATCATTTTATCGTCGAATCGGATATGATCGTGCAGAACACAATTGTTATTGTGGGAACCAACATCTGCGCCGTCCCAGTCGTCGTCAACTTCTTCCATTTCATCATGAAATTGTTCTTCTTCGGTCTCGCAGGTCAGCGATGAGTATTCGACTTCCCGAAGTTGTGCGGCCATCCAGTTACGTAAAGTTGCTTCTTTACGTGTCAAAGATTCGTTCGAGGTAGCCGTTCCAAATTCTCGAACAAGGCTTTCGAGAATCTTGCGCGCCGACATTGTTGCGGCAGAAAAGAGAAAGGCTACCTGATCGCCGCTCTTCCCCTTTCTCCCCCACGCGCCGAGCCCACGCAATGGCCACAAACAGTTTTTTACCAATAAACCACGACAATGAAAAGAAACATTGTAATATTTCTTTTTGTAATTTATTATTAACTAAAATAAAAAAATAGTGCCTTCATCAGCTTTATGCATGCCAAATAGGCAATTTTTGTCTACGTAAGCCATTGGTATGGGAATCGCTGATGACCGAACAATGCTGGAGAAAGTATCTCCAAGGACAGTTATGCCGTAGGGAATAGCAACACACCCTGACCGTTGTTAGTATGAATTAGGCGATAGTTTTTGCTTGTGAATTTTAGTTATAAGACATATTTATAGTTGAAGGGAATTGCTATTGTGATTATTCTAGTTAAAGAAAACAAAGCCTGTGATTATGACATATTTGATAGAATACAGCCATTTCGAAAAAAAGGAAATTGTAGAAAGCAATATGATGGTCTTGCAGGTAAGTATAAACCATCTTTCCCGAAAAAAAACTGCAAAAGCAAAAAATAAGACCGCGGGCAGGGGTCGAACCAGCGACACCTCCCCCATGAGACCACCGCCTTACCATTGTACCATCGAGCTGCTGGGAAGGGGGCTCCGGGGAGCCTCTTTGAACCTCCCAGAGACGTAGTGGGCCAGTTTCATCCAAATTTAAAATCGATTTTTAACCTGTTTTCCGAGGGGTTCCGCAACTTTGGAAAACGGATTCGGAATCAGCGAAAAATTCTGCACAAGATGTGCTATCTCCCATAACGAAATCCCACGGTCAATATAAGAGGGTTACAGTTAGTAAAAAGGGTGAGGGACGGAGGTTGGGGTGATTTTGGACATAGTGAGCCAGGTGGCGCGCGTTTCATTTATTTTTTCTCTCATTCCATCCGGTCGGTCGTTATTTTCGTTTTTTAAAAGGATTTCGGCTAGGGGAGGTATCTGAAGCCATCAGGAAGGTATTTAGGTAGTCTTTGAAGGGGATTTCGGCTAGGGGAGGTATCTGAAGCCATCAGGAAGGTATTTAGGTAGTTTTTGAAGGGGATTTCGGCTAGGGGAGGTATCTGAAGCCATCAGGAAGGTATTTAGGTAGTTTTTGAAGGGGATTTCGGCTAGGGGAGGTATCTGAAGCCATCAGGAAGGTATTTAGGTAGTTTTTGAAGGGGATTTCGGCTAGGGGAGGTATCTGAAGCCATCAGGAAGGTATTTAGGTAGTTTTTGAAGGGGATTTTGGCTAGGGGAGGTATCTGAGGCCATCGGGAAGGTATTTAGGTAGTTTTTGAAGGGGATTTCGGCTAGGGGAGGTATCTGAAGCCATCGGGAAGGTATTTAGGTAGTTTTTGAAGGGGATTTCGGCTAGGGGAGGTATCTGAAGCCATCGGGAAGGTATTTAGGTAGTTTTTGAAGGGGATTTCGGCTAGGGGAGGTATCTGAAGCCATCGGGAAGGTATTTAGGTAGTTTTTGAAGGGGATTTCGGCTAGGGGAGGTATCTGAAGCCATCGGGAAGGTATTTAGGTAGTTTTTGAAAGGGATTTCGGCTAGGGGAGATATCTGAAGCCATCGGAAGGTATTAGGTAGTTTTTGAAAGGGATTTCGGCTATCGGGGGTATTGATGGAAGCTGGAAAGGATGTGGTGGAGTGGGACATGTAGGGTAGCCCGAAGGCCAGATGGTTGCAGTCGCGAAGCGACTGTAACCATCTGGTCCTAGATAATTTGTTTATCCGGCCAAGCCTAGAAAGTTAGCGCGGTGGCGTTCTAATTTTCCTAATGCCCTTTATAATGTCATAAGGAAACTCACGCCGGGTAGGTACGAAGCGCAGTAATCGGTGCGGTCGGAGGTGGAGCAGTTGGGGTTGTTTTTGGAGGTGGGAATCGGTTTGTAGGGGTCTCGTTTGGGCTGCTTATCCAGTCGAACGATGAAGAACGTGAGAGAGAAAATGGGGACGTCTGTGTTGATACATCCTGAAATTACATTCATGCTATTTATAGATAATTGTTTTGCCGTTTCAATATATAGGGACTGACAAGATTGACACCACATGGCGAGCGGTACATTAAAGGGTGTTCGGGGTCCGTTCCGCTGTTTACGATTTAGCTGCCAATGGAACGCTCTCAGCAAAAACGCAGATATGCTTTCCAATCTTCCAAATATTGATATTAGCCTATATTGGCCTTAATATTATTTTTGCGAAACACGCATTTTTGAACATTTTGCGACCAAGAGTTTTTGAAAAACCTGCAATTTCTTGATATTTATGCCTTTTCCGTCAGCCTGCTGTTAGCTGTTTGAGGGTCAATTGACAAACGGCTTGGATTTAGAAAACTTGTAACCCTTGAAACATGCTGCGGTTGGGCAAAAACAGCGCATTTTTTAAAAAAACAGATCTACACGCGGCGTCGAGAACGTTCGATTAATATCAAAATAGTATAAATCGGACGCTTCTTTAGGGCCGCCACAGGGGATCTTTTTTAGCAAAACCTATTCGCCCTCCTTACGCGGTTGTGATGATTTTTTATGGATTGATACAAGAGAATGTATGCAAGGCTCAGCGAAGAAAACGCGAAACTATAATAAACAAAACCTGCACTAATCGGGAATGACTATAGAAGTAACGGAAGGGACGGCTATTCGTTCCCGCGGTCGGCTCGTGTTTTTGAGCCAAGCCGCGAGGGACTCCCTCCGCCCCCTGGTCGTCTCCAATTTCCACTGTGACCCTCTACTCCGTTTAGTCTCACAATATCCCAACTAAGCCTAAGCTCATCCCTTAAGTGGCTTTAACAACCATGATTCCTCTAGTTAAACACAAGATGTAAAGAATCCGAGCAAGATCTTTTAGAAAAAAGAAAGAATTATTAGCTGGGATTATCTAATTTGCATCCGAAATAGCAAAACACCGATAATATCATCGCGTTCAGCTATTCCTAAGACCGATAAAAAATTTTTATCTTTGGGAATTCGGCAATCTGACTTATAATAAATAGATTTTCGCTTCCTTTTTAGAGCAATTAGGTAAAAAATATGTGAATCCTTCAAACAAAAAAGGGGATTTTTCATTAAGTAAAATTTGCATAATTTCAAAAATGACGGAAAATCTGCTTGACAGCTCTTTGCAGGAAACCTAAATCCGATCAAACAATTTTAATCTTACTGTTTATCGGACTATTTAAAACTTTAGTTTAGATTCAGTGCCACCAAACCATACCTGAGCCACTTGAGCTCCATTCTCCGCTCCGCTCAACTCCGGTGGACGTTCCAGCGTGTCATTGCGGCTTGATTCAGCAGCTCTGTAACGATTATCAAATAGTTCTAGTGCAGTTCTTTGCTTAGCTTTCTAGCAAAACTCACTCAATCAACGACGATATCACATGATTCACCGTCCGATCGGGCACCACGGTCGAATTGCGGAACCGACATTCGGCCTAAAACGCCACGGATGGATACGGTACCAGAAAACGTCTTTATAGCTGCGTTTTAAAGCCCCTTACACAGCCATTAACGTGGCGCATTTCCAAGCAGTAGATGGCTGTGCCTATTTTTGTTGTGTTCCCAAGTTCATTGACACGTCCAAAATTGAAGCAGTAATACTGAATATTTGATAGGCTATATTAGGGCACACAATAGGAAGGCACGAATCAGGGCAAATTCAGGGTGGAGACTGGGGAAAGGAAAAGGGTAATGAGGCACGAAATGGCTTTGTGCCATGTTCGAATTAAAGCAGACAAAGGTTTTTGAGGATGTTTTTCAAGATGGTACAGCTGTATAAACGTAAATCCTACTTAAATCATGCTAATGTTTAGTTGTATTGGCAACTAAAAGTAAAGGCTCTTTATGTACTGGTTGGGGGCTGGACTTTTTATGAAGCGCTGAAATTAGCGGCTTTTACATTAGATCAGAAGAAATCAGACAGTAGCTTTTCAGAAATGTCATCCCGCAATTCTTAAGAGCAAATTCCGAATCAGTGTCACATTCGGCACAAAGCAGACTTGGTGATTCTACCCATCCCGAGTAAAGGCATTTTACTCTGAGAAACAGTTTGGCAAGTTATTTTAGTCCAAAATTCTTTTTTATGGTAAGGTGATGTGCGCCTATTACGCGATTCAGTATCGACGCCAAAAAACCGGAAATGCTGCTGGTTGACTGCAAATGTTTCAGAGTGTTTTATCCCGAGGCCGGGCTTAAGTTACCTATTCTCCTTAATAAAAGTGCATCGACTTAAATCCTAAAATCTGGGAGAATACCCCTACCGTTATTTATAGCTTCGAGAAATATAGAAGGCTGATTGTTTGTAAAAGGGTGGGTAGAAGAAAGAAAAAGAGCAAGATAGAATAAGGATTTGAGGGAGAAAAAGGAGATCACAAAATCTCCCCTCTTCTTTTCTTCCCAAAAATTGCCTGCTCCGGGGGTGTGCGCGACTGTGGGTGGGACGGCCGATAATCGATTTCACCGGCTCGTCTTTCGACGTCTGTCATCACATTTGGACACATTGCACGCTCCATCCAACCATCATTCCGAATCTCCCCTACGAAATTTGGATAGGAATGAAATCGATTTCTACGGTAGAACGCCTAAGATAGCTGGGAGGTTGAAAATCCACCACTGGCACTCCACAAAATTTATAGAGCACTGGAAAAAGGCATCTATAATTTCGGAAGCCGCCGTGCGGAACTTTTTATGAATGATATTATGATTAAAATTGAAATTTATAATTTTATGATTATTTTATGAATTTTGCTGTCGAGTTCATGAGGGCATCAGCTTGGACAGCTTCGCTGAGGATGATAGCTGGCCATAAAACAGCCCGCCGTTCCGTGATAAGAAATTGTTTCCGGCAATCAATGCAGCGCTCGTTCTAAGCAATATGTTCGCGAAATACCTTTCGAACGGGACAGTGTTTGGGTACGTCTAGGAGCGATAATCTTTTGCGCAAATAGGCACCTTTTGAGGCGGGAATATGACATCGCTTATTGAAGGGGCAATTTGCCCCATGCTAATGGCGGGGATCTTTTGCATTTAAAATGGCAGATGCATCAAGTATACGTGCAAATAGTCCTAAACTTTTAAATTACAATTTTACAAGCTTAGAAAATTCAGGCAAAAAGCCTACGGCTAGACCGGATGTGGATAATTCGTATAAAAGCCTGGCCGCGCTGGCAATTGTAAGATATACAGGCGGGGCGTTGGCCCATCAAAAACCGATCCCTCCTCCACATCGTAAATTTGAGGGCATACCGTGTACGCGACCGCCCCTCCGGGGTGGACAAAAGATAGGCGAGCATTTGGGATGGTAGGAAAGGAGAGATTGCATGGGGAGAATGGATCGGAGATTGTTTAGATTGCTGCAATGCACCCATCCCCAATGCCGTAAACGAAAGTTTTTGCCCACTCGCATATAGATGGATATAATCTCTGGATCAAAATCCCGCAAAGATTTGTAGCGGAATAAAGTAGCGGTCTATTTATGTGGCTTTCAATGGAGTGAAAGATAGCATTAGAGAAGAACGATTGCCTGGTTGCCAACCGATTCCATTAGTCGATCGCTTCACCGAGCTGACATTTGTTTCACAGGATCGCAATCAAAGAAAATGGATAGCACGAGAACGTACAAGATTCGCATTTGAAAAGTCGCAAAAACCCATTACGTGTTGAGAATGACGTTTACATTTAAAATTGATATGTCTAAGGGAAGCGTCTCGGTGAAAGTCACGTGCAACCAAAATTGAAACGTTGCATAACGTCGATGCCTAAAATTGCTTTCATCCATTCTCATAGCATTAGATTCGGCCCGAGCCAAAGGAAATTGGCCTTAAAATTGGAAATCGGATGATTCTGAATTAAGCAGTTCCCTTAGATTGCGGTGTGGATGCAGTACGCATTGAAAATCGGGATGTCATAAGGCTGTCTTCAAAGACGCAAAATGCAAATTTTGCACCTCGTCTGAGCAATTAGTGGTGTGCAACTCTGCGTGGTGCGAGTCCTCTGAGAGGGAGAGAGAAAGATAGAGAGAGACAGAGAGAGAGAGTGAGAGAGAGAGAGAAAGAAAGTAGTGGTGCACGGGTCAACAGAACATAATGGCATTGTGTTGTAATAGAGAGGCCAAGGATCAATCCTTCTCGCGCACAGCCTGTCCAGGCCATAAAATACGTTTAGCAACTGACTAACGCAAAATTAACTTTCTTTTGATTAGTCATAAAATGTCCGCATCGCCAACGACTAATTTTTGGTAACTCCGGCGTGCGCTCTTTTGACCACCGATTTGTCTAAGAATTTTGGAGAGCCAGAGATATCGACTTTTTTGGGGTGACGCTCGGATCGCTCTCGTGTGGATTTATCTTGAGATATCTTGTGATACCTTGTATTCGACAAATGTGAGAACGAGAAGTTTCGAACAGAGCTATCTCCCTCCCACTGTTGATGTGATAGTTTGGTGACAAAAAATAAGCATTACGAGCATATTTGCTACCAATACCTTAAGCATACCTTAAACGGGTTGGGAATTTCCCGACACTGCTCGGGTATAGTAATTCAACATTTTTGGGACGCATTTAAGGGGTCGCAAAGCTAGGATCCTGGATCCCCCTATTCAAAAGGTTGCAGAATTAAGGAGAGGTGAGGATGGGGCTGAAGGAAGACCATAAAAAGGAAATACGGGAAGGAAGGAAGGTAAGACAGAGGCGAGGATGGATGGGAAGCAGTAAGAGGAACACCATTCCACTGGAAAAGGGGCCGAGAGGTTATACACTCTCAATTAGACAGCCGGAAGCCAGATGTGGGTGAGGTGGCGATTGAGATTGACCCAACGGGAGAAGCAGCCAGAACAAGAAGGCGGAGGAAGAAAGGAGCCGTAACAAGGGGCGTATGTGATATCGGGCTAGTTGCCTGCTTTCCTGAATCTCAATATTTCCCGAAATCGCTGCAGGATCGGGAAATCCGGTTTAAAGGGACATCGCTAAAAGCAGCAAAAGCATCGTTTTGATAACAGTTTTTGTTAATGCAGCCGATACACGGTAAGCAAACCGTATTGCGACAAGCCTCGCTTCTTTTCGATGTTCTGCCCATTTGTCTATCTAGAAACTGCGGGCGAAAGGAAAAGCAGATTGATCACCGCTTCCGTTGATGTGATCCCATACACACCCCACCCCCGCGCAGCTTTCCATCATCATCCAACCCTTTTTGCGCATGATAGCATCGCGCGAATACCACGAATAGTTTCACGGGATGGCAATGGATGGGAACCCTCTTCGAGCAGGGCTGTTAATAACGGCGGGTCATATACGATTTTCCTGGCTTCATAAAGGGAGTTTATGAAATGAGATATGCAAATAAAAACATAAGTTTTGCAGGAAAAATACCAAACCCCGACGATAATAGCTACCGATTGTCTACCGGAACCGGAAACGGCACTGTCAGTCAGTGCAAAGAATAGCCCATAAATCGCTGCGCGCTCTTTATGTGGAATCATGGGAAATACGGGCCAGAGGGCGTGCGAAAAATGCGCTGACGCATTGAGTGAAGGGTCTCGGTACGGAGTCGCGCGGACAAATTTGCATACACAGTCGTGTCGGGTTGGTCAGTGAAAGGTGGAGGCCTAACCTTTGGGCCTAAGAGAAGCGAGGACCGCACTGTTTGGGCGCTGCACTACCAGCTCAATCTGGTAAGCAATTAGAGCGGTCGTTCGAGACGCACAGAGAGGGGAAAATCGGTACTCAGTTTACTAGGCGCATCGACTTACCTTAATAAAAAGCTTTAAAAATAAAGCTTAAAGTGTTTAAAAATACAAAGTACTTGTATTAGTCAAAGACCATTTTTGGACATTTTTGGACATTTTTGGACCATGAATAGGACCGTTTTTGAGGTCGATTCAAAAAAAAATCAAGAAATGTGATGGAGGTGGTATAAGAAGGGGTAGAGGATGGCATCAAGGCCGAAATGTCAACAAGAAGACGGGCCCGACGAGGCCCCGCTATGTGCATGAATCATAGCAATGACCCACCTCCTTCTTCCATCTTTCCAATAGGTCCTTCTCCCCATGCCCTCCGGCCATTTCTGTTGCCGACGACTGCACCGAAGTCCCCGTCACATCGCATTGCTAAGAAATTCCAATTAGAAAAAAATGCAAGAATTTACCTTTCCTTTCAATTTGGTGTTCATTCTTCTAGAGAGCTCGCTGATCGAATTTTGCAGACGAGCATCTGCCGCAGCGAGCTTGTCTGAAATTAAGGTAAGAACTATTTCAAATTTTACGGCGAATTTTAACGAGTTTTGGCCAGAAATTGAAGACTTTAAGTCTCGCCAAAGATAAAGATGCATTTTCTGAACAAAGATTCGGAATCAGAAGATTCTCCATGACCGAGGCTTGGTCCTGTTTCAATCATGATAAAAACGATTTAACTTGAAAAGCAAACCCTTAAATGCTGATTCCTGAAAATTACTCACATTGTCGTACCCCCGGATCATTCCGATTCGTCCGCTCGCCACGGCTTTTGTGCTCCCAATCGGCAATCATATTCGGAATACTTGGATAAGTGACAGCCGACCCATCAGCATTCTTGCTCGGTGCCATAGCTGCCTCTTTCTTCTGTGCGAGCACGAGCTCTGGATTACGGCGGCGTGCAATTTTTTCTTCGATCGGCGATCGGAGACTGTTTTTGCCACGTGCTGATGGGCTTGTCTCGTAGGGGAACGGACCGTCTTGACCTTTTGAATTTCTGAGGGGAGATAAACCATATGATCGGATAGGTATCGTAGGCTGGAGTTGCGACTAAAACAATTATTACCCCAATTTTGCAGATCCGCTAGCCAGGGTTAATAAAAATGTACCCGTCCTTGGTTGTTGTTCCGTTCGCTCATTTTTGGGGGTTGATCTGATCCGGCTGGCAGCATTGGCTCGGCTTTCAACGTTTCCACGGTTTCGCTGCGAGACTATAAATGATTTATGCCATATAGTTTTTGGGCGATAGGTCGGAACTGCGAAACTGCAAATTTTGTCTGCCTGTGTTGATCCTTTAAAGGTATCAAGCAGGCCTGTGTTGATCAGGTCTCATTTATTTTTGGCATTTAGCCAACCGGAAATTCAATGCAAAAACGTGGGAGCGAACGTGTAAAGGCAAGAGGGAGCAGAGACAAGTTATGCAACCCGTTTTATGCTAATCTATCTGGGTCTTCCTGATCCCTTAAAAGAAAATTAGTGGAAAAACTGGCATCGATGAAAAAAGTTGAAAAATTGGAGGCTTGGGCGAATGTTTTCGAAATGGTCATTCTGCCTATCCCGGAGAGCCCAGATACGGTATGTGAAAAAATGGAGCGCTGCTCGAGCCCTTGGCCCGGCGACCCACCGAACCAAAAAACGGGCGTTGTCCGCGCAATACCCCGAGCGGGTGTGAACGAGCGAAAGAAATCGGGGAATAGCCATATAAGAAGTGTCGCATCGGATCGCATGCTCCAAAATACCCGGCGCCTGACAAAATACAAAATAAACCGAATGGAACGTTGGGATGGGTGAGGTCAGGTGGAGGCTGGCTCTTTGGGTTTCAAGTGATTAGCAAATAGAGCAGGATGATCCAATCATTGGCTAAAGGGGTTGTAAAGACGAAATTGCAGGCAGAAATACGGCAATCAAACTATGTTACAGCTGGTTTCCATGACTGTACGGGTTTAGTTGGAGTACCTGCATTAAAAATTGAAAATCACGTACCCGATCTTCAGAACAAATGGTCTCTAAGGAACGATGGCACGGTGTTGCACGTGGAGTACAATCGTTGGAAGAATCCTATAAAAGACAGAATAGTGGAACCTAAAAGAAAAAACTGTACATGTGTTTGTTGAGCCAGCAACGACATTGAGAGACGGCTCATCGAGCTTTGAAGGAATGGATTTGGTACTGTCGGTAGATGCATCTGCAATATCGTATTAAGGGGAGGTAAGCAGCAAAAATTTGGTTAAATGGTTTTCTGATGTTCAGCGCTAAAAACTTGCCTATACACTAATTTTTTGTAAATAATTGTGCATTTTTAACCGGACAATTGTGCTTTTTAAAAATAACCTCCGACGCTGAGAGCCCGCGGTTGTTGTTCAGAACGCGATCATGGAATTCTATAAAACAAAGGGTAAATGATCTTAAAAGGACGACGACCATCTCCAGATAGAAATACAGTATGCCTTTTGACAGGGGGCGTTGCGGCCGGTGATCGCGTTACAGAAGAGGACAAAGGACTCTGTAATTCCCCTTGAATTTCGTAGACAATCCACCGACCAAATTATCCTCATACAGTCTTTTCTTGGAGTCTTCACGACCAGCGTCCGTTAGATCAAGTCGACTTGATGGAAGGGAATCGAGCTCAGCCAATATTTGAGAGGCCCATCTAGATTAAGGTTTCGGAATATGATGATTTTCAACCACCTCGTTACGTTTTCTTGGCTATTAAAATCAAGATCGAGTCCATTGAGATCTCGAACGCTCATACTTCGATTTGCATACAGGTTGTTGATCGGGGCTTCTAGAATGTTGGAATCATAAGCAAGCTTTGGGAGTCTTGTGTAATGCGGCACAATGTTATTATGCAATCCAACCTTTACTGGCCGCCCTTTGAGCTTGTCTTCGATTGGCCCGTCTGGCAGCAGGACCTAAAACTGATTTTTTTTTTGCAGAGAAAAGTAAGGAGACTTCCGTATACCGCTAAACACTCAATAAATGGACTGACCCCTGGGCAATTGCGCTCTACTTTGTGGTGAGCGCTCGTCAAATGGGTGAATAGGGCGCAGGCTTAGCGCATCAGTCGACCGGGATAATCCGACGTTCTGAAAAGAAGGAGGTAGAGAAAAGGGGGTGGATGGCTAGGAGATGGAAGGAACGCTAAGAACCCCTGAAATCTCACCTGTTGGAGAGTACGATCAGACAGTTCTTCGTCGGAGCTTGACCCGTCGCCAAATTGTACTAAAAATGTGAACTATGATAATATCGCCAAAGCCGTAAAATCAAGTTTTGAGCATTTGAATGCCAATGGCAGCAACGAAAATTGGACCGATTTCCCTAGGTATTAAAAAACGTATAAATTTTTCGATAAGGCGTAATGTGTTTTGGATTGAGTTTGCCAAAAGCATCGGTAGGCGATTATTCAGTGGAACTGTCAGTGGGCGGCCGAAAGTTTCGTGTCTTAACATAGATCGATGGGAATGATAGCCTCGACAGACAGCAAGCACATAAACAATAGGACTGATCCTTGCCCATTAAGAAGCCCCGGAAAGGGTGTAGTAGGTGAAGGGGTGGAAGGGTTTTGCACAAGGACATTGCTTTCACATCGTAAACCTCGCTGTCAACGTTTTAAGAGAACCAAAAGGGGCCAGGTGCAGCTGGCCGAAAGCCCGGGTATTGCCCCAAAAAGGAACTGCCGTCCTGCCCCCCCCCCCCCGTGCTGGACATTTTTTTGCCTACCGCTTTTTGCGATACTACACGGTCGAGGGAGTGCCGATGAATGTTATTAGTAATGCCCATTAAAGCTAGCAACACTTTAAAAAGCATACAGCTTATCCCAAAAACTGCCCACTTGACATTTGGCACCCTAACCAGAGCCAATAGATTCTAAAACTGGACCAGAAGCGTATAATAATCTTAATAATTAAAAACCGTTGAACTCGAACCCACCAATTTGTGGCCGCTCAACTAAAGAGAGTTTACGGCTTTTTCGCGTGAATCGTTTTCGCCTGGGTGGCTCGTCGGCTGAAATGAAAGGAGGGGAATGAATGAGAGCCGAGTTGGATCGGCTAACCTTTTCCGGGATCGGGAAGCCTTGCTCGTTGTTTCGAGCTGCTCAGTTCGTGTGCAGACTTTCGCCTTTGCAACGGCAATGCGCTAAATTCCTTTATTTTCTAAGGAACTTGAGCCGAATATTAGAGCTAATTAGCAATTTGTGGTTCGTAACTCTACGATTTTTAATCCTATAACGGCTCACCTTGGATTTATAGCGGGCGATGAGTAGTCGATGCAGACAAGCTCGTGAAAGCTGCGCGAAAGCTGCTCCTGGAAATGCAAAGTGCGCCTTGTGCTTTCCACCGTCATTTGAAAAGCCAAGAATAATGTATAAAGCTTTGTTGAGAATTCCGCCCACTATGAATGCGCTGTCTTCCCGAAGCGTTCCTATACTCGCCTTTGTTTCAAAAAGCTGAGATAAAAAGCATGAAAACAGAAGATTCCAGACCGACAAGTCTGACTGCCGTTATTTCTTTGCCCATGCTTAGCTTGCAGTAATGGCTATAAAGCACAAATTCATAAATAGGGTTTAGGCGAGGAGGGTTTGAATAGTAAAAACGATAAACTTTCGAGCTATTTGGCAGCCTATCAATCTATGCTCCGGGGGCGTTAGAAAGGGGGATGAGTGGCGGCATCGCGGAGGCATGGAAAAACTCGTTTTCGCCGGAGCCTCTACCCCAAACCATCAGCAACCATAGGGTGGAGGATGAGGGCATGCTCGATAATACCGAAGGCTTCTTTAAAATTCAAGCAAACCCAGACAGTACTAACATCGAAATGTGTCTTCAGTTTTGGGGTAAGAGACCGGGGGCGAGACATGAGAAATAAAGAACGCGCACACAAAGACCTAATCCTATTTGATTTAACGGTATAAAGCATCAGTAAAGTTCGATTTAACGAAAATCTGCTATGACTTGTAGGTCCGGAGGCATCTCTCTAAAAAATCAAGGTCACCTGCAAGGGTGGCACCCAAATTACCAGCGCAAACAAGATGTTCGACAAGCACCCTTATCGATGATTAGAAACAGAAAAGACTGGACCTTAGAACGATGCTGAGACTCAGCCACTGGAGCTTAAAAATGTACTAAAATTTAAAACTTGACATCTTAACCGAAAGCCGTAAAAGGTAAGATGCATAATTATGGTAATCTTGGTTGGTGGGAGGCAGGGTGGCTGGGGCTATTGGAATTGGGCACTTTAAGGAACCTCCAATGGAATCGGAGAGCCATACTACGTCCAAAAAGGTGACGCAGCTGTCGCAGGCATCGCTAAAAACGCTTCAAAGCCAAAAGCCGTCGATGGCTGATATTTGCGTAAGAGAAAAATAATATTCCTACGGTAGCCGTTAAAGCGGCTTTACCCTCGCACCATTTTATGACTACCAATGCAAAGCCATAGGTCCCAGTCATAAATTATGACTCATAATCCCCGGCCCGGCTTTGCAAAAAAAAGAAATGGATAAAGAACATAAATTATAGATTTGTTTTAGCACGCAGGTTTTTGCGACCACTAATTCAGATTATATTATTAAAATTTTATTAAGGATTCTCAACATAATTTTCGACCCCCACTAGATTCGAGCTAAAATTTTTGTCAAATCGTCGAAAGGTCAAAAACAATACAAAAACTTAATTTTAACGTCGAAAACAGCTAATTTTTAAAAATTTTGCTAGCGTGTAGTCATTCCAACGCCACTACGCATGACGTATAATACATAGCACTACCTACCCCCCTGATGGAGATACTAATGGAACACGCTGACAGAAGTTGCATGCAAAGTGGTACACACACACACATGCACACACAGGCACTACTTTTTATATATAGTAAGATTAGCTGTTTTCGGCGTTAAAATTAAGTTTTTGTCAAAAAATCGAGAGCCTGCTTTGTTAGGAAATAATTAGCATACGTCCGAAGTTGAATTATGGACACCATCCCGAAAAGACACCATCCCGAAAGACACTATCCCGAAAAGACACCATCCCGAAAAGACATGATCCCGAAAAGACACCATCCCGAAAAGACACCATCCCGAAAAGACACCATCCCGAAAGACACCATACGGAAAAATGCAATGATTGGCCGGACGTATATTTTCCTATGCAAATGAGCAAGTACCCTTAATCTGCATGTGAAAAGCACCTTTGCATAGCGAATTGCACGTTTTTTCTACGTTCGGAATGTTATTACATTTTTCGGGATGGTGTCTTTCGGGATGGTGTCTTTTCGGGATGGTGTCTTTTCGGGATCATGTCTTTTCGGGATGGTGTCTTTTCGGGATAGTGTCTTTCGGGATGGTGTCTTTCGGGATGGTGTCTTTTCGGGATGGTGTCTTTCGGGATGGTGTCTTTTCGGGATGGTGTCCGTATACCCCGAAGTTGGGGTCGCCTATATAAAGGCCAGAGAGGCGGCGTTTCTCATTTTTTGTCACCGATAATTGCGAGAATTCTGCAAAGTGAAGAATATCATGGGATCGGACGGGGCCAGCGTTGAAAAGCCGCGAAGCGGCGTTTCAACCCTGGTTTTCAATGGAAATCCAAATGATGTTTTACAAGTTCCATCAAAACGCATTGTCTGAATATCTAAACCCCGTTCAGAGCTCATTTTGAATTTTGTCAAAACTTTTTAAAATGAAATTATGTTAAGCGTGGTCCACTATCAAATGACGTTGGCATTCTCGAAAACATGGCGACACCGTTGAGAAACTTGGGAGCCTGGGGCTGTGGGTGGGAGGAGGAGTAGAAAGTACGAGAAGGAGCTCAAAAGAACAGCGAACGAATATTGTTTTGTTTTGGCGCCGTCTTGAAACCGGGTTGATGCAAAGGCCAAGTCGATGAGGCCGTAAGCGCTATCAGAAGGGGCTCTTCTAAAGGGGGTGGTCATGATAAGAGAAGCACAAACAGCCGTCACGCCAAGGACAACCCAACCCCGGTATTCCGGCCAAGAGGAAGCCATACAATCCACTTATCAACGCCCACCAACTAGCAAACAGCTCAAGAAATTCCCTTTATCTACAATTGACCGAAAAAATTTAATTGATGTTATTATGCCAAATACCGTATTTTCTTAAGCTAAGCCGCCGTCCGTGTAAAAAATTTCACCATTCAGCGTGATTAAAAAAAATAGAAGCCCTAGCTTATATTAGAAAAAAATACGTTAGTTTTTGTATTGCTTAAAATCCACATAACGACAAGCTGACGCCGAGTTTTGCTGTTTTTTTGGGGACAGCCCAACCCAGACCCGACATCTGCTTCAACTCACATTTCACTAAATGGGTTCACACACTGCCCCCGTCTCGACCTACACACCCGCGATGCCAATACCCCAAAACCACTTGATCACATATGAAGGGAAGCTTCTTGGCGCTAACAAGGAGGCTTTTGCGTGACGCTTTTTCGAGGGGGACCATGCCTATCTGATGCAGAATTTTATGCTGATTCCGATTAGGTTTTCAATTTTTGCCGAAGTATCCCGATTTAAGAAGTTACAGCTATTTAAAAAACGAGCTTTTCAAATCGGCTATTTTTCACCAATTCCCATACAACCAGCCGGGCGTTGAAGTTCATAAAATTTGGGGGGAAACACTTTTAAAATTGATGCAACTTTTTAAATCGGGGTATTTAGCACACATTGAAAATAGCTTTGCAACCAGCGCAAAATTTTGCACAAACTAGATTTGTTTTTGTTTGTTTTTGATTTGTCCCGACCCGGAGTGCAATCTCACTGAAAAAGTCTCATCCTATGTCTTTTAGGAACGGTAGCATGCGGAAAAGATCATAGTAACCTTAGAGGTAGGTGAAAAGCGTTTGGTCAGGTTTAGTGAATTTTCACTCCATTCCGTACTAATTGAAAATGATGGAAAGTTGAAAGAAAATTCCTTGTGGTGGTCAGCATGGTTTAAGGAACACAAGCCGAAAGGTACCAAATAAAAATGAAGCTTTATCGAATGAAGACAGCTTGGTATGCAGATATTTAGCCTAGCCAGATGGCCGTAATCTAAGGGCTAGATCACGTCTTCGATCAAGGGCTAGAGGCGTGAGCTTTTTCGCCATTTTCCGTCACTTTCCGGCTGATCTTCTCGGGTGCTGAGACCCTCTTTCATCCGTCGATATTTGTGTATGAGGCCCTCCTGAATTCCAGCGCACCCTCAATCCAGGAGCAAACAGAACCTGTCTTCTTGTCCCTCAACCCCCCCATCCCTTAAGCTCTATCAACACGATACTAAAAAATTCTTAATCCTACTGTCGATAAAAATAGTGTGTGTGCCACTTTAAATGCAACTTCCGTCAGGTTGTTCCAGTGCTACCGGGACGGGGGAAGGATTTTAAGGTATGTTTGATATGACATTAGGCGCGTAATGGACTGGAGACGCCTGCACAACAAAATTGCATTGCATTTCAAAATGAACTAATGGGGCGTAAACACAAGTAGGATCAATCAAAACAAATAATCGAGATTACTTGATGCTTGTGCTAACAACCGGAGCCAAATAATTTTTATGTACTATACTTGAGGATTTCGGATCCGAAGAAAAAATATGGTAGCGATGAGAGAGATTAAAGATAAATAAATATATTATTAAACCTGCCCCATCTTATTTTAAAAGATTACCACAGAGAATAATTGGCAGATAACGGTCCACTTGAAACTTATATTAAATTCGCATTCGGTGAAAATAAATCAGAATCGCCGAGGGATGAGAGTTAAAGTCGTATATGGGGCCCGCCGGCATCAAAAATTTATGGGATCCGCCCGGTTGGTCGGCATTTTGGGTGAAACAATGGCCACCGCACATGAATTTCTTACGGCTTTCGACCCGCGCAAAGCGATTTCCCATCCTTGCCCGGCTTTTTCGTCGACCTTTTACTTGCGTAGTTATGTCTTACAATATGAATAGAAGCTCGATCGATAGGCAATTCCGGAATTCCCACCTGTGCATTTCTTATATATGCTTCCGCCTCATCATACGCTAAATCCAGTGCCGATGCATTAACGGCTAGTTGCGATCGACCTTTCAACGACATCACTTCATAATCTGAAATAAAACGCCGTGTTACGCAAAAACATTTTCGGAGAAAAAAATTGGCTTGAACACATTACATCTGGTTTCCTGTCTAGAGCTGTCATTAAATGAACCCAAAGTGATGTTTTATCACAAATGATAAGGGTTATGGCGCCAGAGCGGAAGGCACGGGTTGAAATTCTATCAGAAACACGCCGAAATAAGTATTAATCTTCGAGATTGAAGAATATAGGAAATTAAGTTGCCAACGATTCGCCACTATGTAAATGACGACGGTTTTTCCACGAAGACGATGGTGGTTCAATAAGGAAATCGAGCCTTCCAGCACCCCCGGAAACCCGTTATTCCTGATGCCAAGCCAAGTTTTTTCTCACAAAGCCCTCCAAAACAAAACGATAAAGGGCTTACTTTTTCTTTGGTTGGCTTTGACTATCCGATTTTATTTTTATGCAAGTGTTTGGGAAAATTTCTAGGATGTGACGAGTGTATCATCGATAGTGAATGGGAGGGGGATAATCCACGGGGACGCTGCAAGCACTTGGCGCAAAGCCTTTCACCACACTTAGCGCCTTTCTAGAGATCGGAAAGGAATAGAATTTGGACATAGAGCCATAGCAGCCACATGGAAATGGATAGAGATTGTGAACGACACTGTGCAATGGACCGTTCCCTCGGTCCTTCTCTTCTTTCTATCCTTCCAACCAAAGCGTCCATTCCCGCATCCATTTCGCACCTTTCCCCTCCATCCATTTCCCTCTGGCCACACCACTCACCCCAGACGAACATTGTCAAGTGGCCCATCTTTCGCTTTCCTCTTCCCTTCACACCCACACCATCAAACAAATAAACGCCTAACGATAATAACAAGTAACTCTCAAATTCGCTCAGCATTGTCAATGATCACTCTTAGAAAACAGACATCAATTTAGAAGGATAAGAAACTATCGTAACTAAATACCCACATCGATTAGCCGAAAACATAGCTCTGCTCCCCTCACCACTTGACGGCCTCTCTCTCTCTCCCTCTCTCTCGCTTTCTCTCGCTTTCTCTCTCTCGCTTTCTCTCTTTCTTGCGTTCTCTCGTTTTCGTTCTCTCTCTCTCTCTCTCTCTCTCTCTCTCTCTCTCTCTCTCTCTCTCTCTTGTTTGCTCTCGCTTTCTCTCTCTGTCGCTTTCTCTCTCTCACTGTCTCTCTCAGACCCTCTCAGGCTATCTGCAAATTGTCGGTGAGGCCTGATCGATACGCGATTTACTTATCTTATAAATCCTTTAAAGCGCGCAGGTAAACCATCGAGGTCTAGATGGATTTGGTCGCGCCATCGCATCGAGACTTTTTAATTTACAACGGAGTTTCCGCAAGGGACCGAGCCCGCCTTCTGCAGAATTTTGCGCGCATTATAAAAGATTTTTTAAAATTGGCGAACGAAGCGCAAAGAACCTCTGAAGCTTTTCAGGGCGAAAAAGGCCAAAACCTAGGCCTAGGACTCTAGGCCATTTTGGGCTTTTCGCGCATTTAAAAGCATCCTAAGTTCCCTAATCGGGGCGTTTTACAGATTCCCAAAACAGACCCGGGATCAGCGCGAAATTCTGCACAAGATAGGCGTGGTGCCGGGGGAACCTGGTTATGACTAAAAAGTCTCCTTGTCAGCACTTTGTACGATCTTTCATGGAATAATAGATTAACAAATTGCAGGACAGTAAATAACCGAATCCTGAGAAGTACACAAATACACATTGGATACTACCAAAAACCTCAATATTGGGGGAGGACGCTTACAAAATTTCTTGACTGATGGCTAAATATAGAGTGGGCGTAACGCTCGATTCCTGGAAAGGCAAAGAGTTGGCAGGCAAATAAATCCTTATGCAAACTTCACGATCGGAAGTCCCCCGCCCCTGAAATGGGCCAAAGAATTGATAAGATAACTGAACAAGCGGTTGATTTCAATCTTGACCATTTATGTCAAAATTTAAGGTAATGATTTTTTTCGTGCAATTATATTAGTAGCCCATGTTGATCGCAACCGTAGTTGTGGGAATTTTGCTCCAATATAACACGTAAAAACCGTCAAAAATAGAGCCGAGAGGAAGGGAAGCGGGACGACGTCCAAACAGCAACCAATTTGAAGAAGAGGAGAATGACCCATCGAAATGAGGTTACTCTCTAGAGCCCCTTGCCCCTTCCACTACTTCCCTACTACTTGAAACCATCTTTCACTACTCACTACTCTTTTTCTTGTTAACCTGAGTCAGATATACAAATGAGCACAACATCAACAACTATACCCTGGGAAAAGAAAATTGAAAACTAATGGCCTTGTATACCCTTATCGGTGTGGCTCGAATGCTGAATAAGCCCCTAATCATCTGAAATTACCAGTGGGTGGGTGAATCAATCGCTTACCAAACATTGGGCCCCACCCCCCCCAATTTTTACTTCATAGAAATCCTTGGTGGATTATATTGACAAAAACACCTTGAGAAAATGTGCATCTAGCATTGGGGAAAAAGCGATAGAGTGAAAGATAGTCCGCTTGAGGTAGCTGTTGAGTGGAGAGAAGGGGTGACAAATACAAAAGCTTTTCCCTCGCGCCCAACATTCCCGATGGCTCGGCAGAAAGTGCTCGATTATTGCTACCCGTTAGGCAAATACTAAATATTTGAGACGACTGGTGGGAGAATCTAATACTGGGCCAGTATATCCCATGATAACGATGACTTAAATTTGGATCCGGAAAGTCCCAAAGTCCCGGAAATCAATGGATAGGTCTGGACAGACCGAAGCGGGCGCCATGGTATTGTTTGAATAAAGGGAGGACAGTCAGTGGGTGGGGGGGTAGAGCTGACGTGAGAGACGATTAGAAGCAGAATTAGGCGCGGCGACCAACTGGCTTCCACTTTAACCGGACGGCTTTTTTAACAAGGCCGTGATAACCCTGGTTAATTTTGGATGGATTTAGCATTATTGGTCACTGAATGCAAATTTCGAAGTGCTATGGATATTCCTAGAGTTTCGAGTTATCGCTCAAAACATCCTAGTAATCAAGCCAAGAAGCTTTCGGTCTTGTTTCCGAAAATAATTTAGCTTCTCGGCTTTTTAACCCGGGCGCGGCGGTTCGCATCAGAATCCAATTGAGGATAGAAAGAAGACAACTCCCTTTGCCCCTTTAGCTAACCCGGTTTGGAGTTGCGGGGTATGCACCTTGTTTCCCAACAAATAAGATTGTATAAAGTTGATTTTAACCAAAATCTTAACTTTGGTGAAAATCACTATTGTTCCAGAATGTGATGTGTGGGCATTATCTGGAGAATATTTCGCACCTAATTTCATATCAAACCTATACGCTCTGTAACAGCCTGATGGAAATTACATGTACTTTCATAGACAGACAAAAGCTTTATTGCCTACATGTAGTAGAATAAGTATAACAAAATTCGTTACTATGAAATTATCTTCTGCGAATTAATCTGTAATGTATATTAAGTAATCAATAATGATTTAAATATTAAATATAGATATAGTATTTAAGTATCGCGGAATTCCTCTCTTTAAAAAGTCATTGGGTTTTTTCAGGGCTCCAGAAACCCATGTCTCAAAATAATTTTTTGTTTCTGGTTTTAGATTTGACTGGTATATGATATAGAGTTTTAATTTGATAGAGAATTTTTGCTGATTTGGATGGTATATGGCATTAGTGCTGGTTACACTATATGCTACATACTTTCTCTACATAGTTTACAGGCGTTTGGAGTAGCGCGAAAATGCCCAAGTTAACACAGAGAAAAAGGTAATCGCAAATCGATAAATAACCAATCCTCGTCAATTTTCGCATGTCCAAAAGTTTTCCTTCGGGAGCTCATTCGATAATATAGCTATTTTCCGCTGGGATAAAATTCTTCCCGGGTTAGAAAAAAAAAATATTAGGCAATACGATATTTTATGTACAGTCAGAAGGTTGCGTTAGTGTTCCGCCGCTTGCATAACAGCACACCGGAAAAGACTTAGGCTTAGGCTTAGGCTTAGGCTTAGGCTTAGGCTTAGGCTTAGGCTTAGGCTTAGGCTTAGGCTTAGGCTTAGGCTTAGGCTTAGGCTTAGGCTTAGGCTTAGGCTTAGGCTTAGGCTTAGGCTTAGGCTTAGGCTTAGGCTTAGGCTTAGGCTTAGGCTTAGGCTTAGGCTTAGGCTTAGGCTTAGGCTTAGGCTTAGGCTTGAGCTTAGGCTTAGGCTTAGGCTTAGGCTTAGGCTTAGGCTTAGGCTTAGCTTAGGCTTAGGCTTAGGCTTAGGCTTAGCTTAGGCTTAGGCTTAGGCTTAGGCTTAGGCTTAGGCTTAGGCTTAGGCTTAGGCTTGGGCTTAGCTTAGGCTTAGGCTTAGGCTTAGGCTTAGGCTTAGCTTAGGCTTAGGCTTAGGCTTAGGCTTAGCTTAGGCTTAGGCTTAGGCTTAGCTTAGGCTTAGCTTAGGCTTAGGCTTAGGCTTAGGCTTAGGCTTAGGCTTAGGCTTAGGCTTAGGCTTAGGCTTAGGCTTAGGCTTAGGCTAGGCTTAGGCTTAGGCTTAGGCTTAGGCTTAGGCTTAGGCTTAGGCTTAGGCTTAGGCTTAGGCTTAGCTTAGGCTTAGGCTTAGGCTTAGGCTTAGGCTTAGGCTTAGGCTTAGGCTTAGCTTAGGCTTAGGCTAGGCTTAGGCTTAGGCTTAGGCTTAGGCTTAGGCTTGAGCCTAGGCTTAGGCTTAGCTTGCTAGCAGGGGCTTAGGCTTAGGCTTAGCTTAGGCTTAGGCTTAGGCTTAGGCTTAGGCTTAGGCTTAGGCTTAGGCTTGTGCTTAGCTTAGGCTTAGGCTTAGGCTTAGGCTTAGGCTTAGGCTTAGGCTTAGGCTTAGGCTTAGGCTTAGGCTTAGGCTTAGGCTTAGGCTTAGGCTTAGGCTTGGGCTTAGGCTTAGGCTTAGCTTAGGCTTAGGCTTAGGCTTAGCTTAGCTTAGCTTAGGCTTAGGCTTAGGCTTAGGCTTAGCTTAGGCTTAG